GCGAGTGAATCTCTTTTTGAAAGTCAAAATCTTATTTTTTATATATATTATTATTTTATTATTATTATTATTATTTTTTTCAGAAAATTTCTAAAAATCACAAATAATCTAACCAACATAAAACCCTATAGTCACTTTCCCCAATTCTTAATAATTTAATTAATAAAATTTTTGACAAAAGTTGTAGAGATGCGAGAATTAGGATGTTACAATGATCCTTTGAGGTCGGTTTACTAGATGACCCTATAAGATTGATCTACATAGCGACGTCATGAATTTGGTATATTCACACGCAATACATAATTATTTACATGCAATACGTAATATAATTATGACATCAAAACACATGTGCATTCAATATAAAATAGTCCTAAGAGACACCCAAGAGTACTAATTAATACATACATGCATAAAAAAAACACAAATACAACATTAATCATCCTTTTCTTCAATTATCTTGACACCCATCACACTTTTGAACAGTCCCATGGCAGATACATCGACATCAGGAAAAAGGACTGACACTTGCTCCATAGCACTATAAAATCTAGTTGCATACATTATGGCAATTTCAGTCTTTCGCCATTTTCGATGTGCTGAAGATCCATCTTCTCCTTTGCTAAATCATTAATTTTCTCTTCCATGTAACCAAGTTCGAGTGCATGGTTTTTGGCAAAGGGATTCTTGCCTTTTTCTTCGCCAGTAAGTCAACCTCCATTTTCCTCAGTAGCTTTGTGGTTGTCGTGTGAGCCTTCACACACTCGTCTAGCTTTTTCACGATGTGGAGTTCGCACTCCTCAATCTTTTTTTTACCCTTTTGGCAAACTCAACCTCTTGAGATTTTTTCTCTTTTTAAGCGTTGATGGTGTTGGTCGCAAACAATAATGATTGTAGAGTTAGCATTATCTTTATGCTTATAAGAGGGAATTTTGAGAGCGTTTCACTTAGCATACCACTACTACTCCTAGTAGAAGGCTCGAGGGTTGAGGTCATCATAGTAGTCTCGGTCATGGGGACTACCTTTCACTTTCGAATTAGTCGCGTATCAGATCCAGTTCTCTAAATCCCAAACCGATGTCTTCCACTCGGGGAGCATGGATGGTTCTCCAACTGTGGGCACCTTTAAGGTCGGCTTCTCGATTGACATAGCCTCTCACAAGAAACGACTGATCTCTTTATTTGATTGGAGCCCTTGTCTTTCTGTAACATCAAAGAAAGTCATGAAAAAACATACAAGAAAAAACGCCCATTATAAGCAAAAATAACATACAGAAGAAGGAGGTTACCTATGCATACTTTTAAGTCTATAGCCTAAAACTCTAACTTAAGTAGTGTAGACATGTCGAAAACGGTATTCAACCGCTCAAACATCACCCAATGCTCGAATTCATCTTGTTCCAATTCACCCAGTTGTTTGACAACTTAGAAACGGGGATTAATGGTCTAATAAAGGGGAAAACCCTCCACCAAAGTTGGGTTCAACTTAGGAGCTCAGATTTTAACAAACTGACCTTTGAAGTGTTTGTAGGACGACTGAAATAAGGAAAGAAGTCCTCTCCCAAGTACTCCACTAGCCGAAACCCAAGAGGTTCTCTTGGTTGCTCAATAGCCAAAAAAAAGAAAAATGTATTTGACAAGGAAACAATGACAAAGTGAGTGAAGAGAATATTAAATGCTTAGATAAAAACCAAACTATTTAGGTGAAGCTAGACTGGAGCAACATTCAATACGGTCAAAACTTCTTTATAAAAAAAAAACTCAAGGCCAAACCTAGTTTAATAAACACAGTGTCATACAAAAAGAAGAATGGTTCAGGGTCCCCTTCTTGGTCCTTACACATGGGTTCAACGGGATCACACGCTTCTAAGATTAAATTCTTCTCATTGCTAGAACGACTTAAGGATTAATTATTTTAGAGATTTTTCAAATGTTTTGAAGAAGTGTACCCATATGTTTCGTGTAGAATTTTTTGTTTAGCCCAAGAATACAACACGACGTCACTCACTTCCTTAATATCTATACCAACTATGTTCTCTAATCAACTTCAAGAATGCAAACACAACTAATAATGCAAAGTGCAAAAGGAGAAAGCACAACACACTTGCAATTAACAAAAACAATCCAAGCACGAGGATGAGAAAAATGGAAGAGGAAAAGTTGACGCAAGGGGAGAATAGAGCATAAAGTGAGTGATGAATGAGGTGTGAAATGGGGAAATAAGGTATTAGGTAAGGAAAACAAAGAGATGCACTGAAAGACCCGTGCATAGTGCGTGAAATGAAATGATGTGACATAATGTTAGTAATAATGTTTTGCACGAGATTGATGTTTAAGTTATTCTAGATAAGATTTGAGCTAAATACTGAGTATATAACATGTTTAACGACCTAACAATTAATGAGACTACAAAATATTTGACTCAACTAAAACCTTGGTATTGACACTTGAGGCTGATGGGTTGTATAGTGTCCAGAATGACCGACTCCTCGAATAATCGATATAATAGAGGCTAAATATTGAATATTTTTCATCCCCGAATACTTATATGAGGTTTGCACCTTTTAACCTGAGTATTGATACTTGATAATAACTAATTGAGAGACCCACAAAAGTAGAATAAAAATAGGGTTAAGATAGAAAAAAAGATTTAGAGAACCCTCCTTTTCACAACAACATATCTTATCTTTTCTTTTTTCTTCTTCTTCATAATAGAATAAAAATAATATCATTTCATTAACATAATACATAAATAATTAAAAAAATGTTTATTAATGATATAAATACATATTCTAATATACAAAATTACTCATATTTTCTTTCCATAATAATAATAGAAATAACATTATAAATAATTAAATTTATTTATTTTATCTTTTATAATAATAATAATAATAATAATAATAATAATAAATTATGGTATTATTTTATTAATAATATATTATTTATTGTTTTTAACATTACAATATTAATTTAAAATAAAATAAAAAATATTTAAAAAAATTATGTAAATTTCGTTTAATTGAAATAATTTTATCCTGATAAAAAATTACAATGATAAATAAATTTGTATAGGTTGGTTTAGAGAATTATCACTTAAAATTTATTTGTCAAATTTTGTTGAACATATTCATCCGAACAAACTTTAATACTTAATTTAATATAAAAAAGAATAATAATAATAATAAAAAAATATATAAATGAGAATAAGACGATTTGTTTAAAATAGAGTAATATATTTTTAAGTTGAATAATAAATTATATTTATTTAATGTTAATTATATCTTAAAAGTCATATTAATTAATTGTGAATTATTATTATTATTATAATATGTACTAATATAAAAAATATTTTAATTATGTATATTAGTTTGGTTAAGGGAGAAGGAGTTCTTTATAATAATACTAAAACTGATTTATCCATAACCAAAATAAAGTTTTAGTAAAACTAAGTGGAGTTTCAAACGAATCAAGGTTAAAGAATCAACTAATGAGTCGTAGGTACAAATGATATGCCACTCAAACCTTGGATGATTTTTTCTAAAATGCATTGATTAGACCCAAAATATGGGCAGCGAGAACAGTATAAATTGAGTCAGATAAATTTGTCTTTACATGCTAATATAATCTTAATTTTCTACTAAATTACATTTAGTTATAGAAAAAGAAATGATTTTTACATCAGTTGAATTATGTTCATGATTTGTATCTATAATTTGACGTAAATGATTCAATTATCTTTATCTTAAAATGAGAGGACCACTTTTACATGACATGTGAAAGTTATTTCATCATATATTGTGAAGATTAAATGGAGATGAGAGTCTAATCTAACTATCCAATTCAATGAAAACAAAATCTCATATATATGGACAATATTCATTACTCAACTCAAGTCACAACAGATAGAGAAGGCCAAACTAAGGTCACTATAAGAACATTATTGCGTATTATATGATTATATTTTTCACCAATCTTTAATATACTTGGAATTATATTAATTAAAATACTATATAATTAGTGTTTACAGTACTTTATAAAATGATCTTTTATAACAAAGTTGTATATCATTCTAGCCATTCACAAGTAATATGATACATACTCTCATTTGAACAATTGAAAACAAAAAAAATTCCATCATTTTATGAAATTAATATATTTAAAAAATTACCTTTAATGCAATGTTTTGAATATATTTTTCACATTAAATTGTTAAGGAATGCACGCTTATTTAATATTTAAGAAAACTTACATAATATTTATTTGAGGATAAAAAATAAATTATTACAAATATATTGTTGCCGTTCAAAATTCTTTTTTGAAAAAAAAAAAATCTCCAAACATAATAATAGAAATAAAAAAAAAGTCGTTGGAACTTATGGACTTGAAGATCTGAGGGGATGGATGGTAAATAACGATCAACTTTTCCCTTTCAGTCAAATCAAAATACACCAGAAAGACAAAAAAACAAAAAATATTTTTTAATTAAGAAAAATGGATATAATATTTTATGATAATTATTTTAAAAATCATACCAGCATTAACTTTTTAAAATCTTGACCATTCATATACTTTTTTTAGTGTTAAAATTATTAACCATAAAAATTAAGTAACGGATGAGATTTTATCCATTTTTTGAGAGAACTGGAGAGGAACTTTTCCCTAACTTTTACACTGGGAATGTTTTAGGTTAAAATAACGAGATAATTTGTTATAATATATTTATATTTAGACTTTTTCTACTTTTTAAAACAAAACGTTAATTTTAAAAATAATTATAGTTCTGTTGATTTTTAAATATTTTTATATAAAAAAAGGGTTTTGTGTAATATTTTTTACCCTCACAAAATAATCCACGCGTCAATCGTTAGGCGATAGGACACATCTTATCCCTTTTTTTATATCCGGATAGGTATACTACTAACCTAAGCTTTCGTTTCCTTTGGTTTTGTTTCGTTTCCAGAAACTTTCAACTCGCCACTGAACTAAACAGGAAAAAAATCATGGCTTCATGTACCACACCTCCTTCGCTCATGCTCGCTCACCCTCAAGACCTCTCTTCTTCTCTGCGCTTCTTCTCTCACTGTCACAGGCCAACCTTCTCTCTATGCTCTCTCGTCTCCAAGCCCTCTTCCAACTGGGTCCAGCTCAGCTTCCGAAGAGACCCCAAATCCAGGACCTGCCATGCCGTCGTCGCCGCTTTGGCTGCCGAGGTTGAAGTGACCGAAACTGTCGACGACACGGCGGATGGACTGGACGAGTCTGCCGCCACCGACACTGTCACCACCCCCAAGCCTAAGAAAGGCAAGGCTGCATTGCCTCTCAAGAGGGATAGGGTATGTGTGATTTTTTTCTTTTTCCTCAATTGTTTATTAATTTAGTTATGGTTATGGAGTTTTTGGGTTCACAAACAAATTGCATGCCTTGTGGTTTTATTTCTCCCTTTTACTTATTCATTTGTATGTGTTTATCTGTTGGGATATTTTTTTTCTTCCTGTTTATAATAGCTTTTATGTAGAGTGTGTTCTACTTTTTTTGGCTTCTGTTTCATGTTCCCTTGCGCAGTTGATGAGTGGTAAAAGGTGTATCTCAATGTCCTGTGCTTGTTTGGATAGCTAATTATATATGCTTGCACAAGCTGCTCACACTTCCATCTATTGAAGTGAAATTAAATGATTTTTGAAATTAAAAATTGCGCGCGTTTCATCTAGTGAGATGCCATCGAAAAAAAAAAACAATGATTTATAATTTTATTTGAGCCAAGTTTATATACCAACTGTTTTTTGGTAGAATGATTATATTTAATGCCATTTACATCCATATCTTCCGAATTTTCAAGGGTGTATAATTTGAGTGCTAGGTTGGAGCTTGGAGGTGCTTGTCAGAAGTACATCCTTGATTTTTAGTGGAGGTGTAACGTGTTTGTTCCACAATCATTCTAGGAAGCTTTTTGCTTACTTGTTTGTTATAATTTAGCATTTGATTTGCCTCTTTTGCATTATGCATCATCAGTATCTTCCTGCAGTGTTGGTATAAATTTTAGCCACTTGTTTACTTCTTCCAAAATCGAGCTGACTGCTTGGGTCATTGAATTGTTCATATTTGACGATATGTCTCTACCCTTTATTTAGGCTAATTGTTCTTTTATTGTCTCACTCACCAGACAAGGTCTAAGAGGTTCTTGGAAATTCAAAAATTGAGGGAGCGTAAACAAGAGTATGATTTGAAGACAGCAATATCTTTGGTTAAAGAAACAGCTAAAACCAAGTTTGTTGAAACAGTAGAAGCCCATTTCCGCCTCAACATTGACCCTAAATATAACGATCAACAATTAAGAGCAACAGTGCGTCTCCTGCTCCTTGCTTGATTTTGCAGTTACATTGAAAACTTGAGCCATAATGAATGAATTTTAATTCTGAGTATTCTGTCTACTCTTTCTTGATAGGTAAATCTGCCTAAGGGAACTGGAAAACCGGTTAAAGTGGCTGTTCTCACTCAAGGTATTTATGCTTCTCAATCGTCATTCCCACTTTTAGTTAAATATAGGTTTCCAGATAATGCTAAAAGTTATTTTCTTATAAAGAATATTCATATGAAAGGAAATGCATCTGTTATGTAACTTCCTGTATGGATGGGTATAAGATGATAGTTTTTCTCTTCCAAATTTGGATGTTGTGCTGCCTAGGCAAGGTATTGAAATACATGAGTTTCTGTGCCGCTGCATTGATAGAAAGTTGCATCATTCTGGATTCTGATTTTTTAAACACCTAATTTCTGGTAACTCTTACAAAGCTTATACTGCATCTACTTTTAGTAGTGTTATGGATCATGGAGCTACTTCATGTGTGTCCAAAGTATGAGTTCCTATGGTTGTATTTTGATCTGTCTTATGTCTACTTGAGAGAGCAAAGGGTTATCCCATTATGATATGATATAGCGAATCATACGCATTAGATTTTACAGACTTCTAACTACCAATTGTCTGCTTTTACCAGCTTACCATTTGAAGTTTTAAACCTTCAGTACGTCATCATTCTCCATCTGTCCTTGAGTTTGCTATCTATTTACTTTTGATAAGCTGTCAGAATGTGTTCCTGTCTTCCATACGGTTCATTTAAGTCTTTATGCTAGATCACTGCCGCTGTTCTATAGGTTTCTGTCATTCATCCGGTCCTTCTGAAAGGACATTAATATATGAACAGTCTGTGATCTGAAAAAGAAAATGTAGCTGGATTTGCTGAGAGTAATCCACAGCAACAACTACCACCCCTGTCCCAATAGTTTGGATTGGCTATATGGATTAAGTAATGCCATTGAGTTGTATCATAATAAGGCAAATGATTAGTAAGCCATGCAGTGAGTTCAAACATTTAGATTTAATTGTTAAAGAGGGTGGCCTGGGTGCATCCCATCTAATTGGGGTGAACCAAATTTTGTTTTGGCATTACTTTGTATGTCAAACTCGTCCATTAGTTGGATAATATTTAAGGAGTCAAATTCCCTAAGTTACAACATTGTTGTACTAAAATAACTGTAACAGAATAACAATTAGAGGAAAATGGTTTACTAGTTGCTCTTGGTTGTATATTTCTGTAGCCTGTTTTAGCGCATTTTATTCTGGTATTGGTGATTTGGTTCTGAATCTGTACAGATACATGTCATAACAACTTTGTATGTCAAACTCGTCCATTAGTTGGATAATATTTAAGAAGTCAAATTTCCTCAAGTTACAAGATTGTTGTACCAAAAATAACTGTAACAGAATAACAATTAGAGGAAAATGGTTTACTAGTTGCTCTTGGTTGTATATTTCTGGAGCCTGTTTTAGTGCATTTTATTCTGGTATTGGTGATTTGGTTCTGAATCTGTACGATATATGTCATAAAAACTTAGTTGCTTTGCACCAAAGTATTGTCTTGAGGTGTCTAGGTTTGCTGTGAAAAAAACACTAGACTGTTTAACTTACTCAAATGCTAAACTGTTTGGGTATATGACATGGTTGTAATGGTCACATACAATCTGTCTGTGTTTATAACACGAAAGGTTAGATCAGATCCAACCTTTTTTCTGTGTAATGTGTACTTGTTATAGCAACTTCTGTTTTGTAATAATTAAACTATAGTTTAATCTGTTTGATGAATTTTAAGTGGGTTCCTTTACGTTTTAGTAGTTCTAGGCCTTTGTTTCCAATATCAAATCAAAGGTTTCAGTATGGAGACCAAAGTATCTAGGGATGGTGAGGTTTATGTTACTCTCCTTTCCCTGAGAATCTGTTATGAGATTGGATTGATATCTGTGGGTAGTCTGTGGTGCTCTGGAAGCACAGTTCAATGGAATTTGCAGCTGATTTAGACTGAACTGGATTGCTGCATTCTTGATTTTGTTTTATTTCCTTGATGTTTTTATCTCTTTGGAGGATATTTATACTCCCCGCAGTTGCACCTTCGGCCACTCTATCTGATTAAAATATCTTCTCAAAGTTTATTTCAACTTCTGAACTAAATTTTAGAACAATTATATAATGTGATGAGACAATGAAAGTTTTGAATGACAAGTATCTTGTCTAAGATTAAAAAATAAACATTCTAAACTGCACCTTAATATTCCTTGTTAAAAGACATGGATAGTAGCTTTTAAAGTTTAGCAAAGAAAGAAGTGTGGGTTGGATAGCACGTACTCATCATATATATGCTAATCAGTGCTTTTGGATGTCCACTGTAATTAATGACTTTAAAGAGAATCAAATGGAAAAAACACCATTAGAATTCCTTCCTTCCAATTAATAATGCTAGTCTGATTCAAAGTTCATTTTGATAGGTGAAAAATTCGATGAAGCAAAAAATGCTGGAGCTGATTTGGTAGGTGGAGAAGACTTGATAGAACAGATAAAAGGAGGATTCATGGAGTTTGATAAACTAATTGCTTCTCCAGATATGATGCCTAAGGTGTTGCTCTGGTTATCTTTGTTTTAATTTTGTAATTAGATTAATAAATATTGTCTCGTGTTCTTGGCTTTTTTATGTATAATTTGAGTATTCCAGACAATTATGTAATCTCAATAAGTTATCTGTAAAATTGATCATGACTGAATTTTTTGTAAAATTGGAACGCCACCCATATTCCTCATTTGACATTTCCAAGAGCTTTTGATATGATGCATTTCTATTCTGTTTTTTGTTTGAATAAATTAATAAACTCAAGTTCTTTGTCAATTTCGTCGTATGCTGTAAGGCATTCTTCTTACTCGTCAAAGCTACTGTTATTAAATTTTAGATATCTTGTTCTGTCATCTTTTCTTTAATTATGAAGAGTTTCAGTAATTCAATAAAACAATTTTTTAGTAATGTTATTTATGATGCAATCACCTTAAGTAATTAATGGGGTTATAAGGTTGGCTTGGTGGTGAAGGGAATGATGGGAGGCCATAGGTGCGGTTCGAATTCTCTGATGACAATTTTTTTTAACAAACTAACAATTATCATTTGCCGAATGAAATAAAAAACCCTTAATTAATTTATTGTTGATTGTCAGGTTGCTATACTAGGGAAGATTCTGGGACCAAGAGGACTGATGCCAAACCCAAAAGCTGGCACTGTAACACCTAATATTCCTCAGGTGTAATATCCACTACTATTTTTCTTTTCCTTGGTTGCATGTTGTATTAACCTTGGTGCAAAATGTACGAGTTATACTTGTTTCCCTTTTCTCTGTAAAGAGATAAGGTTTACAGAGAAAAGGGAGGGGGGATGAATAAGAAATTACAAGAGCATCGGTGACAAATTTCAAGATTTTTGCTTCACAAAAGTATACACTTGTGTAATCAGAAATCCTTTTAAATCCATTCCACTTTACAGGCTATAGCAGAATTCAAGCAGGGAAAAGTTGAATACAGGGCAGACAAAACTGGAATCGTGCACTTACCTTTTGGAAAAGCCGACTTTTCAGAAGAGGATCTACTTGTAAACTTGCTTGCTGCTGTGGTATGTTCTTCCCTAAGCAACCTTAGGATCTGTAATTCACTCACTCAATGATAACATTGTAACCAAGTGTTCTAATTTCACAGAAATCAGTAGAGGCAAATAAACCTTCGGGTGCTAAAGGTGTGTACTGGAAAAGTGCCCACATATGCTCATCCATGGGGCCTTCAATCAAGTTAAACATCAGGGAGATGCTTGATTACAGACTTCCATCAGAATAGAACATTCACCTGTAAATGCTGGTTTGGATTCAGTCGGCTGTCCCGGGTGCCATTGTGAGATCTTGTCAAATATTTAGTCAAAGATGTTACCAAAGTTACATACTGGGGATGAACAGGGAATATGATACTTTGGTGGTTATATCTGTTCCAAATGTTTGCACACTACATTACATAATTGTTGACCCCCGGCTGAGAATTTTCCTTGTATTACTTTGTAACTAACACCAGAGATCTAATTATATTTTCTTTGTGGGAATAAATTTTCATTTTGTATGATTGATTATTAGGTATTCCATTCTTCAACAGCCTTTGTTTGTTGTACTCATTACAACTGGAATGATATAGTATGGCCCAGGAACCATTTACAGGATCAGCTTCATACTTTCTAGAAGGATAATTGCTTGTATTGACACCTACTGTTAAAAAACATTGACACCTAACTTGGTAAATGTATTATAACATGATAAAACATTGTGTTTATATTTAAACAGAAATAATAAGAACTGTAGATTAACTAAAGTTTAAAACTGCAATTATTTCAAGCTATTTTTATCTATAAAAAATGTTATATGAAAAATTATATTATTTTTCATCTATTATTTGTTTTTTTAAGTTATACTTAATACTTGTATCTTAATTAAATCACTATTTTTAATTACTTAACTTTTATGTATTTATAAAAAGTTGTGTAAAATACAGCTTTGATGAAAATCAGTAAATCAAGCTGCAGAGTAGCAAATGTCTTACATGACATGTCTCCAGCTGTGGACAAAAAAATGTCCAATCCAGCTTTTGTTTTAAACTGTAGAAGTTTATTGCATGAGGAATAATTGCAATGGTGCAGTGATCTTACTGGCTGTGGAATAGACTAGACGAGACCTGGATCCTTAACTAACAAAATCTTAACATAACTAGATGATTATTTTTTCTATTTCAACAAAAAAAATATATCTTTTTTTTATGACTTAAGTATTTAAGTAAATTAAGTGAATTTTATTTATTAATAATGTCATGTAAAGTTAACATAAAGTCAGTTGAATTTAGACTTACCTAAAAAACAAGGACTTGTAGTTAAGGAAGATGTGAAGAGTACGAGATGGGGGATACTTGTTAGTTAAAAAGTGTATGGTCTTAAAAGAAATAACACTGACTGGTCTGTAACCCTAGATGGGGATGGTAACTACGTGTGTGGTAAGGGTGAGTGATTTTTCTCATAGCATTATGTGACGTGTATTTACAAGCAAAACATTTCAATCATGTGAGTGGAGCCCAAGTACTGAAGAAGTCACCCTAATATTCTGACCGTTGTATTTACTGTGCTGCTCCTCAAAACTTAACTCAGTATTAAATCAAACCAATGTTGCTGAAGACAAAATAGATGAACAATCAGTTTAAATTAACTAATCAATTGGTGGTTTATGAAAAACTAGAGAAATAGTATACACAAATTGAGTTTTATACAAAAACTTTAGTATTTTTTGTTTTTTCTATATATTTTCTTATGTTTTGTCAAAATATATTTGTTTTTTTTTCTTCTTCATAAAATCACAAAATCATATATATTTGTTTGGATCTATGTTTGACATCTTGAGTTTAGAATAAATTGAACATAATTTTTCAATGTTCAATTATTTGTTTCATTCATACTCTTTGGAATACTCAAGCCATATTAGTAATTACTCATCTAAAATCAATTTTGTTTTCAAAATTTGAAAAATATTGTTACTGCTCACGTCAACAGTATTTTCTATTAATACTATATATTCTATATATTTTTCTTCCCATCTTCCAAACTAAACTAGGAAAAGGTGACTTTTCACCCTCATGTTATTGTCTTCTCCATTTTGCACCTTTCTGAACAAAATATACTATCAAAAGAATGTACTATTTCTTTCCTACACTTTACTCTTTATTTAATACATATAATTTTAAGACATAGATTAAATTACATACTCTTTATTAGAGAGTATTATTTTTTGTAAGTTCAATTCATAATGTCTCTTTTATTAGATATAAACAAACTAAAATAAGATTTTTCTGCATTTTGATAATATAGATAATTGAGATTCTTGCAAATAGAAAAAGAGAAAGCATTTTTTTTTTTTTTTAAATCTAGTATTACTTCCAAACAAAGGTGTACTTAGTATTAAAAACAAAGTCACCACATTCAGAAGAGTTGTTAAGGAAAAGTTAAATATGAATGATTGAGGGTAAGAAGTTTAGGGGAAAGAGTAGAGAGTGAAGCAGACCATGAGTAGTGTTGTTGCCTAGTGGAAACGGTGCGTTTTAACTTTATGGGAATAGGAGTAGGTAATACGGGTGCCAGCTGTTACGATATCACTCTTCTTCTCTTCTTCTTCTTCAGTGCTCCTTCTCTTGCACTAGGGTTTCCTTTTTCCACTGGATCCATATTTCCTTTCTGCAATTATTCCTTCAAAGCTTTGATTTTTCACTTCTCGTTGTTCCAGGGTGAGTTTTTTTGTTTTTTTTTTGTTGCTCTCTTTTATTACATTTCTGAATCAACCATACTCTCTCTGTCTGTTTCTGTTTTTCTGCACTTGTTAACTTGAATCTTGTAATTTTTTTTTTGTTATATTTTACATTACTATTTTTGGCTTGTCAAATTTGGATTTGGTGATCGTGCCACTCAGTGTTCGTTTTTTAGTGCAAAGAGGAAAAATAGCTGTTTTTTCCCTTGTCCATTTGGACCGAGTGTGTAATCTGTTCTCTACTTCTATGGAATTTAGTCATTGCTATAGTTGTCTTGTCACTTTTGGGTTTTATCTTTGACTGGAATTTTCCACCTTAGTAAATTAATTACGCAATCTAATCTGAGTTACTAGGCTCAATTTATTTTTTTACTTGTTTATGTTGGCTTTAATCTTGTTTACACAGTAGGAGAGGTGATATCTGCGGGTAAATGGTCTGCATACAGTGTGGTAAGAAAAAAAAAGATGCAGAAGTGAAAACCATTTCCATTGATTTTTGGTTCCATTTTATCTGCTATTTTTAAGTGTAAATTATCTTGTAGAAAATTGCAAAAGCAAAATCCTAGGGCTTAAAAACCACAGGTGTGAGCATTGCCCTCTCTCAAACTTCCATTTTTTATCTGCTGACTTAGAAAAGTTCCCATTAAATGCTTCTCAAATTTTGTCAGGCTTACTCTCTTTGGTTTTGTCCTATGCAGAAGCATGTTTATGTTGCCATCAGTAACAGGGTAGTAGTTTGGAATAGTACTTGATTGTTGTCTTTCAACTACTAAACTGTTCTTTTACTTTAATCACAGATCTTAAGTTTGGAGGTATTGCAACATTGCTGCATTGCCATGTGGTACCACTTGGCTTATTACCAGCAACTGCCCATTGGTTCTCCCGTGTAAAAATCAATGGTACCAAAGGGCTAGGGAGTTATGGGCTGTTCTCAGGATGGTAATTGTTACAGGGGTAAGCACTAGTACATATGGATGCTTCATTATCAGTAGATCATTAATTTACATTTTGGGTTTTCATAAGCTTCTGAGAACTGATTTTGTGCAAACTGGTTATTGTTGATGTAGCTATCATCATACCGTAATATGTATAAAAAAATTTATTATTCTTTTTTAAATGTCTGTTGGATCAGAGAACAATTGTATGCATTGTTATCTTGTGTTTTCTTTGAACATTTTTCTAAGAATTATATCTCTGTTGCAGGTACTTTGTGCTGTCAGCTAATTCTATTTATCATCTGGCTTCCTACTTTTAAAGATGCGACAGCACAGGAAGTTCATGCTAACCATAGAAAAATGTCTTCTCTGGTAGAGTTAGCTAAGGAACCTGCTTCGGGTGAATCCGGACTCTTTGACCCCATAGAAATATCACCTTCTGTATTACCAAAATTCCCATACCCCACTGAGTCTTTGCCACCAATGTACCCTACTTTCCCAACCAGATATGAACCAATTTTAACTGGAAAATGTCCTGTGAACTTTTCCCATTCAGATATATCAAACATACTAGATAAAACAGCATCTGATTGTTCTGGACCTTTGGCAGCCCTTGTAGGAAATGTAATATGTTGTCCTCAGTTTAGTAGCTTGATCCACATCTTCCAGGGTTTCTACACCATGAAGTCTGATAATTTGGTTTTACCAAATTCAGTTGCCAATCATTGTTTTTCTGATATCATTAGTATTCTAGCCAGTAGAGGGGCAAATAGTACGATCCCCACACTATGCTCCATAAAATCATCTAATTTTACAGGTGGGTCATGTCCAGTGAAGGATGATGTTACACTTGAAAAAACAGTCAATACAAGTAAGTTACTTGAGGCATGCAGCACTGTTGATCCACTTAAAGAATGTTGCAGACCTGTTTGCCAGCCTGCGATAATGGATGCAGCACTACAGATTTCTGGAAGACAGATGACGAGTAACAATAATGAAAATATGGCTGGAGAAGTGAATCACACTGATTATCTTAATGATTGTAAAAGTGTGGTTTATTCATATCTTTCAAAAAAGCTATCATTTGAGGCTGCAAATACTGCATTCCGAATACTGTCTGCATGCAAAGTCAATAAAGGTACACTGTTTAACTATTTCATTCTGAATTTAATTTACTTAATAGTTTAGGGAGATTGTCAGCGGCACAACCAATCATATCATTCATGAATTAATTGGGATTGGAATACGGGGAAATGCAATTAAGTGATTTTATGTTGCTGGTCTTACTGTACTGATTCTTCACATTATTTTTGTTTTATGTGGCATTGGTTTATATTATCGTGTCCTGTTACTTGGGTGCTTCCATATTTTATCTATATTTCCTGTTGATAAAGGAGAGATTGAATTCCATGAGGAAAGAGTTGGAATTCGTGTGTGCTTTTCTTTAATTTAGGCAAATTAAGATTGTCAGAATGTTGTACAGGAATACATGTCCTTTAACCTGTTTTTATTTTTTTTAACTTGCAATATGATATTTAATATAAGTTTTACATTTCTGAGAAGCATGCACGTTAAGTTGTATATATGAATGGGATATATTTAAAATTGTATATGGTCAATTGAATCGTAATCCTGTTTCACTTTGTTTTTTCAACGCTTGTAATAGAGTACATATTGCTTGTACAGTTTGTCCTTTGACTTTTACGGAGCCTGCAGAAGTAATCAATGCATGTCAGAACATAGCTGCCCCAAGTCCTTCCTGTTGTAGTTCATTAAACACGTATATCGCGGGGATACAAAAACAAATGTTAATTACAAATAAACAAGCTATAATATGTGCAACACTTTTTGGATCTTTGTTGCGTGGAGGTGGAGTGATGACAAATATTTATGAGCTTTGTGATGTTGATTTAAAAGATTTCAGCATACAAGGTATTTATCCTGATCAAGCTTAATATTTATTTTCTGCCCATGGCCGCTTTTTTAAATTTCTCTGATCTAATTCTTCTGTGGTGGCTCTGCATGTTATTGGTGCGGGCAGCTTATGGACAACAAGGTTTGCTCTTTTTCTAATGCTTGCATTTTGTTGAGAGCTGTTGTTTTTTAATTCAATAACCTATTTACACATTGATTCAAACAACACATGGTATTGGTTGGGAATTTGTGATATAATTTGGTAGTTTAAGGCAATCATGTTATTTAGGACTTATTTCCCATTCTTTTCAGAAGGTTGATGGATTAGGTTGTTAGTTAAACTTGACATGCGGGATTAAGAGGGATGCATACTAGGTTGATTAGAATACAATCTTGGTAATAAAACAGTTCTGGTCAGCAGAGAAATAGAAGATCCTTTTAAAGCACAGTATATTCATGCTTTGATTTTTTCAAGGAATAATTGTAATGTTAATAAGATGGGTGTTGGTTTATATGCAGGATGTTTACTTCGGAGTTTGCCTGGAGATGTGATATTTGACAATTCATCCGGCTTTAGCTTTACATGTGATTTGAGTGACAACATTGCTGCGCCCTGGCCATCATCATCTTCAATTACATCTTTGTCACTCTGTGCGCCTGGTATGTTTTTGGACAAATTTACTTTGTCTTGATTATTGCGTACTTTTTTTTATCCAGGATGCTGATATTACTAAATGCTGTTTGCATTTGCTTAACTCTTGTCTGTAATTTTTTTTCTTTTGGCAGAGATGTCATTACCAGCTCTCCCGACTTCACAAACATTAAAAAATAGTGGTAAGTCACATTACCTGGCTGTTAGTTGAACGAATTGAACTCACATTATTAAGTGTTTCAATTTTTCTAGCATCGTGCATACCCAAGTTTTTAGGTCTTTGATACAATTAGAATTTGGTTGGATCGTCTCAAATTCATCGTGGTCAAGTTGTTGCAGAGCAAAATTTTGACATTATGAACATGGTGGATTTTGCAGGTTGTAATTCCGGTGGAGTTGGATTGCTTGTGGTTATTTTTTCATTTTTCATCTTCAGTACGCTGTTGTGTTGAACAGATTTTAGGTTTTAGATGTGTGTCAGTCAATGTGTCTTTGGTGTGGCTTTTGCATGTATATTTTTGAATGGCCTCATTGTATAGAAATCCCCCTTTTCCTCCCCATTTCCACGTGTCTTCTGCTTGTATGTTCTGAGCAGATCATTCGGGAGTTAGTGCTCATTTGATTTAGGATCCGTAATTGTGCTGTGAAGGGTTCGTTTATATTTTTGTTGAATTGCTGACAAGCAGATGCTAGATTACCGCTAATGTTTACTTACCATGGCAGCGTCAGGGACTGACTAACACTGATTCGGAAAAAGGGAAATGGAAAATGCTGACTTAGATGATTTTTTCATGCTAATGGTATGCCCCATTTGGAACTGACAAAGTTGAGTTTGACCGTCCATAAGAACACCTGTTATTATATTTTACTATGTGAGTACAAGAGTTTAACACCATACTAATTCATTGGACTTGACTGGACCTTAATTGGAGAATTTGTCTTCAAATAAATTGGGTGTTAACCCGTGCAAAAAGGGGTTAGATTTACCCGAAAGCTAACACATCCCTCCGAAGGCGTAAAGAGCAAAACAGCATGCACAAATTTATATTTTGAAAGAAAAAAAGAAAAATGCTTACTATTTGTTATGTGGTTATTGTACTAATTGCTTGAGTTCCTTTTTTCAAAAACGTCGTTTTTTTCGTGTAGGAATAAGAATATAAAATTTAATATTAAGTGACTACAGTTTTTTATCAAAAAAAGATTTTGATGTAATGAAGTTGTTCATTCCGACACTTAAATTACAGATGATATAAACCCGTTTAAGCACACTTTCAGAAAATCTTTTTCACAACAGAATGTTTTAAAACTATACCACAATTAATTGAATTTGAAACTAAAAATAAAGAATGGTTAATGTACTAATTTAGCAGATTATAGGCATGGTGTTAAATGCCATAGAAAATGTGACGAGGTGCAGTTAATTGAGGTGTGGATCATAATAGAGAAGATAAATGAAAATAAGATATATTTAGTTGAAGAGAAGTAAAAAGAAAAAAAATAATTGAAACAAACAAAAAATTAAAGTATAATTAAGAAGTGCTAGTGTTCTTTGTTTTCATTCTAGCTACACATCGTATTAAATAATCAATATCTTTTATCAGTACTTTTTCTAATTGTTTTGAAAATTGGATCATGGTTTAACCAGAAATTGGTATATAAATTGGTTTGTTATTATAATTTCAGGGTTATTTAAGAAATAAAAGTGGATTATATTTGTCATAAAAGTTTTTTTTTTTTTTTGTATCAAGTAGTTTACTCTGTTTAAAAAAGCTATTTTAGTTTCTCTTCTGGTGCAACACGCTGTGTGTTTAAATTAGGCTTTAATAATAAGAAAATCAACAAGCTTAATCATGGACTGTGGTTGAATTTAATTTGATTTGATTTATGGTTTAGGCGTAATTGATTTATTAGTGTGATGCAAGTTTGGCTGTAAAAAGAATATTAAAAATGCGTTATTTTCAAGTCATTAACAGGAAGCGTTTGTAGTCTAACGGTTAGGATAATTGCCTTCCAAGCAATAGACCCGGGTTCGACTCCCGGCAAACGCAACTTATATCTCCCTTTTTATTTTCTGGATTTTCTTCAATAAAAAACTATTTTCTGGAATTTGTTCTACCACGTTACTCATCACATAATTTTTTTTTCCTAAGTAAATACTCGCATGATTATTTTCCGACGAAGCAACCTTAATATTGCATTGGTCTATATTCTGTCGTTTATCCGAGGATTGAAATCCAATCTAATCACCTTTCTGTCTATCTCACCACCAAAATGGCGAATGCTTTGAGAGTTGGTTGTGCTCTCTCACTCTGCTCCTTACGGAACACCAGACCCCATCTTCCCCTTCTCTCCAACTCCACGCGATTACGTTCCAAGTTCCCGTTTTTCACCCTCTCATCGTCGCCAAACACATTTGGATCTCCTTCATTTCGCAGGCTCTCTTCTTCTTCAATTGACGAAGCAGTAACCAACGAAGCCATCACAGGGAATGCAAGTGGTGAAGCTGAGAGCAGTATTAGGGACGCGGCGGGGCTACTTGACATAAGGGTTGGACTCATTCTGAGGGCATGGAAACACGATGAGGCTGATTCTCTGTATGTGGAAGAGGTTGATATTGGTGAGCCTGAACCCAGAATCATATGCAGTGGCCTTGTCAACTACATCCCTATTGAACACCTTCAGGTATTGGTCATTTTTAATCAATTCTGATGTGAGTTTTGATTTGAAATTTGATCCTTGAGTGAAATCTTTTTCTGCTAAAAAACTGTACATTCATTACTAGGAATGATTTCTGGTTGATGAAGGGTTACTTTGTTGCAAGTTTTCAATTTGGATTTCACGTTTACTCTCTCCCGACCGAAATATAAGGAAAAAAAAAACAAAATTGGTGGTGGCCATTCTAATGATAACACCCTTCCATTTAGTTGAGACTCTATTTCCAATATTTTCTCTCTTATTATCAAGTTCAAATGAATAACAATTTAGGAAAGAAATTTATTCTTAAATGGAATTAGTAAGATTGAGATTACTTGTTTACTAATTTTATTAATTAGTGTGAATCGGTTTGTTTTATATATGTATTTCGGTTTAGAGGGAGTACTAATTATGTATAGTTGTTCTGTACTGCACGGGAATCTCATAAAACTCCAGTGTAATTGCTTTATCTTACCAGTGTGATTAAACAGAGGCTGGTTATGAGATTGATTGGGGTATGTGGCCGAGATATCATTCTTGGAACTTTTTAGTGTGTGAGTCACATCATCTTGAATGTAAATTTGGTAGGTGATGTGTTTGTGTTGATTCAAGAAAGAAGGGATGTGGTACTGTAAAAGTTTTTATCGCCTCGACGACTAGAAGCATAATCCATAAGCAAACATCCAGGTCCAATTAGTGGGAAACACTATGCAAAGTATCACTAATCTAAATTTTTGTGAAATTTGAGTATAAGCAGACAGATTCTGCATGTTGATATTTTGAGTATTAGCTTAATGTTTTATCCTATTTCGCAGCTAGCTTTCCTACGTGTTTGAGGGGATAATGAAGTTTAAACACCTTAAATGGTTGTTGAATTTGAGCATGTATCCATTTTAGATACCCCTCAAACACCATCTTATACCCCTAATCTGCATCCTACCATTCTTTTACTTTCAAAAGAAAACGATTATGTTTTGGTTTTAATTTGAGATGTGTGTTTTTCTGTTAACTTTATATTGGTTCCATATAATTTACCATATTGTCGTATCTATGTTGTTTCATATTCATGTATTATGCTGTATCCATATCCATAGTTCCTAGATCTGGTGCTTCTGTAAGACTAGAGAGGGAAGATATATTAGGACGAAATATTTTTGGATGATTTTGACCATGTGTGATTTTGTAAAGGGAAGTATATTTGTGTGTGGAGGCACATTAGAATTATTGAATGATTATATCAAATTTTAAACTGCCACATGTCATATAAGAATTAGTTCAGGTTATTCTCTCTTGATAGTTTTGGTGGTTTCAATTTTCCAACCAAAACTTGTATCCATTTGGATAATCCTTGTAGTATGTGCATTCTATTGACTTCTGTCCACTTGGATAATCACTTGTACTATGTGCATTCTACGAACAAGATACTTTATGCTGTGTAAATAATGTAAACTTATGACTGCTTGGATAGTTGCTTCTGTGTGTGTGCATGGCAACAGTGCATAAATAGATTTGAGGCTGTGATAATGGCATCAAGTAGGGTTTTTTTTCTGTTATAAGTATATAATATTTAACTAATTGTATGATACATGCAGGGAAAAAAGGTTATTGTCCTGTCCAACCTGAAGCCGAGAAATATGCGTGGTGTCAAGTCCTGCGGAATGCTGATGGCTGCTTCTGATGCAAAGCATGAGAATGTTGAACTTCTGTTTCCTCCCGAGGAAGCAAGTCCAGGTGAAAGAATATGGTTTGGAATGGAAGATGAAAAGGATGATCAACCTGTAGCGGCAACTCCGAATCAGGTAATCTTAATTGTTGAAAGTCCCACATCGTCTACCTCATGTCATTTGGTATGGTTTAAATACATGTTAGGTTACTCTACATATTGCCAATTGGTTTTATGTTGGAACCTTAACATGGTATTAGAGTCAAAGCGTAACATCTTTCCGGTTATTGTCATAGACCAAAAGTTGCCATTTGGTTGGGTTAAAAGTACCCTTTGCCTGGTCTGACAGACTTCGTTGGAAGGGGCGTGTTGAAAGTCTCACATCGCCTACCTCATGTCATTTAGTATGATTTAAATACATGTTAGATTATGTAACTCCACATATTGCCAATTGGTTTTATGTTGGAAGCTTATCAGTATATATGACTGTCTAGTTGAATGCGGAAATTCTAGAATTTAGATGAATTATTCTTTTATTAAATAAGGCTCTGTCGCATTTCAAACCAGTCAGTTTTACACAATTATGGGATACCATGTAGTTAGTGTGTCCAATAGTAATTGTCCCGGCACAAGGTTTTTATTACAACCAGAGACTGAAAAAATCATAGTTCAGGTAGCATTTTTCTTGGAAGCCTCAGAAGAGCTGGTTGCTTGCATATTGATCAATGATTCACCTTGGATGACTGTTGTACATAAAATAAATCTTGCTACGCTGTACCGGATAAATGAGTGTGATTACCATTTTAATTGTATTTGGTAAGATAAACAAACTTTAATGTGTAGGGAAAAGGCTTGTTGGTTAAATATAGTGTAGGAAAGAAGTTCAGCACCTGAACATAGAAAAATTGAAGACTTATTTATTGTGAGGAAGAATAATGAACATATTGTCTATGTCCATGCTGTCTTTTTGTATCTGGGTCTTATTCTTCTTGTGTGACAACTTGCAGATACAAAAGAAAAAGATATGGGAATTGGTGCAACCTCATCTAAAGACAGATGTTTCTTGTATTGCGATGCTAGGGGAGCATGTCATGCGTACATCTGTAGGTTCAGTAACATGCCGGTCCTTGCGGAATGCAAATATCTCCTGATCACCCACTGCCTATCCGGAACAATGAAATTTTTGGTTAATAAATTGGCGTTTATTTTATATGTACTTCGATTTTTGTAATAGTTCTAGTTTACATTTTAGCTCTTTCACTTGGACATAATTATTTCAGCATAGCATAAATCTCCTCCTAACCGTAAATATCAGTTAGTTTTTGGGGGTTAATTTCTTAAGGGTCACAAGCAAGTTTGTTGCCAGTTTGCAAGTAATAGGAGGGGTGAGTAACATCCCTGTTAATGTCTTATAGGGGAATGACGATGCCATTCAATGAGTGACAAATATACCAAAAGGAGTGGTTTTAGCTACACATACTATCTGCTAGATAAAGTAAACGAGCTTATACCAAATATTTATTTGTAGTTACGACATTAATAGCTAAGTCCTTTCCCTTGGTAGTTCCCTTCTGACCTTTGTTTTGATTTACTTTTTTTACTGGTATTGCCGAAACAGATTACGTATGCTGATGGGGTGAATACAGTTGTAGGACAGATGTGGGGAGTATTTCGGTTTGCTGGTGGATGATTGTCTAAGTTTTATCACTCTCTATCTATCTTCCTGTAATGACACAAGTTCTTAAGAGGCAAGTAAAACAAAAATGAATAAAAATATAAGCCAGCAAATCCTTCGTTCCAACGTAATCTTAAAGAATGAAGCTACTTTATTATACCAAATCCAATCAATTCCCATCCAGGTATTTCATAACCCACTAAACTCCATTGACATTGATTTTTGTACCAAACGGTGAAGATCCTCATTGTCAGACTGATCTGTTTGAGTTTAATCTAGACCCACAACCAGGTCATAATGATTCTCATTATTCATGCTTTGTTCATAATTTGGCATCTGCTACCCGAAGCTTGCCCGTGAGATATAATTGTCTAGGAATATTGCTTTCGGTCAATGCTAGCAAGGGCTTTAAAAATAGAGTTTGACTCTTTCGCATTTCTTCTAGTAGCTCTTTGCTGGAATCAATACCTGTTATGCATTCATGAGAGAAATAAATTCATGTCCACAAGTGGCACCTTTACGTCATGACCCCTACATTTATTAATCACCTGTTTGGTAAAGCAAAGTTGACATAAGTATATGCCTCACCTGCGAGGTATGCACCATGCACGTAGCCATTAAATCTGTCACTCGTGTGCTCTCCAGTAAAGAAAATGCGACCTACTGGAGCCTGAACCATACCCCGAAAAAACAAATGAATACAACAGAAAACTTTCTGAAAATATAAATATTTGCTGTAGAAATAAGCACAGCTAAAAATGACAGAACAAATCAAGGGGCACAAAGCCAAAAATACAGCACAGCAGTCCGCCCCAATGGGACAAAAAGACTGTAGGTAATATTGGAACACCAAATTTATACTCAAAATGGGGTTACTAGTGTACTTTTGCATGATTGATTATTGCAATTTGGTAATATATCCAACCAATAAGTTTATCAGAAGATAAAGATACTAAAAATTTGTTTAAGCTCTATTCCTGCTCTCCTTGCTCCTCTTTCCCTTTCTTTGGGCGATATTTCTCTAGTAAAATCCAAGTATAATTCATAGAAAAACAAAGGCATCTGTTTTTATAGGCTTTAAAAAATTGGGGATGCTGCAAGTTGATTCAGGTCAATTACATCTGATGCAATCTGCAATCACGGCCTAATACTACAATGGACATGATGCCACCACATTACGTGATGGGTCTATAACTTAAACCTTAGTTTAAACATTTAGTCATCTCTTTTGTCGTCAGATGCACTTCAGTTCAGAACACGAAGACAAATAAACAGCCATCTTAGGAATGTTAAATTCTTTTTTTATTCTGTATGATTTTAGTATGTACGACTTTAATTACATGGTTTATCAGCGTCCTCCTTCTTTAATAACATTTTTAGTGTAATACATGAGATGTCTAGTATTAGAAAAAAAAAAAAAAAAAAAAACTCCTCTACTACACGTCAACGGTGAAGGAAATAGTCACTGTTATAATATTTCTTATGTATATGAAAATTTAAGATGACTTTAAAAAAAAAAAAATTGATTAACAAACCTTAACATCACGAACTAGTTGGAGATTAGAGATAATGGGATGGTTGCTGTAGCTGCCACGTTGAAACCTGTTATTCCACCATCGAGGAACGAGTATATCAATGGCATCAGGTATGTTGGGTCCAAACATATCCCTGAGCACCTCCATAGCTTCTTTCAAAGTGTCTTCATTCGATTGAGCTTCCACACGTTTTGATTCCCCGTTTGTCAATGTGACGGACAGGATATTAGAGCCAGGGTATGTGTTTTCCATTTGCTGTTAAATGGTCAATCAGGAGATAGCTCAAAAAGATTTTGACAATATAAGACAATGTACAGCTAATCCCAAATATTTATTGCAAAACAATCTGTTTCAATTATTTTCACAGTCGTCCAAGTTATTATATCCAAAGTCAATGCTTAAATCCTCTCCGGTTAACTCGGTTAAAAGTGCCAACTTAGTTGTAGCACATGTCACCCTTCTTATTTCCTTTTCCTTCTCTCCTTTCTACACCCAAAAAATGTCAGTGTTGTTTGTCACATGCAAAAAAAAAAAAAAAATTCAAGTTATTTTAAATATTCCAGTTTGGATATGAACTATAAATTACGTTTCATTTAGTAGATGGAAAACCAAAGCTGTACTCAATGCCTGAATTTGGCACGAAAAGAAATATATGAGCTGAAATTATAAAATGCTTATAGAGGTCAGATTTTGTTTTCCCATTATACAATTCAATTTTTTTATACAAATACTTTTTCACAGTTGAAAATAATAGAGTCTATTTGGATGAGCTTTTTCATAAGTCCTTCTAGATGAAAAAATTAAAAGAAAAAATAACTTCTTTATAGATAAAAATTAAATAAATTAGTTAAAAGGCATCAGACATTTTGATAGGCGCATATGAGTAAAAGCCGATCAGTGGTACATATGCTAAAAAAAGATTAAAACGATTAAAATAGAATAAAAGAGCTAAATATTTATTATTATTGTTTAATAGAATAATTAAAATAATTTACTATTTAAAATATTAAATTATAAAAAATAACAAAAATAAAAATAAATTCGTTACTCTTTATCTTACTTCTATCGTAATAAAATCTAATTTTAAGTAATGCAAAGAATAATTTGATTTATTTTTTCTCTTTTAAGTTTTATAAGAAATTTGTGGAAATTTCATTCCTATTTTCATGTCATTTTATGTGGAAAGGAAATCAATCAAGGTTGGTAACGTAGTTCCTGTTGCACAGATAATACCAAAAATTATTGCACACATCTTCAGAAGTATATGAATCACTTAACAGTAACAAGGATAGAAAACTATTATACCCGTGTTATCCCTACAAGGATGTAATTATTATTTGCATAACAGGACAATGGAAGTAGTTGCAGCAAAAGTATTTATTAACGCAAGCACTTCTAAAAGGTGAGATTAACACATTCAGAAAAAGAAAATTAAAAAGACACCTTGCGTAAATCAGGGAACGAGATTAGCAGCACTATCTCTCCATATCAGACAAATGATATGTACGCTTACATTGGATCCTAGTGTTAGCTAAGAGGATAGTACATTAAATTTCATATCATATCAATTCCCCTTCTCTTCGGTGCCGGAATGAATTAGATATTTTAATTGCCATGTTTTAGTAATTCACATTATTTCCCAACTTGAAGTATATATGATGCATGGATGCAACATGCAACATCCAACTAAAGTATAGCATACTCATCAATTTTAGAGAATTTTGTTCATTGGTCAACATACGGAATAACATAAAACAGCTTTAGGTTGAGCAACAAAATAGACAAACAACATAGAGAAAATTTTCGAACAAACCTGCCAAAATGTGTAGTAGCCTCTCCGATCATGGGCATATATGAAGAATTCCTTTCCGGGTCCACTTGGCCAGAACTGATATGGAAACTTCAAGAAAATTTTGGTGTACACTATTACATCACATTTCTGTATGGCTTCCAATTTCCATCTCTGCGTAATTATTGAATTTATCATGGACATATCGAATCAGACATGTATGCTTTGCAAAACTAACTAGTATTAAAATCATTGAAGGGAAATTTTGACGACTAATCTCATCTGGGCTCAGGAACCAGACATATAGTGTTATTCATATGTTTTAACATATTTAATGGCATCGTTTGAGTCATTGGTCGTATCAAGAACAAAAAATTATAATAATGGAAGTTAAACTAAAATAAAAAATGTACAGAAAGTTTACATATTACATCATATATATCTAATTGTTTTTGTAAATAAAAATTTGATTATCAATAACATTTTATTAACATCTATAATTTCTTAATATCTTTCGTTATCTCTATTTTCCTATTTGTCATTTACTTTTCTGTCTTTCTCGCCCTAAATCTCAATTAATACCACAGTTTTCACGTACCATTATCTAAAATATTTTTACATAAATTCTAGGGAACCATAAAATTATTTATAATGTAATGAATATGTGATATAATGAATAGCAAAAAAAAATAGTGTTATTATATTTTTAATTATTTTTTCTGTAATGTAATTAAGTTTATCATTATCCCAGTTTAGTTTTTAATGATTTTTTTATCCATCAATGAAAGTTAATTAAAAAATTACATTACATTGGATGTACTAATTTTAAATATTTTATGTTTTCTCAATTATTTAATAAAAAAATATGTTTGAATATATTTTTTCGTTCAAAACAGTTTTTTTTTATCTCTCTGTAATTCTTATTTTTATAACAATAAATCGATGGACGACAGTTTTTTTAAGGACAAATAACATCTAACACATTTCCGTAAATGAAAGATAAAAAAAATTATTAAACACTAAACAATAAGATCTATAAAGGGATTAACCCATGCATCAAAATAACATTATCTGTTATCAATATCAAGATCCTCCACTAACGTATGCAAGCAGCAAGCTGGCCTCCTCCTTGATAGATAGTGTGACCCATTGAATAGACTGACTTTAATAGATCATCATTATTGATCTTGAAAAAAATGATCTCCCAACGTTTGTGCTGAATGGATTTAATATATTAATTTTTATCTAATAAAAATATGATTAAAAATTTGATCTAACCCATCTATTTAATAAAACTTCAACTTAATCTATTTATTAACAATTTTTTAATAGATAGATATTTAATCCATTGATAAAAATACTATATTAATAAAATTTAAAATTATATTTTTTTAAAATTCGAAAATTAATTTTGTAAAGTATTTTTGAAAGATAAAAAAGTAAATTTAAGAAATATTTAATCATAAACAATTGTTAGATTATTTTTAATCCGTTTTTTTTTTTATGTTTTAAATGAATATATTGGATATATAATAAATAAAGGGATTCTTTTACCAATTCGCTAAAATTAAAAGACAACGTCACTCTACTAGCTAGATATATTTTAATTAATAAACTCCTACTTTTTTAATGACAGTAACGATGGGACCACAACCTAAACATCTTTAAACACTAAACGAAACAGATTGGAAATTAACTCTTGCTTTATAAGCTCGCTCTAGACTAGAGATCCCACTTAATTTCATTCTACTCACGGGTAACGGAGTTTATTAATATAATATTATTTGACCTCCGCTATCCTCTCGGATACATGGGATACTATTATTTATCAAATGACTTTGATTCTCTCTGATCATTGCCTTCATTCAGGAAGATCGGTAGATAAGTTCGGGATGTCCATAACATATCCACCTCTCTCTCTCTCTACATATATATATATATATATATATATATATATATATATATATATATATATATATATATATATATATATGACCTATGTGCTTATCTACTTAATACTGCAACTAAACTGTAGAGGGCAGAAAGAAAATAAGATATAGAAAGTATGGAGTATATATGAAAGGCAAGACATACGGGCAAGGGTGGATTAAAGGCAACGAGGTCACTTTGGAGAACACCAATGCTAACAGACACAATGACGTAGTTAGCTTCGTAAACGCAATCATCCTCTGTTATCACCCTAACGCCACTTCCCCAATGCTGTATTTCCCGGACCACCTGCACTGCACAACATCCGTGCAAAAACATCACGAATACACATTATTAAAGGTTTTCTTAAAGTTCAAGTTTATACAAAGCTGAAAAGTATTAAAAGCAAAACATAATTTATTTCACTTTTATAGAGACTTTTCATACTGATGATACTTGTTAATATAACTTGCTACTAACATCTGCTTTAAGAGCATTGGTTAAGAATAATAATAGATAACTTCTATCAGAAATTACAATAAAAGTACATTAATAGGATTCTTTTTATATATAAATTTGATACTTTGAATTCCTTGTAGATAGCCATTTTCTTTCTCATATCAACTAAACTGAGCTAAAGCAATAAAACAAATCTTGAGACTATAGCAAGCAAGCCTAAAAATCAACTTACAATTCGTTGTTTCGTAAATATCACATTCATTGCTTTGAATATTTTTTCAAAATACTTATAATTTAAAACAACTTAAAAAATATATCAATAATTTTACTAAGAATAAACTTAATATAAAAGAAATAATTTATAAAAAAGGAAATAAAGGAATAATTGCAAAAAAATCGAAAGAAACTTCAGGTACAGACCCAATAACTGACACATATGTTGGAGTTTTACCCACTCTAGCCTGACGCGCAGAAATATACATGGGGGGTTCATGAATTTCATTTATATACATAATCATAAGATACACTTATTATTATTCACACTATACAAAATAAACTTGTATTTGTCAAAAAATTCGAATGTGTATGCAATGCATCTTCTCCCTCCGTGAGGCCAAAATCATATTTTCAAAATTCTCTTTATATATAAATAAAATAATATTAAATTTTATATTCCGATTTCTTTGAAGATAACATGTTTTTAATATATACATGATTTTTATTTAAAGTCAGTTTTTATTATAAATAAATATTATCAAGCTTGTAAAATTTAAAAAAAATATTAAGTGAGATACTCACTCAAACACAAACAAACAAAATGAGATATTTACAAGTAATTTCTTTTACGTTATATTGTATACAAATGAAATGATATAGCTCCTCACCTTACTAGTAGCCCTTAGGCTATTGCTAGTGAGTCAATTCAAATAATGAGGACAATAAAAAAAAACTGGGAGACCGGGACATACTAACTTATGAGACATACTAATTTATGAGACTTAAAAAATAAAAATAAATATTTTATTGTAAGTGATATATTTGAGTTATTTAAAAATAAAAAAATAATTTAAAATAAAAAGCTACTTATATAAATAATTTTGACCAAATTATAAATAATTTAATCATAATACTTATAATAAAATATTTAATTTTACTCTTAATTAACTCTTATTAAAAATTCTAAAAGATCATAAAGGTTTCCGCGGGGAACTAGCTTGTGTTGTTCGGTTAGCCTGTAACCCTTGGTACCTTGCTTGGAAATTTGAGACAATTGTGAAAGGCATCCTTTGATTGACACATCCTCCTCTACATGCATGGCTTCAATCAAGCACATAAATGGTGCAAAAGAAGAATTGAAAGAAATTTTTTAAAATAGCTATAAATATTTTGTCCCTGTATTTGCAATACTATTAAATAATGTTTGATAAATGATAGTAATATTCTAACTCGGTTTTTAATAGTTTTTAAATATGTAAAAAATAAGTATTTAAAACCCTTGAATAAACTCATTTCATTTTTTTATATTTTTATATTTTTATGCTAAAAATCTTTACCAACCTAATAAATTAAAGAACATTTTCTAATTAAAAACATATAGAGACATATTACATATTATAAGACTGAGTATTTTTACACATTTCAAATGTAACCTTTTCCTATCAATTCCTTAATCGGTACCTTATTTTAGCATTTGCCAACTTTTACTAACCAACTTCAATTTATGAAATTTTGCACATTTAAAATACATACATTCATACATATACACACACACACACACACACACACACACTATATATATATATATATATATATATATATATATATATATATATATATATATATTAATTATGATGTTATTAATTAATTAATTTTTACATATTGAATTATTTATATATCAATACTTAGACATAAAATATATATAATTTATACAAATAAGTAACCTTTTACATTTTAGAAGCTACTGCCGTTTGTCACGTAATATTAAAGAACAAAAAAATAAATATAAATATATAAAAAATGCCAACAACTAATGTAAACATTTCCATTAATAACTGGACGAAGTTTGGTAACTGTTTTCAAGGTAATAATTATTAAAAAAAGTAGTTATTATATGAAATACAAATATTTAATATCCTGTATATTGTGGTTCTTAATGCATTTAAGAAACTTAAGCAACATTTTTGTTAAATACATTAATTTTCTTTTCAGATTTTTTTACCCTGAGTGTCAAAAACTTGGACACTCAGCAAAATTTTCACAAGTAAAACATTTGTACTGGAGGAAAAAGTATAGCATATGTTTAATATAATATAAATTTTAAAAGAAACTTCATTTTTACCATTTTTTTTTTCAATTTGGAGATTAATAGCTATCGAATTTTATTAATAACTGCTTCAAGTATTATATACACTATTTTTTATAAAAAAAATACCTTTTAAGTTTTTCTGAATTGAAAAGTTAAAAAGAAAAGGTTGCATAAATTGTTTTTTATTTGTATACAAAATAAATATATTTTACCTTTTTATTTTTATTTTTTCATTTTAAAGTATTTACAGATAAATTTATCCCTCACACAAAACGAAAATGCATTATACCATAATAACCAAAGAGGACGACTAACAGAAATTACCACAAAACATGTTAATAGTAAAGACCAAAGAGTTTAAAAAGGTTATGGTTTGCATATAAATATTTATAATATATTTTCTAACATAGTCCCTTATTAGTTTTTTTTTTTTTTTTTTACATTTCACAAAATTTGAATATTTCATAATTTTGTTTTTAATAACTTAAAATGACGAGGGCAAATATTTAAAATGTCATCTTATAAATAATTAATATAAGCACATAATAAAAAAAGTAATATTTTTAAAATATTTGTCTTCTAATTTATAAAATTCATTTGGAAATTGTATTTTCAAATTAATTTATATTATTTAACCTAATATAAACACTCACTCACCCTATTTCAAGTTTTAAAAGAGCCTAGATACGCATTTGGTTTTAATTAGACTTTCTGAATTATATTAAAATATCTATTGACATAATTTTAGTTAAATTTTTGTATATTTACTTTTATTTTGAGGTATTGATTTCCAATATAAACGTGATATTAAAAACCATTTAAGTAATTTTGTTTTAAATAATAAAAAATTACTTTGAATGAATATATTAATTTTTTTATAATGAAATATCAAACAAATTTACGTGGACTTAAAATTAATTTCATATGAAAATGATTTTGTGAACCATCGTCTGAACTCTCACTAAGGAACAGAAAATGCAAAACAAAAAAGCAAAGAATAATTGCCCCCCATCCACAACTACTACTGCCATCATGCTACCTATTGAGTTTCTTTCAGCACAGAGCAATGGTAGCTAATGGACAAACCCACCAGTAAAGTACGCCACACCACCACTACTACGAGAGGGCCCATGGAGTCGGCGCGTAGGCATTCATAAACATTTGAGAACGAAATAAAAGAATAGGAATAGAGAATTAGTGAAGGAACGAGACCTGGTTAAGTTTGAGACGACTGTCCAGTATTCTACCTTCCGATGTGAACAGAAAATCTTCAGCCATTTTATACACCAAATAATCAAAACCTCTTTCATCTGCAACCAAAAATTCCCTTTCGCCTAAGTCTCTAAAGGTACATACTGGTACCGCCTCTGCATCCACAACTTTCACCTTATATCACTGACACATATCCATAAACCAACCAAGCAAACCATACATGTGATTAAATTCACAAATCCAGGAACAGACCTGCCATTTCAAAATCATGGAGGATGAAATCGATCGCCAGCTCTAACGGCGTCCTAAAACGAAGCAAACAAAAAATAAACAGAATCAACATTACTTATAGTCACATATTCGCAATCACACCGAATCGTTTTCTGACTGAAAACTTACGAAGGTGGTTCGTCTATTTTGGAGTTGGAGCCATTATCGTCTCCTCCATAATCTTCTTTATTTCGTAATTTCTGAACTGCTGATTCCACGGCTTTTTTGTACGACTCCGCAGCGATTCCTCTAGGAAATATCTTCCCACTGCAAACAACTCTTTGTGGGGGCAAATTCAGTTACACATGTAGACCAGACAAAACCGATAATAGTAATTCCAGAACACAACAGAAAGAAGCAAAGAATGGAAAACGACGATGCTAACAGTAAAAAATATTAGTTGCGCTCCTTGGCGCATAATAGAGAAACGGCGCAAGACGGAAAATAACGGAAATAACAGTTTACGGTGACCTGCGATCGTAGATGTTGTATCGCACATTAGTGTAGTCGGCGAAGCAGGTTCGGAGGCCGAATTCGGTGGCTAGTTCCCAAACAGGATTAGTCTCTTTGCCTCCGACTCCGACGATCCAACCGGCTCCGAGCTCGACGGACACGCCGCCGAATTTTTCTTTGAGGATCCTGCCGCCGATGCGGTCTGAAGCCTCGAGGATCACGAAGTCCGTTACGCCGTTGTTGGCCAGAACCTTCGCCGCAGAGACACCTTTCATAAAGGAAAGACGCGTGATTATTAGCATGGAAAGATGAAGGTTGTTGAGAGGAAAGTTGTAGAGGCGATGGTACTCACCGGAGATACCAGCTCCGACGACGATGACTGAGGAGCGAGAGGGAGAATCCATGAAATGAAAGAAGGGAGGGTTGTTGTGGAGGGAGAAAGTGAGGAACTATGAGTAACACGAAAATGGCTTGTCCGTCTCAGAGGCAAAAATAGCGGGAAATATATATATATATATATATATATATATATATATATATATATATATATATATATATATAGCTTAACACACTCTTGATACAATAATAATCTAATATTACGACCTTTAAAAAACAATTAACAAATCACAATAATAAAGTGTGATTATGCATTAATCCTAAATAAAATCGAGCTACTAAATTATATATAAATTTATTAAAATGTAAGTTTCTAAATTGTTTTTTTTTTAAAGAACAGTTAGCTTTGAAAAAAAAAAGAGTTTAATAAAATACTATTACTATTGGATAAAATTTGGACAAACATTGTATTGATTTCAAACTGATTAACTTACTTGTTTGTTGTTTTTATAATTTATGCGAATTTACCCCAAATTTGAAGAGTTTATTTATCTTCAGGAGTAGATTCTCTCCTTGACAACATTAACAAAATTCAATATAAATATAACTGGAAATGTGCATATCTGTATTTTTTTTATAATAAATAATAATGATATAATCACACGACTTAATTTTTGTGAAAAAATTATATACACAAAAATAAATATAAATGAAATATATATATATATATATATATATATAATTAATCTTATAATGTAATATAATGAAAGGAAAATTTGGGATTTGATATGGTTAACTATCGCTAACAATGATTTTGAATGAATGTATTATTTAAAGAGTGTTTAATATTCTATTAAATACTTTTTATTATTAAAGAGTATTTAGTAAAACATGTGTACTAATCTTAATTGAAATTTTATTCGGCAGAGGACATTCATTCTAAGTTTTTCTTATTTAATACATTTATTTCTTATTCTAAGCTTGTCATTCTATTCTTGTCTATTGAAAAGAATTTTTTTTTAATATTTTAGAATAGCTTCTTTAAATATGGTTGAAATTGACTTTGACTAAAATAAAAGTAATTTTGATTTGTTACAAGATTAAGAGATGTGTAAGACTATCTAATTATTATACATTATACCGTCTCTTAGATTATAAGATAGAAGAAGGCCACATATATTATCTTTGTTCGACTCCAAATCCTTGACAAACATATATTATGTTCATACAGTCTCTAAAACCTTGATAGACATGTGATTATAGCAGGCATACTCCATTATAATTGAACAATTAAGCTTCCTCAATAGAATGATAGCTTGAAACACGTAGGTGAGGCCTAGTAACAAGTCCATTAGTAAGCTCAAGCGCGAGAGCATAAATAGAATATAGAGCCTAAAAAAAGTATGGAAAATAAAATATTACAACTGTTATAATTACTGATCACTGACTTGAGCGCTAATGTCTCTTTTGCAGGCCGACCACATCTCGGACTTTAAGACGGAAGAAAGTTAACCATTTACAAATTCAACAATCCAAAATTTATCTCGTCCAGAAATCATAGCATGCTGGATAAGATTGATTTTATAGGAGACTCTCAACTTTATAAGAACATAAAAATTATTAATTTTAATAATATAAAATTAATTATATTTTATATAAAATCTAAGATTGACAAACATTTAATAAAAAATATGATAAAAATAAATAAAATTAATTTCACTCTATTTCACACTTTTAACTTTAAGGAATAACACTGTTTTCAAATAACATATTTAAAATAAATTATTTAAAGAATGTATGTTAAGTTTTAAAGTATGTTAAGAACTCTAAATATTATAATTTTTATCTTAAATATTTATAACATTTTATATGTTATCTTAAATTTACTAAATTTAAATGGTAAGAAATATAATTTTTAGTAAATTTAAGATAAATTTAAGCTTCAAACGACATGAAAAAGTATGGTGATACGAAATTAAAGGTTAATGTCCCTATGAAACTTTCAATCATATAAGCAACATTTAATAGTTGTAAAAAATAATTAAAGGTTGAGTATGCAATATTTTGTAATTTTTCTACTTCAGATAAATAAGCCGGCTTGTTTATACGCTATTTTTGTCGCCTACAACAAAAAAAACATATGATTTTCCATTACTTTTAATTAAAATTATGTGGAAGAGTCCTCTTATTCCACCCCTTGACTATCAATGTCAAATTCTTTAGTTACTATTCTTCCTTCAAAGCAAGATTATTTTAAGAGAAGATATATAGATTTATTATTATTGTCCTTTAAAATAATATAATTTTCAATAGTACATTTTGGCAAATAGTTTTAAAAAATAAAATTAATATATGAATTCGTAATTATAATTATCCAATATTTATCAGAATGAGAGGAAAAAAAAAGTTTTTTAAAACCTCTGGCACGCCTGATGGGACTCGAACCCACAATCGTCTAATTAGAAGTCAGACGCCTTATCCATTAGGCCACAGGCGCTAATATATTTTTGATATTTTACAGAAATAATAAATTAATATTAAACGAACCAATCCCATTTTAGTGTAAGTTCATTTATAAAATACTGTACTAGTAACATGTTTTAATTTATAATTTGATTAAATAAAATGTTAATGTATATTAAATTCAGCTACTAGTGAAGATAATTTATTATATAATTTAATATAAATTGATAAAATTGTCTTTTTCATTCTACAAAGCAACATAGATTCACCACTGTTAGTTTAAATTCAATTAATGCAATATTTTTTTTCAAAAAATCGGGAATTACACATTTTAAGAGTGAGATCAAGATAATATATATAAGTAATTTTAAAAATAAAATTATGACGATAAAAAATTTAAATATAAAATATCTTATAAAAATTAATTCTAACTATATTATCATAATTAAAATTAAAACATACTTATTTAATGTTATGATATTATAGGAGGATATAGATATAAGAAAATAATTAAGTTAAATAATAAATAATTAAGTCTTGTAATATTTGATATAAAAAATATTTTATTTTAAATTATTTTTAAAAAGAGATTGATAAGAATAATTAAAAAAAAAACATGAAAATATGTGTACTTACTATTATTTTTCGAATATTTTCTATAATAATATACCTGAAAAACTATTTGTTTAGTAGACCAATTAAATTACTTATCTAGTCCCAATTTTTCCTTTAATGTGCCACCATCTTGTTTTCCAATTTTCTCGGTTAAAAATAGGTTTCCATGAGTCGATTTTTTTTATTAAGGCTTTTACTTCTTTTTAGAAACACGTTTAAACAAAATAAGATTTAAATAAAAACTTCTTACACTATATTTAATGTATTATATTATACTATTTAATATAATAATTAATAGTATTATATATTTTTTAAAATATTAATATTACATATTTAAATAGTAACAAAATCTAAAATTAACATTATTAATAATTAATGAAATATAAAAATAATTTTAATATAAAACATTAAATTTATATAAATGTTACTCATATAAAAATGTATTTATTATTAATATTAATAATTAACATATTAAAACAAAATAAATATTAAATTTAAAAATTAAAATAATAATTTTAAATATTAATAAAAAAATTCAAATAAAATTCTAATGTTACATATTAATCATTACATTAATAATAACATTGTTGTTAATATAAATTATTTTCATAATTTAACAGTACTAATTAAAACATATTACTAAAAATTATTAAGAAGGACATAAATTTAATTTATATTATTAATAATGATTCACAAAGAATAAAGTTTTATTTATTTGCTATATTTTAAATTTTGTACTTGATTTAAATTTTGTATGTGGTTCATAAGTTGTTAGTACGTAAGAGTTTGTTAATACGTGAAACTTATTTTTGTACTTGATTTAAATTTTGTATGTGGTTCATAAGTTGTTAGTACGTAAGAGTTTGTTAATACGTGAAACTTATTTTCTTATTAGTTCATGAGTTGTAAAGCTAAATTTGTATATTTAACTTCTTTATGAATAAATAATAGAATCAAGTTTTTTGACATAAGGTATCAGAGTCAGTTTCAACTTTCACTCAAAACAAGATGCAGACTTTTTTCATGCCAGCACAGATAGTAATTTCGTGCAACCTGCAATTCTAAAGTTAAATGAGGATGTCCTAAAAGAGTACTAAAATCTTATAGTTCATGGAATTCCAGGACATGAAGATGGGACCGTGTTAACAAGCTCTCATGCCACGTGCTAACAAGCTCCCACGTGCCACGTGCTAACAAACTCCCATGTGTTACGTGCTAACAAGCTCTCACGTGCCACGTGCTAACAAGCTCCCACGTGTTAACAAGTTGTCACGTGCTAACAAGCTCTTATGTGTCACAGGCTAACAAGCTCCTATGTGCTAACAAGCTCTCACATCCCACATGCTAACAAGCTCCACGTGGAACGTCCTAACAAGGTCTCACGTACTAACAAGCTCTCATGTGCTAACAAGCTCTTACATGCTAACAAACTCTCACGTACTAACAAACTCGCTCGTACCAACAAGCTCGCTTGTGTTAATAAACTGGTTCGACTACCTCGTACTAACAAGCTCCCACGTGGGACGTGCTAACAAGCTCCCACGTGCCAACAAGCTTGCCTGTGCTGACAAGCTTGTCCGTGCGCTCACTCATACCAACAAACTTGCTCGTGCCAACAAGCTCCCACATGCTAACAAGTTAAGCTCTCACGTACTAACAAGCTCACTCGTGTAAACAATCTCCCTCGTGCGAACAAGTTCTCTCGTGCAAACAAGTTCTCTCATACTAACAAGCTCCCTCGTGCGAACAAGCTCCCTCGTGCGAACAAGCTCCCTCGTGTGAATATACTCCCTCATACTAACAAGCTCCCTCATGCTAAAAAGCTCACATGTGAGATATGCTAATAAGCTCCCACGTAAGATGTGCTAACAAGCTCCCACATAGCTAACCACGTGCTAACAAGCTCTCATACACTAACGAGCTCTTATGTCTCACTTGCTAACAAGCTCTCACGTGCTCCCACGTGGGACGTGTTAACAAGCTCGCTCATACTAACAATAAGCTCTCACGTGTTAACAAGCTCACTTGTGCTAATAATAAGCTCACTCGCTCGTGCTAACAAGCTCCTATGTGGAACATGCTAACAATATCTCACTTGCTAACAAGCCAAGCTCTCACATGCTAACAAGCTCACCTGTGCCAACAAACTCGTTTGTGCTCTCGCTCGTGTTAACAAGCTCCCACGTGCCAACAAGCTCTCACGTGCCAACAAACTCCCATGGGCTAATAAGCTCCCACGTGCTAACAAACTAAGCTTCCACACGCGCTAACAAGCTCGCTCGTGCTAACAAACTCTCTCGTGCTAACAAGCTCTTACGAAGGATGTGCTAATAAGTTCCCACATGCTAACAAGCTTCCACGTGCTAACAAGCTAGGTTCCCACGTGCTAACAAGCTAAGCTCCCACATGCTAACAAGCTAAGCTCCCACATGCTAATAAGCTCCCACTTGCTAAGAAGCTCCCTCGTGCCAACAAGTTCCCTTATGCTAACAAGCTCTCACGTGCTAACAAGCTTCCATGTGCTAACAATCTCCCACGTGGGAAGTGCTAACAAACTCTTACAAGCTAATAAGCTCCCACAGGCTAACAATCTCCCATGTGCTAACAAGCTCGCTTGTGCTAATAAGCATTTAAGTGCTAACAATAAGTTTCTATGTGCTAACAAGCTTTCACTTAAGACGTGCTAACAAGTTCTCACGTAAAACGTGCTAACAAGCTCCTACGTAAAACGTGCTAACAAGCTTCCATGTACTAACAAGCCCCCACTTGCTAATAAGGTCTCTCATGCTAACAAACTCTCTCGTGCTAACAAGTTCGCTCGTACTAACAAACTTCTACGTGCTAACAAGCTCTCACATACTAACAAGCTTGCTCGTGCTAAATAGATCACACGTGCTAACAAGCTCGCTCAGCTCCCTCATGCTAACAAGCTCCCACGTGGGACATGATAACAAGTTTTCATGTGATAACAAGCTCTCACGTGGGACGTACTAACAAGTTCTCATGGGAGACGTGCTAATTAGCTCCCACGTGGAATGTGCTAAAAGGCTGCAACGTGCAAACAAGCTCCCACGAGCTAACAAACTTGATCGTGCTATCAAGCTCGGTCGTGCCAACAAGCTCCTACATGCCAACAAGCTTCCACGTGCTAATAAGCTAAGCTCCCATGTACTAATAAACTTCTTCATACTAACAAGCTTCCTCGTGCTAATAAGCTCCCTCGTGTTAACAAACTCTCTCGTGCTAACAAACTTTCACATGCTAACAAGTTTCAACATGCTAACAAGCTCTCACGTGGAATGTGCTAACAAAGTCTTACAGAGCTAATAAGCTCTCACAAGCTAACAAGCTCCCTTGTTTATTATTATTTTCATAATATTTATAATGTGAGTTTTTTTTTTTAAACAAATAAGTTAAGTTTTCTTATTTTCATAAAATTCTATTTTATTATTATTATTATTATTATAAAAATTTGTAGTGTTTTGTTTCTAGTAGAATTTTAAGCATTGAAATGCAATTTCACGAACTGTGAGACGTATGGGTTAGATATGAAAATTGCGGTTTGGTTTTACCTACCTCACATTCTCCTCAACTTTATATTTTTAAAGGATTTTTGTTGGGGTAAAAATTAAGTTTATATGTTTTTTTAAAGGTTTTTTTCACCTTTGACTCGTTAGTTTTATATCATTTTAAAAAAAGATATTTATAATAAATTAATTAATATTTTTTATATATAGTTTTATACATAAATAAATATTTATAATTTAATAATTTTTAATTATAATTATTATTAATAATTAAATATACCTTAATTTATTATATTTATATTAATATATGTAAATATTTAATATTTTTTATATAAATACAAAATACCTATAAATTATTATTATTATTATATAATATAATATTGTATTTAAATATTTGATTATATAAGTTAATTATTTTTTAAGTTATTATTTTAAAATATTTATGAATATTAAATATATAATTTATAAGAAAATATTTAATAAGTTAGTTCATATTTAATTAGTTCAAAATAGTAAAAATTTTAATTACCAATTTTATTTAACTTTTCAAAATATAATTATTTTATTAAGAAATTTTTTTAGATATGATAAATAAAAATAATAAAATATAAAAAAATTATGATATAATAAAACTTAATAAAGATAAATTATAAATAAAATAATATTAGTTATTATTAAGATTAATGTAGAATATTTAGAAAAGATTAAAAAATTATCTTATGTTCGTCATATTGGTTGAAGAAATAGAAGAAAACAAGATCAAATTGATCGAAGAGATTAACAAAATGTGAATAATTGAACGGTAAGAGAAATAAAATAATATAGTGACTGATTGATCTAAGAAATTGAAAAAGATAAAAGAGTGAGAGGTAGGTATAAAAAAAGTAAAAAAGTTAAAATATAAAAAAAATGATCTTACATATAATGTAAGAAGAAAAATGAAACATTTTAAGATTTAAATTTAAACATAAAATTGAGGTAGAGAATGTATCACTCGTCCCGTCCCAACTTTTTAAAATTGAGAAAATTTGTGTCCGACAATTTGTTTTTTTTTTTTGTCAAACTCGCGACGGAGACAGATAAGTTCCCGTGGGTCTTATATATAATGTCAGAAAAAAATATTTTAAAAATACTAATATTTTAGGATTTAAATTTAAATATAAAATTGAGACAAAGATGAAGTTGAAGCGGGGATAGACATTACCCATTATTACTTCCGTCCCTGATCTTTTTAAAGTGAAAAAAACTCAAAATCACCTTTATTTTCAATCAACTCAACTTTTTCCCGTCAAATCTTATGATTATTATAAGTTATATTTACTATATATTCATAATTCTATGTTATTTATAAAGTTAAAAGAAAAAAAAAACCATTTAAATAATTCATCTATTATGATTGTGAGAATATCGCCTAAATACAACTAAACACGCCTGGTGGGACTCGAACCCACAATCGTCTGATTAGAAGTCAGACGCCTTATCCATTAGGCCACAGGCGCTACACATTTCAAAACTCTACAGTAAATATAATAATCAATATTTAATTAAAAAGTTGGATAATAAAAAAAGACTTATACTGTATTTAGATTAAATTATTTGAAAGAGTGAAAAAATTAAAGTAAACAAGAGAATGAAAATTGAAATTATTTGGATTAAGTGAAATGAGTGAAAATTAAAATAAATTTATTTATTATTTTAATATAATTTTTTAATTATTTATTTTTATAATAATATAAAAAGAAAAAAATATATTAAGTAAAAAGTTTTCAAATTATGTTTGAAAAAATAATTTTTCTTCGTTTATCTTTACGTAAAAATATTTTTCTCAATTTTTATAATTTTATACGTAGAAATACATAAAATTCACGCATGCGCCTTCAATCTTTCTATAACCCCGGAACAAACCGGCGCTTAGAGTCAATTCATTTATAAAATATTAAACTAGGAACATATTTTTATATTGCCCAACATGATAATATGATATTACTATTCAATAATAGGAAAATGTCCAAATTTAGAAAATATTTTATAATTATATATACTTTATTTATGTTGAAATTCAATGCAAATTACTAACAAAACACAAGTCAAATATTAAATAATTAAGTCTTGTAGTATTTTATATAAAAAATATTTTATTTTTAAATTATTTTTCTAGAAACGAGGTTGATAGAAGTATTTCTTTTTTCTTTTAAAGAAAATGTATAAAAAATATGTCTGATTACTATTATTTTTCAAAAAAAATTCTCCAATATATACCTAAAAACTATTTCTTAGTAGACCAATAAAATTACTTATCTAGTCCCAATTTTTCCATTAGAGATGGACCTGAATTCTTTGACTTTGCCACTATTATGTGTTTCCAATTTTCTCTCCTAAAAATATTAACATAAATAAAAAAATTAAAATACTAATAATAAATACAAATAAAATTCTAATGTTATATATTATTGATTACATTAATGATAATATTATTTTTAATATAAATTATTTTCATAATTTAATAATACTAATTATAACATATGAATAAAAAATTTATTAATGTTGGTATAAATTTAATATCTTATATTCACATTAATTATTAATGATATTTATAATATAAGATTCTATTTTATATACAAGTTGGAGCATGAAGATCCTCAATGCCCAACTTGCCAAGAATGTCAGTTAGTTGGTTGGTTGGTAGTGCGAACATGAGAGGTGGTAATGGTACCACGTTGAACTTCATCTTATACAAAATGGTAATCTACCTATGTTTAGTTATCTCGTGAAAAATTGGATTCGCTGTTATGTGAAAAGTAGTATGGCTGTCAAAATATATGTGCACGGATGTTGGACGAGGCACGTCCAAGGATTCAAGAAGACCTTTTAACCATTTCAATTTGTAAATAGTGGTTGCCATAAAGCGGTATTCTGCTTCTGCAGAGGATCGAGACATAATGTGTTATTTTTTTATCTTTTTCCACTAGATTTGAAAGGAATTTAAAAACACCACATATCTAATGAAAAATCCACATGTAAGAGGACAATTAGTCTAATCTGAGTCACAATATGTTGTTAATTACATATCACTATAAGCTCATAGTAGAATGTCTTGTCCAAGGTTGCTTTCAAGATAATGTATGACTTGTAAAGCTGCCTCCTAATGGTCTTCTTGTGGATGCTGCATAAATTGAGCAAATACATGTACAGAGAAGCTGAGCTCAGGCTTAGTGATAATAAGATAGATAAGTCATCCTACCAGCCTCCTATATTGTGCGGATCTTCCATAAGAGCTCCTTTTGGCACAACTAATTGATGATTTTGTTCCATTGGAGACACTGTTGGCTTTGCCCCAAGAAAACTAGCTTTAGTAACAATGTCCAGTGCATACTTCCGCTAACAGAGAAAAATCCCTTCAGGCCCACGAGCAACCTTAATACCCAAGAAGTATTTAAGAGTTCCTAGATCCTTCATGTAAAAGCATATGTTTAGATATTTCTTGAGTTGAGTCAGCTTGAGAATCGTTGTTGGCGATGACCAAGTCATTAACATATACCAACACACTGAGTTTATCTGTTGTTGAAAATCTTGGTGGGAGTTGCATGAACACCTCTTCATCCAAATCGCCATGCAAGAATGCATTATGAACGTCCATTTGATGTAACTCTCATTGTTTGCCATTAGCACTATTGTCATCTTTGCAACTGGAGCAAAGGTCTCGTTGTAATCCAATCTTTCTTTTTATCGGTTGTCAAGGATCACCAATCGCGATTAATAGCTTTCTACAATTCCATCAAAGTGGTACTTGATTTTATGCACCCATTTGCATCCTATTGCCTTTTACCCAGGGGCAAAGGCTCCAAAGTCCATGTTTCATTGCTTCTAAAAGCATCTAATTCCTTGTTCATTGCTTCTATCCATCTTTCATCCTTCATAGCTCCATGTTATTGAAGCTAAGAATGCACGATATTTAGTAGAAAACTTAGCACATATTACATAATTGGCTATGGGATAAGGAGTCTTACTTGAGGACTTTGACTCGGATGGTGTTTGAGTGTGAGTGGGGTCTTTCAGACACCGTGCAGTGTAAGTCACGTAGTCTCTTAATAGGACTGAGGTCTTATGTTGGCACTGTCCTCTACCAAGTCGTTCTTCTTATTCAACTGCACCCTCTTCTTATCCATTGTCATCGCTATTTCTCTCACTTATGGTCACTTCACTTCCACATCGTTGTTATATTTCATGCTCACATATATCCAATCTCCCTCTCTTTGTTATATTTGTAATTCATGCCTCACTCCCTTTATTCCTTTTACTTTCATTGGGTCCGTCAAAGAATACGCAGTCTATTAGGTTTTTATTCTGGTTCTTTGTTGTTTACGAGATCTTGACTAGTGACAAATGGAAAAACATTCTCATGAAACACCACATCCTAGAGACCAAATATTTTTCTTTTTTTGATGTCATATACTTGCCATCCTTTCTTTCCATATGGATATCCCAAGAACACACACTTTATACTTATTTCACAAAACTTATCTCTTCCATTTTGGTGCGCGTAACAAAGGCACCCAAATACTCTCAATTGATTATAAGTAGGTGTCCTTCCAAACAAAACCTCATAAGGGTTTTTTTATTGAAGAAGAGAAGAAGGGGTTCAGTTTATAAGATAGGCTTCAATCAAAATGCATTCCCCTAAATCCGTATAGGCAAACTAGCTTGAAATCTGAATGCTCTAGTTACGTTTAGAATGTGCCTATGCTTTGTCTCAACTCTCCCATTTTACTGAGGTGTTACACAGGACGTTTGGAGTAATATACCATGTTATCCATTAAAGTATGGTTTTATACATGTGAATTCAGTCTTGTTATCACTTTGTATTACTTTAACTTTTTCTTCAAATTGACGCTCATTAAATATACAAATTTTTTAATAGTTTGTCTCAAGCAACAGGTAAACTCACATAGTATGAGAAAAATCATTGACAATTGTAAAAAATAACTTGCACCACAAGATTTTGCACTTTATAAGGTCTCCATAACTCACATATGCATGAAGGAAAACTTTCATCAGCTTTATTTTGACTTTCTTGAAATACATCACGAGCTTGCTTAACTTTATAATAAATATCACAAAAATCAATTGGATCACCACCATTTATCTCACCTCCAAACATCACGAGTTTGCTTAACTTTCTAATAAATGTTACAAAAATCAGTTGGATCAGCACCATTTGTCTCACCACCATTTGCCTCAAGGAGGTAGGTAAGAATTCCTTTGAATGGGTGTTCTAATCTCTCATGCCACAACTTGCCAACATTTATTATTTTTGTTTTATTTGCCTGTACTGGTATTATAGTCCTAAACAGAAAACCCCCATCACACTCTTCACCCAGTCCAATCAGAGTACTCGAAGTTTGGTCTTGCATCACACATAGCTTATTAGTAAAAGTAACAATGCAATTCAAATCTCGCACAAGTTTAGCAACAAATATGAGGGTGCAATGCATATTAGGAACATATAACACATTTCCCAAGTAAATATTTTTTCCTAGATGCAGTAATCCATCCTTTACAGCTTGGTTTGTTTTCCATGGGGAAGTTTCACCGAACACGATACAATATTCCGTACTTTAGTCAATAGTTCAATCACACCTGTCATGTAGTGTGAAGCCCTGGAGTCAATATCCATTCACCATTATTCTTACTAAATAATTTCTCAATTCCTCCTGCTTTGTGTGTTTTCAGTAATTGTTGTTGTTTGTTGCCTTTCCATCCCTTTAGTTTGTGCTGCATTTGCTCTAGCATTCTGACCTCTTCCTCCTCCAACATATGAATTTCCCCATCCCAATTCATGTCCTGCACTCTTTATAGTTGAATCATGTCCAGTCTTCCTGTAGTGGTTACATGTCGTCCCCTTTTCTTTAGTTCGAACAGCAAATGCCTTTACTCCAGTACCCACCTGCATGATAAAGCCCATGATATCACCTCATTCTTCCTTGCTTCTAGCTATATTTTTGTTTTTGTGACGCTCTTCTTGTATAATTATTGCATATGCTCGGCTCAGGTTTGGTAGAGGTTCCATATTCAAAATGTTGGAACATATGGTCCCATATATTGCATCATTTAGACCCATCAAGAATTGGTGGACCTTCTCTTCCTCTCTCCTCTTTTCTAATTCTTTTGCAATATCACATTGGCACCCACCACACTTACATGTTGGAGTTGGTTCATAACTTACCAATTCATCCCACGTAACTTTCATCTTTCCATAGTATGCAGCAATTGTCCCATTTGCTTGCACCCAGCCAAATATGCTTTGAGATAATAGATATGTTCCTCATGTTCCTCCCACAAATTTCTAACACTCTCCATATAAGTAATGGTTGATCATAGGCTTGGTTCTATGATGTTAAGGATCCACGCCACCAACATGGAGTTCACCATTCACCAGTCTTTAATTTCAGTTGATTCATCCTTTGGCTTGGTTATAGTCCCATCCACACGTTAATTAGTTTCTTCTTTGCTCGTAACTTTGAGTTTTTTCTAAAATATTTTATGTAATTTCTGATTGTTTTTTGGTTTGGTAAAAATCCTTATTTTATGGAAAAGTAAGTTGTATGGTCAAATATTAGGTAGAAAAGAGTAGTAGTCCTTATTTTGTGGAGATTTACATATCTCTTTATGTATGCAAAAAGAAAACCTTTATGATATCAATGAACAACTGAGTTTTCTTTCCTTTTATTCACTGCTGAACTCTGCATCACTTTTTTTTTTTTTTTTCTGGTTTTATACTACTTTGCTATTTTTTTTGATTTTACAACATGGTATCAAGAGCCCATTGATTTTAAGGGACATGTGAGGGAGTGAAAATCAGTTAGAAAGATATATACAAACCAGAAAAAAATACCAATAACAGAGAATGACATCCAGTAGCAATTCTTTACCTCCACCTCCAGTTTTTGTGGGAGAAAATTATGATTTGTGGGCTGCGAAAATGAGAACTTATTTGAGAGCACAAACTTTGTGGATGTGGTGGAAAATGGAAGTAATCTAGCCCCTTTATCCAATGACCCAACTATGACTCAAATACGACTCCATAATGAAGAAGTGGCAAAGAATGACAGGGCACTTGTCATCATGCATGCAACAGTACACGATGATGTTTTTATCAAGATATTGAATCTTGAGACAGCAAAAGAGGCTTGGGAAAAGTTAAAGGAGGAGTTCCAAGATAGCGAAAGAACAAGGAGGATGAATGTACTGAATCTGAGAAGAGAATTTGAAAATGAAGGAGTTTGAAATAGTGAAAGAGTTTTCTGACAGACTTTCTAAAGTTGTTACTCAGATTAGATTGCCAGGTGAAGAACTTAAAGATCAAAGAGTTGTGGAAAAAATATTGGTGTGTCTTTCAGAGAGGTTTGAGTAAAAAATCACCTCTCTTGAAGAGAATAAAGATTTTTCTCAGATTTCAGTTGCAGAACTAGTTAATGCTTTACTAGCTACTGAGCAGAGACAATTTCTAAGAATGAAAGAAAATGTTGAAGGTGCTTTTGTGGTTAACACCAAAGGCAAACCTCAAGGTAGAAGTAGCTATGAAAAAAGGTCGTTTGGCGGGAAGAAAGACAAAGAAAAAAAAGAAGATGACGGCTACAAAAGAGGAGGTAGAAAAGAGAAGTTTCCACCTTGCCGTCACTGTAAAAAGACAAACCATACAGAAAACTACTGTTGGTTTAGGCTTGGAGTCAAGTGTAGGGCCTGTAACTAGCTTGGTCAGGTGTCACGTAGAAAAAGTTTGCAAAAACAAGGCAAAGCAGCAAGGACAACAAGCTCAAGTTGTTGAGTACCAAGAACAAGCAACATAAGAAGTTTGGCTCATAGACAACGGGTGTACTAATCATATGACTCATGATGCTAGTTTTTTTAAGGAACTTGATCAGTCCTACTTGTCAAAAGTCACTATTGGTAATGGAGAAAATGTTGATGTCAAAGGAAAAGGAGTGATTGCTGTTGAAACTCCTACAGGTACCAAATATATTTCATATGTTTTTTTTTGTGCCTAAGTTGAGTCAAAATCTTTTGAGTGTGGGGTAAATGCTTGAAAAGAATTATGCTTTGTATTTTGAAAATATGAGATGTACCATATTTAATCCTTATGGATGTGAGCTAATGTCTGTCAAAATGAGAGAGAAATTTTTTCCTTTAGAATGGAAACAAACTATTGAACAAGTTTTTCCTAGCATAGAAGATGAATCTTCCTTGTAGCATAAGAGGTTTGGTCACTTTAGTTACTCAACCTTAAGGCTAATGAAGTATAATAATTTAGTTCAGAATATGCCTTCTATTCATGAACATAATGATGTGTGTGATGTATGTCAATATGGAAAGCAAAGGAAACTACCATTTCCTAATGAAGCAAGTTGGAGAGCTACTGAAAAACTGTAACTTATACACACTGATGTATGTGGCCCAATGAGCTCAATGGCCCAATGAGCTCAACATCCTTAAATGGCAATAGATATTTTCTCTTGTTTGTAGATGGCTTTACAAGAATGAGTTGGGTGTTTTTTTCTAAAACAGAAATCAGAAGTGCTTGCTGTTTTTCAAAAGTTCAAGTTGGTAGTTGAACATGAGGCTGGAAGCAAAATAAAAAAACTCAGATATGATAATGGAACTGAGTATACAACAGGGGAGTTTCAAAAATTTTGTGCACAAGTAGGAATTCAACAGCAATTAACTGTTCCTTACACCCCTCAGCAAAATGGGGTGAGTGAAAGAAAAAAATAGGACCATTATGGAGATGACAAGGTGTTTGCTCTTTGAAAAAGATATTCCAAAAACCTTTTGGGTAGAGGCGGTTAATACCTCTACATACTTGCTGAATATGTTGCCTACCAAAGCCTTGAAAGGCAAAACACCTTATGAAGCATGGTATGGAAGGAAGTCCTCAGTGGAATATCTCAAAATATTTGGCTGCATATGTTATACTCATATTCCAGAGATAAAGAGAGATAAATTGGATCACAAGTCAGAAGTTGAAATTTTCTTGGGGTACTCTAGTAACTCCAAAGGTTATAGGATATACAATCCTTTGACAAAGAAGATTTTCATTGGTAGAAATATAAAGTTTGATGAATTTTCTAGATGGAATTGGGAGAAATGCAAGGTAGAAGCCTTAAGTAAAAAACAGCTTGGAGTAGACACTCTCCAAGAACAATATTCAGAGATTGAAGAAGAAGATATAGTTGATGATGATGATGATGATTTTCCAGTTAGAGGCACTAAAACTCTTGCTGAAATTTATGAAAGGTGTAACATTGCTACACTAGAACCTAAAGAATATGATGAAGCAGTTGAAATGGATGGGTGGAGATGTGCTATGCAGGAGGAGATGAATATGATTGAAAAAAACAAAACTTGGCAACTTGTAGACAAGCCTACTAAACACAAAGTTATTGGTCTTAAGTAGGTTTATAGATTGAATCCTGATGGTTCTATAAACAAACTAAAGGCTAGACTAGTTGTTAAAGGCTATCATCAAAAACATGGTGTTGATTTCTTAGATATATTTGCCCCAGTGGCAAGACATGATACAATCAGGTTGCTAGTTGCATTAGCAGCAAAAATGGGTTGGAAAATTTATCACTTTGATGTGAAATCAACCTTTTTAAATGGTTTACTTGAAGATGATATCTTTATTGAACAACCTAAAGGCTTTGTTGTTCTAGGGAGTGAAAACAAAGTCTACAAACTTCAAAAAGCTCTTTATGGATTAAAGCAGGCTCCTAGGGCTTGGTATAGTAGAATTGATAGCTATCTTCTGCATAAAGGGTTTAAACAGAATGAAAATGAAGCTACTTTGTATGTGAAAAGGTCAAGCAATGAAGTGCAGCTCATTGTTTCCTTATATGTTAATGATTTGCTAGTTATTGGCAATAATTCAGATTCCTTGAGCAGCTTTAAACATAACATGGCAACTAAATTTGAAATGACTGACTTGGGAGAAATGAATTATTTTCTTGGAATGGAGATTCACCAATGTAATGTTGGAATCTTCATTACACAAAGAAAATATGCTTTGAAAATATTGAAGAAGTTTTCTATGAAGAATTGTAAACCTATAAACACACCCCTTGTTGTAAATGAAAAGTTGTCACTTGATGATGCTGGCAGCAAAGTAGATACTACTACTTATAGAAGCTTAATTGGAAGTTTATTATATCTTACAGCCACTAGACCAAATTTAATGTTTGCTGCAAGTTTGCTGTCCAGATTTACGCATTCTCCTAGTCAAGCTCATTACTGTGCAGCAAAACGAGTATTGAGATATATAAGAGGGACAACTGATTATGGTCTATGTTTTTCAAAGGATGAAAGTGGTGATCTTCAAGGATATGCAGATAGTGACTGGGCAGGAAGTTTAGATGATGCTAAAAGTACATCAGGTTATGTTTTCTCATTTGGCAGTGGAGTTTTCTCTTGGAATTCAAAGAAATAAGATGTGGTGGCTCAATCCACAGCCGAAACTGAATATATTTCAGCTGCAATGGCTGCAAATAAAGCCATTTGGCTTAGAAATATTTTGCATGATTTGAGGGAATTGAATGATGAAGCATACCCTTTAGCATCTTTAGTCCAATTTTTTTTTTCCTTCTTAAAATCGCAACCACAGAAGGTTGATTGAAGAATTGTGACTTTGATTTTGATATAGTATCACACTTGGCTAACGAGGGTAAAAAGATGTATGAACACTCGAGAACTTTTGGGTAAAGAAAAGTAGAATTTTACTTTAAATTGACTTCGTATTATTAAAATAAAATATACAATTAAAGTGTAAATCTTATTTCATAAAGTTTGTTAATTATTGAAAGAGAGAATAGCAAAATGTGTGGGGGCAAGAAAACATAGGAAACTGACTGAAGAAGTTTGGCACTGACACTGACACTGACTCGGAGTGGCAATTAATATACAATGAATTGGCATAATACATAACCTACTATTTAGGTCCATCCATGTCTTTCTCAAATTTGATCAATACTGATGTTCATATAGAAGATAGCACCATCATTCTCACAATTTTTGTGTATGAATTGTTAATAGAATTTGTCAACCTGATTATCTATTGCTATTATTTTAAATAGATTTTGTTTCCCATGTTAATGTTTTTTCCCTGTTAAATATAAATTTATAAACTATAATACTCCTCTCTCTCCCTCCCAATATATTTTAGATATGAATTATAATCCGCAACTCAATTCGAATTGCTATGATTTTAGTTATCATAATTCGAATAAGATTGAGTTAAAAAAAATATAAATATGTTTAATTAGAAGTCAAAATGATTTTTAATGTTTTAAAACTTATAAATCCATGAAAAAATATTTTAATGAATCAACTGATTAATCTATTTTTTTATAAACAAACTTACATATTTTAATAAATAAATTCACTTAACTCACCTATTTTAATAATTTAAAAAAAATTAAAAATATAAGAAATATACTTAAATGAGTAAATTAGAATAGTTCACTAATCCTTAACTATTCTTGTAAAATTTTTGACTTCCTATTGGATTAAACTAACCTATTTTTAATATAATTCATAATAAACTAAATTTTAATTCATTTTGTCTAATCACATACTCGACGAGTGAAAAATAACTAGTTTGTTGATTCACTTTTAAACAAATATTTACACGTTAAAATAAAAATAAAAATATTATAACTTAAAATATCATATTTAATTATATTATTAAAATATGTAAATATAATATAATATTATAATTTAAATAATAAAAAAATAAATTAAAATTATTAATCATAATTGAATATTTTATCCACTAAATATAGTGATTTTCTTAATTTAATCATTAAATAAGAAATTTTTTAAAATATCTATATAATTAAATATGTATTTTTTAATATATATATATATAATTTGGCAAAAAAAAATCAAGGCGTATATTTCATCTTACTATGATAAATTAATTCGTTTTATCTTACTTTTTACATATATACAACAAATTGGGTAAAACAAATTGATCAAAAGAGATAGGTAGATCCATTTTGTAACTCCATACTCAAATAAATAAATATATATATATATATATATATATATATATATTACATTTAATAGAGTTCAATATAAAAAAATATTTTTCTAAATCTTATTTAATGTTATTATTTTAAAAATGATTTATTTTTACATTTAAATAGCATTCTAATTAAAATTAAAATTTTAAAATTGGTACCTTGTAATCAAACCATGAACAGATTCAAGGATAACGAATGAAGAGGGGGATATAATTTCCTTGGATAATGAGAAGAAACAAATGAGGTCTTGGTAATGTAGATACAGAAGAGAAACTCCACACAGCAAGACTTACGTAGGCAAGGCCAAAGAATATACATAGAATATTTTTCTTTTTACGAAAACTCCCTTCATGGGATAGCAATAAGTGTTCAATACACAAACAATATGCCACACCACCTTAGTGACTGGTACAAACATTCTAATCCACCACCACCACCGCCAAACAAAATCAATATTTCAATTAATAAAACAACACATGAATTCTTATTATAGATAGTGAAATAACTGATATAAGTTTTAGTAGCAATACCGAGTTTCTTGTGAAAAATCGTCCAACAGCAGTTAGGCGAAAGCTATTAAGTGAGAAGTGACTTGTATCCAGAGGAAAGTACCAAGGAACAGGAGAATCAATTGCAAGATCTTTCTCCCAGATTACCTTCATGCACAAAATGAATGAATCTTCACTTAGCCAATTAGATTTTTGGTTACGTTTCATCTCTTAAATGTTCATAGAACATTACTATGAAGAATAATAATAATAATAGATGGATGTTCACCTCAAAACCTGCTTGCTTCAGAGCTTCAGCACATTGTGTGGTCAATCTAATGTCAGGAAGTCCATCACCAATCTCAATTTGCGCCTGTAATGAGAAAACATTTTTATAGAATTACAAACCATGTTGAGTCAAGGGAAAGGGTAGAAGAAGATAAAGTCAGAATCTAATTCTTTATATCTCTCCATCATACCTTTAGCTTTTGGTGCTCTTCGTTGTTGGGATCAAACACATCAGTCATGCACCATTCATATGCAGCAAAATATTGACCAGGCTTCAACACTCTAAAGATCCCTTTGTAGCATCCACACTATCCGCAATTCAACATCAGGAAAGAAAAATAGAAGTTTCAAATAATACAAATTAAAGACCGAATTTTGTTAAATCACAGTTTCATACAAGCACAAAATATATAGTGTAAGTATGGCCACTGGAATGTGGTTAATAAACGCGTGTCAAGTTATACGAGTGCATCCGCAAATACAGAAAGTTGATGTGTTTGTATGGATTGGAAATGACTTAAGAGTACCAAAATGGTCACATACAGCATCTGGCGCATGACATGTAGCTTCAGCTGCATACACTGCATCAAAACTGTTGTCTGTGAATGGCATTTTCATGAAGTCAGCCTGCATTATCAAATATGATAATCATGGTGTTGTTAGATATAAACTTAAAATCACATAATTTTCATTATCAATACATCCAATACAACCCCCTGTTTTCCATCAAAACGAATAAATAAATCCAATGCAACATAAAGAAATTGGACTCATATATGTTAGATAATAATTTGTGTCCCCTACCCCAGAAAAAAGGAAAAAACTGTTTAAAGAAGATCAACCTTGACATAGTTGCAAGTCTTGTCCACTCCAGCCATGCGATCGAGTGCCTGTTAATTAGTGAAAGCTAATGAGAGATCATAGTGTGTTATTATTTAGATCAGTATCCACAATAATGTTTGGTAAAGTCATACCATTTATTCGTCAACAAAAATTTAAGAATATAAGATGATTGACAAGTCAAGTTGCTATGTCAATATGTTGTACTAATTACACATAAAAACATATCTCTCCTCTTGTTATCTGATACTCATTGTTGTTCAATCCTGTAACTGATGTTGAGCTGCAAAATTACAACCAAGTTTATGAACCCATCATTCTTTCCTTAAAAAAACAAATTACTTCTAAAAAACATTCTTTGCCATACTTGGTACCAATGGAATATTAGTGGTACAGAAGAAAACTGGGATCCAGGAAACATAGCAGGTTACAATTTTCATTATATCAAGTACTTTGGTTGCCTAGACAATGTAAACTATTCTTATGGCATGAGACATTCAATCAAAAGGTAATAAATTCGATTCTGTTGATTTTCAAGCATAGCTATACTTCATTTTTTTTTTTTTTTTGCCTATAATTATGAAGCGATGCAATACATAGTCTATAGGATATTAGCACAGGACCAAGTTCAGCTCAATTGAGATTGAGAACCACAAAGACATCAATTTGTGTAAACAGAACATGCAAATAAGATATATCTATTTATGCAAAACAACTTCTCTGGAAGATGATTTTTTCGAGAGGAAAAAGGGAGAGGATGCGTGAATAAGGAAGTTCCATTCACCTGAATCGAGCAATTTCTCTGAGTGGCCCCCCAATTCCACATCCAACATCCAAGACCTAAAAGCAAAAACACAACAGTTTAATTAGTAAAACAAATATTAGAATGCTTTATTTATTTGAACATGAGAACCTTTTGTCCAGGCTTTAAGACAAGTTGTAAAGCAAGGAAGTGCTCATGTCTCTTAATGCTCTCCTGAAGAGATTCCCCTTTCCATCTGAATGAGAAGAAAAGTAACAGCACACATGACTGGTTTCTTTCACATAAAATTCTTAAAATTTTCAAATGCAGAATAAAACAAATGAATACCTGTGTGCAAAATGGAAAGATGGCCCCCAGCCAAACTCATAAAAGCTAGTAGAAAGATCATAGTATTTATTAACCTGCAAAACATACGAATATCCTATGATACTCTTCTTGTAGATAACCAAGTTGTGAACAATTAAAAATAGAACAAGCCAACTTCACCAGTCACAATTACAGATACTAATATCTCTCACCATATCAGTGTAATTAGCTTTTCTCTCTTCCTCTTGGCCTCCGTAACAAACATGGTACTTCTCGTACCTGATAACTTACCATAAGTAAGCCATGATAACTTAAAAATCAGATCTCGCACAAAATCACAAACATGCACATACATATGTTCCCCTGGACACATCAATGCATTATGAACAGTGAAAGTAAATGAAGGACAATAGGAAGAAAAAAAGAAGAAGAGATAATGATATATACTTCTCAACCGCGGACAAGATTTGAGATTTTTCAATCTTTCCACCAACACCTGATGCCAAATCCATTGTGGCAGTTTTGCACACCTCACACAAGGAACTTGCTATAATTAAGATGCAAACACATCAAAACCAAAACTGCATGAGAATCATGGACAATAGCAAATGCAATCACCAAACAAGGCATTAATTAGGATGAATCTTAATTACACGGAAAGAAGGGTGTCAGGGAACCCAACGGAAGGAAAGGGAAATCTCTTCAAAGCTGAAGAGGAAGAAAGAAAGCAAAAGGGTGGGACAATGACCGTTTATTTTATAATTGTTTTTCTTTTCATAAAACATTATCTAAATTTCTTAGAGGACTACAAGTTTTAAGGGAAAAAAATCAAATTTTCAAAGAAAGTAAAACTGAAGTTTATATATTTTACTTTTTCTTTAATATTATTCCAATTATAATTTTTTGATAGATTAAGTATTTTTTTAGTTTATAATAAATCATTTTAAAAATTATATAAAAAAGAATTTCTAATTAATTGATAGATTATCACATTGTTAATATATATATATATATATATATATATATATATATATATATATATATATATATATATATATAATTTGGAATCACCTTCGATTCTTTTACAAATAACAATTTTTTTTTCGATGTGATTTATAAATGATAATTAATATTTATTTTTATAGATGATAAATAATAAGTGATTTAAAAATTTGATTTGATTTATTTCTAATTTTTTAATATTTATAGATTTTTATCAAATAATTTTTTTAACTTATTATCAAAAATAATATTTTAACATTATTTTCAAAAATTAAGAAAAAATCAAAATTTTATGTTTAGATACTATAGTATGTTTTTTTTTATCCAAGCCGAGTTATAGAATGTTTAAAAGTCAAAATCTTTACAAAGTTTTGGTTTAGTTTAGTTTTTTTTATTATTAAAAAAACGCAAAGAAGTAAGTATGATTTCTGCTTAAACTTAATAGATTTTGTTTCGAATGAAAATATTCAATGCATGTCCCCACATAATAATATTATTAAAATCCAATATAATGTAAGTTTGTAATGAAAGATAAATATGATAGTATTATTAAATCATTATTATGATATTGTCTTATTCTAATTTATTATAATTTGAATCTTAAAAACAATATTTTTAAAATTATACAGGTTGAAAAAATGAATTCAAGATTTAAATATTTAATTACAATCCAACTAAATTAATAAAATAATATTTTTATAATATAATAAATTTATTATTAATAAAATTAAAAAATATTATTATTATAAAAAAAATATAAATATAAAATATTATCCGTTTGTATAAAATTATATTTTGTTAAAACAATTTTTTCTTTATTTAATTATATATATTAGTGTATCTTATTGGTTCGTGTGTTTGATCAATAAAGATATTTAGTGTCATGCCTCAAAAATATTACTAATAAATATTAAAAGAAATACTCTTTGTGTCTTTCTGTTTATTTTTCTCCTCTATTTTTTTATCAACAATGGCTTACACTAGCCAAAAGCCTTCTCACAACCAACCACACTCTTTATGTCTTTTTGTATGTTATTCTTCTTCTTTACTTTTTATCAACTATGGCTTACACTAGCCAAAACATTTCTCACAATCAACCATACTCAACCATGACTTACACTAGCCAAAAAACCTTTCTCACATCCAATCACTGGATCACATTGTTAATAATGTCAATCCTCTCTATTTTCATCTTGGAGAAAACCCAACTTTTGTCCTAATCTCTATACTTCCTTCTGAGACAAATTACTACCAATGGGAACGTGAAACGGTGGTTGCTCCAGAAACCAAAAACAAATAAAATTTATCACCAACAATTATCCCTATCCTCCAAAATTTGATTATTTGCATGATGCATGGCGCCGTTGCAATCTCATGGTGATTTCATGGCTTACGAGATCTATGACTATAGCTATCAAACATTTAGTGATGTAGATAAACATTGCAATTGAAATCTAGAAAGATCTTAAGAATTGTTTTTCCCATGCTAATAAATTTCGCATGACTGACTTTAAGGTCAAATTCAAAATTATAAGTAAGGTGATTCTTTCTTGCACCTACTCGCCTTCTTGTTCTTAAAGATGGTTGTGCCATTTGCTTTCTTTGTGGTTTGACAGATAGTTATTCTCAGGTTCAATCTCATATTATGATGATGGATCCTATGCATTCACTTGTCAAGAGTTTTTCTATGATTCTGCAACATAATGATAATTTCTTGGTGTTTCTTCCATTCCTTCGTCTCAAGATTCTTTTGCGTTTACAACTTCAACCAAAGGTCCCTCTACTTCCACCAAGAATACTTCCCTTAGCAAATCTACTAGCCATAACAATAAATACTGTGAAAACTACAAGAAAATCAATCACACCTGATACTTGTTATTGGTGTATTGGTTTTTTTCCTCACTATAGAAAATCTGATCATAGTCATATTTCCAGTTCTACCTTTGGTTAACTTGGCTAATGTAGACTCAAATATTACTTCACAACCTTTTTCCTTGAGAGATAATTCTAAGCGAGATTAGTTTCATTTCTCAAAAGAACAACATCAGAACTTTGTGACTATTCTCCAACGAAGCAAGGATAGGATACTTTGTCTTCTAACAATTCATTCAGGTGATAGTCTTTGTTCCCCTCATTGGATTTTAGACATTAGGGCAACTAATCACATTTGTCATTCTAAATGCATTTTCGTATCCTTACAATCTATCACACCTATTCTAATAAAATTACCCAATTAAACCATTGATTTTGCCAATTTTTTTGGCACCATTCATCTTGACCCCTTGACCCTTAAAAATACTCTTTGTATCATATTTTACTATTCATTTAATCTCTATTCCTAAACTTATTTTCAACCTTAATTGCATGATTTTATTTCGTGATATTCACTATTTCATCATGCATATCTCTAGTTTTCAAATGATTTGTGTAACTAAACAAAAGAATGACTTGTTTTACTTGTAAGAATTCAGTGAATTGAACTCGTATAGACATACTTCTATAGTGACTATTGATAATTTTCAATTGTGACATCTTAGGCTATGTCATACTTCTCATAAAAGGTTAAAACACTTATCTTCTAAATATAATGACATTATTTTTTATTAAAACACTTATCTTCTAAATACAATGACATTACTTTTGATTCATTATCTCATTGTGTAAACAAAATAAATTATTGTTTTCAAATAGTCATAGTCGCAGTTCCAGATTTTTTAAACTAATACATGTGGATATTTGGGTCCTGTTGCTAATACCTCTATTAATGGTTTCTAATACTTCAAAGAAATAAGGTCCGACAATGGTAAAGAATTTTTTTTTGCATGATTTTTTCTCTAGTAAAGGCATCTTGCATGAGGTTTCTAGTGTTGAGACTCTTCAACAAAATGGTATTGATGAGATGAAACATCAACACTTACTTAATGTTAGTCGTGCATTATATTTTCAAGCAAATTTACCTTCTGGTCTTTTATTGTCAGACATGCCACACATCTTAACAACATGCTTCCAACTCCCTTTTTACAGCTTAAATCCTCTTATGAACTTGTATATGGTCATTCCCTTTTTTTACATTTTTTGCACGTGTTTGGTTGCTTAGGCTATGCTACTACTCTTACTTCTGCACACATCATAAATGTGTCTCCAAAAAAATGTATTTTCTTACGCTTTCAGATGTATTTTATTGGATTTCAAAATTGGAATCAAATGCTATATTTTGTATAATCTCAATCTCAAATCATATTTCATTTCTAGAAATGTCATTTTTTATGAGACACATTTTTCCTATGTCAATACCGATTCTTTATTACCACATACTAATATTGTCAATTGTCAATAACATTATAGGTCAAACTAAATTTGATTGTCTTTTTACTCTTTACACACCTTTTTTCAATCCACCTCTTCCTGCTACAAACACTTCTTCACACATGCATTATTCTCTAAATTTTTCATACAACAATGTGTTTTACATCTTAATCAACTTTAAGTCACTAAATTTGATGCACGAGTCTCCACTCGAGTAAAGAAGTCTCTTTCTTACTTAGCTAACTATCATTTTCTTACTATTACTTCCTTTAATTCTACTTTCAAACCGCTCTATCTTTTAGATTCTTATTTGTCATATTCTAAATGTTCTAACAATCATATTGCCTTTTGTCTTCTATTTCTAGTACAACTGACCCTACTACCTTCAAAGAAGCAAGTCAACTTAAATGTTGTAGGAAAATTATGATGTTTGAATTACAAGCTCTTGAGAGAAATCATACCTAGTCAATAGTTAATCTTCCTCCAAGAAATAAAATTGTGGGTTGTAAATAGGTCTATCGCACCAAACACCGGACAAATGGGGTCCATTGAGCAGTGTAAAACACTTTTAGTCACTCAAGGTTTCACATAAACTAAGGGGGTGAACTTTTTTTTAGACTTTTTCTCCTGTTGTGAAGTTAACTACTGCGCATTTTCTTCTCTCTATTGTTATATCTTCTGGCTGGTTTCTACACCAACTAGATGTAGACAATGCATTTTTGCACAGTAATCTCAATGAAAATGTTTATACGCGGCCTCCTCCTAGCTTTCATCCTTCTTCCCCTAACATGATTTGTGAATTGCACAAATCCTTATATGGATTGTGCCAGGCCAGCAGGCAGTGGAATGCTAAGCTCACCTCTGCTTTACTTATTTTTAGTTTTATCCAAAATTCTGTTGATCATTAGTTGTTTATTCATCATCAGACTTTGTTCTCAATTAGCGCAAATACTGTCTTGAAATTCTCTCTGAATATGATCTTATTGGAGGTAAACTAGCTTATCCCCCTTCTACTCCTTCTGCCAAATAAAATGTAAAAGATGGTGATCTTCTTGATGATCCATCAGGTTTTTGAAGGTTAATTGGTGAATTAATATATTTGATCAATACTCATCCAAATATCTGTTTTGTTGTCCAACAAATAAGTCATTTTATGTCTCAGCCTCATCTTCAAGCTACCTTTCGCATACTTAGTATTTGAAAAATGCACTTGAACAAGGTCTTTTCAATACAACAAATAACCCTTATTGACTTCGGGCTTTTTCTTATTAGGATTGGGCCACATGTAGTGCAACGAAAAAATATGTAACAGGCTACTGCATATTCTATGGCCATTGTTTAATATCATGGAAGTCTAAGAAACAAAATTCAGTCTCCTGTAGTTCCACATAGGTCGAATACAGGGCCCTAGCTTTAGTTGCCTGTGAATTACAATGGTTGAAATATATTGTTGATGATCTAGCCCTCTTCATACCTATGTGGTTTCCTATGTGTTCTATGATAATCAATCTGCAATTGAGCTGGTCAAAACAAACATCAACTTGAAAGTCTTGAAAGTCTTGAGAGTCTCATGTACAAAACAAACATATAAAAGTGGATTGTCATTTCATTGGGACAAAAGTTCTTGAAAGTCTCATTCTTCTCTCTCATGTTCTATCTAAGCATCAACTTGCACACATGTTTACTAAATCCCTATATCCAACACTATTCCATGCAAATGTATATAAGATGAGGCTTCTTAAGATACACACTTCATATTGAGAGGGATATATTTTTTGTATAAAACTATTTTTTGTTAAGACAAATTCTTTCTATCTTCCTATTAAAGTTATATATACTTTTGTATTTTTTTTTTTATGCATTGATTAAGAAAGACTTTTAGTTAAAAAACACTAATATATATTAAAGAGGGTAAGATACATAATAATTAAAAAAAAAAATCAAAATATAATAAATAACTATTATTTGAAATTGACATAACTAAGATTAAAAAAAACTAAAATAATTTATATTTTTATAAAAAAATTATATAAAAAATAACTTGATCTTTATTAAAAAAAAAAAACTTTTGAAGCATACTGTTAGTTCAACTAATTGCTACAATTTTCAAATTAGTGATTAAAAATTAAACTAGTTGGATTGCAAAAACGAAAAATGTATAACTTCAACTCTCAACTCCCATTTGAGACTCTCAAATATAGCAACACTTATAATTATAATTTAGAATTCAGAAACAAAGCTTAAATTCAACAATATCCAACTGCACGAGAAATATAACAAACAAACAGAGCGAAGTCAATTGGTAATGTAAAGCAAGAAGAAAAAAAACTTGAAACAACGAGAGTTATTTTGGCAAGGCCAAAGGCAACAACTTTAGATCTTCCATTGCAACAACTCCTCTGCAGCACCACACCTCAGCGATCGCCAGAACCAGGCTTTCGAGCCAAAAGGAAGTACATTGGTGTGAAAATCTCTTTCCTGAAAATGCAACATGTGCAAGTCAAGTTTCACAATCTTTCACAGTCTAGTCTAATTTAATTCATCAATATTTCTTAGGGCCTCAAATGCACCATGTTAAAAACATTTATTCCGACACAGATTACCCTATGAATGAGAATTGTACAAATAAACTAAAAGTTAAGGAATGTCTAATTTCAACTTTAATTTTTCCTTTACACTTCTATTACCAATTCTAACTCCAACTTAATACATTTTTTAGATGGAAAAAGGATTAATTGAAAACTTACTTTCCACCTTCGACTAGCCCTTCTGCTGCCTTCTGTAGGAACCCTTCAACCCTTACACTTCCTTGTGGAGCCAACCCAACAAATTCTAGAACCCTGACCTACAATTGTTCCAATGCACAACACAAAAAGAATCAATACTTGGAGTAATATATTACTGAGATAATCGTTAATCACATAAGTTTTTGGTAGTAATACCATGCTTTTTGTGAAAAATCGTCCAACAGATGTTAGACGAAAGGTACTGAGTGAGAAGTGACTTGTATCCAGAGGAAAGTACCAAGGAACAGGAGAATCAATTGCAAGATCTTTCTCCCTGATTACCTTCAGGAACAAAAGGAATGAATCTTCATTAGCTAATTAGGTAGTTGGTTTCATCCCTTAAACTATTTATAGAACAATAAGAGGTTGATCTTCACCTCAAAATTAAACCTGCTTGCTTAAGAGCTTCAAGACACTTTGTGGTCACTCTTATGTCAGGAAGTCCATCACCAAATTCAATTACTTCCTATACCAGTAAATTATTTTTATAGATTATAATCCACGTTGATGTCAGGGAATAGTATAAGATAAAGACAATCTAAATTTTTCTAACTCCATCATACCTTTATCTTTTGGTGTTCTTGGTTGTTGGGATCAAAAACTTCAGTCATGCACCACTCATATGAAGCAAAATATCCACCAGGCTTCAACACTCGTAAGATCTCTTTGTAGCAAGCATACTATCCATAATCCAACATCAGAAAAAAGGAAAATACAAGTTTTAAACAATCCAAATTAAAGACTATATTTTGTAAATTGACACTCTCACGCATGCATATCATTTTGTTAGGAATGAACTACAATAATGTTTGCTCAGGAATATTTGTCAATTTATAGGTACCTATGTAATTACAGCAGGTTTAAGTGATTGTAGGAAGAAGGATTAATAGAAAGATATTTAGACAAAGTACAAAAAACAGTCACATACAGCATGGTGCATGGCAAGTGGCTTCAATTGCATAGGCTGCATCAAAACAGTTGTCTGGGAAAGGCATTTTCATGAAGTCACCCTGTATTATCAAATATGATAATCAAGCCATTGTTAATTATAAACCCTAAGTCACATCATGTCATCAAAATATCCAATGCAAACCCCTAAGCTTTTCCTTTTAAATAGATAAAATAAATATTTCAAGCAACATAAAAATGAATATAACATAGTACAAAAATTGGACAACATGCAAAATAAAAGAATGTATCCCTTCCCCAGAAAAAGGAAAATGATGTATTTAGAGAATATCAACCTCCACATAGTGGCAGGTTCTCTCCAGACCAGTATTACCACTGAGTTGCTGTTAAGTAGTGAAATATAGTCAGTAACAATCACAATATTTTATGTTATATTTTGCCTTTTAAAAAAAAAAAAAAAACTAACCATTATGAAATAAGATGAACTCACATAGTTTATTTATTGACAAATATTTATATATCGTACATATTTGTAATTAGCATACCTTAGCCCTTGATAACTGATACTCATTATTATTCAATCCTGTGATTGATGTAGAGCTGCATGCACAAATACAACCAAGTTTATGAACTCATTCATTCTTACTTCAAAAGACAATTACTTCTAAAATAAACGTTCTATGGTAGACTTTGGACTAAGCTTGATTCTATTAACTCTGAAGTGTATATTTGCTTCATTTTTTTATTATTATTTCCTATGATTATAAAGCAATATTCTTCATAGTCTATATAGGATATAGATTTCATGGAATTCAAAACTAAGCTAAATTGATGACTATTGAGAACCATTAAAAGCTCAATTGCCAGAAGCAGACTATGCAAATAGGAAATCAATTTAAGCAAAATGAACAAATGAAATGAGAATATAAAAAATAAGTTTTAGAAACTAGTACAGAAAAGCAAGAATCTATGGCAGAAAATGTCACGAAAAGAAACAATGTCCATTCACCTGAATCGAGCGATTTCTCTAAGTGGCCCTCCAATTCCACATCCAATATCCAAAACCTAGAAACAAAGGGTTAAAACTCATGAATTATAATTACTATTAGTTTGCTTCGTTGAGCAGGATAGAACCTTTTGTCCAGGCTTCAGTTCAAGTTGCAAAGCCAGAAAGTGCTCATGCCGTTTCATGCTTTCTGGAAAAGACTCTCCTTCCCATCTGAATGAGAAAAAAATTAGTGTGTGATTCAGTTCATACCACATTCTTATCTTTGTAATGCATAATACAACGACAAACACATACCTAGGTGCAAAATGGAAAGATTGACCCCAACCAAACTCATAAAAGCTGGTAACAAGATTGTAGTATTTGGTAACCTGAAAAACAAATTAAGATGTTAAGAGTAATTTTTTCGATAACTAAAGGGTTTTTGTGTTTCATATTACATATCTGTTGTAAGAAACCAGAATTACAAATACATGTATTCTTACTTATTTCTGTCACTGGGTATTCTATATACATGTTCAAAACATGAAAAAAAAAAAAAAAATGGGTTATCTCTCACCATATCAGCATAGTTGGCTTTTCTTTCGTCCTCATCACCTCCACAATAAGTATGATATTTCTGGTACCTGAAAAATTGTGTGTTCACATAGTCACTACTTGTGAAACTGTAAACAAGCAACATCTTTTTGTAACACAGTATAGTCAAGTTATTATTGGTAATGAAGAAGACAAATACTTCTCAACAGCAGACAGGACTACGGATTTTTCTATCTTTCCTCCAACACCTGATGCCAAATTCATTTTGACACTTCTTGCACAATTCAGCGAGAACTAAGATGTGCAGTCAGAAAAAAAAATTGCATCAAAGTCATTGAAACACAGTAAATGCAACAAGTTAATGAACATAAACACATTTTGAACCACCAAAACTCAAATTTAGAGAACAAAAAACATTGTATATTAGACCACTACCTTATATTTCTGAATTTTTAATAAGGACCCACCCTTGATCAGGAGAACGATAATATATATATATATATATATATATATATATATATATATATATATATATATATATATATATATATATATATATATATATATATATTTAAATGTTGCATTTACACGTTTCTTTTTCTAGGTTGTCACTTTGGTTGGAGCGTTGCATGCATGCTTGAAGCAAACAACCCACGTGTTAAAAACACTCAATTCATGTAAAGTATGTAAGAAGTCACATGTTCTTCGTATAACTTTACAAACTGAAATATATGTCTTTTATACAATTGGACCAATTCAAATAATTTAGTTTATGAAAAGAAAAAAAAAAAAAAATATATATATATATATATATATATATATATATATATATAAATTTTCAGTTGTGTATAATGACTAATTTCTTATTGTGATGTATATATTTGTCGAGAATAATTTTAAACAAATTCTATATTATTTAATTAGTATAAAATTAGTTTAATATAGCAAAAAATAATTAAGAATAATATTGTAATATAAGTTTATTTCAAAAAATTTGTTTTATAGCATTAAATTAAAATATTTTTGCTGTTGAAAAAAATTCAAATAAGTGCATTCTTTTTGTCTGTTTTTGTAATTGATTAGTCGTTTAACTTGTTTAGCATATACTTTTAAGAGAAAACTCTTTCTAATTGATATAATTTATTTAAAAAGTTCCAATGAAAAAGAAAATAAACCTCCTTCTATTTGATATAATTATTAATTTTTTTAATCATATAAAAGACTAAATATTAAGATTAATTTCTCAATGAAAATAAGAGATTTAAAATGTTGACTACTTATAAATATAATATTTTAGAATATTTTGTTAATTTAAATTAAAATCAAGCATATATTTATTAAAAAAACTGAAAATTCATTATTTTGTATTATTTAAATTTTATTAAAAATTATAAAATTAGGAGACATTTATTAAATAAGATAAAATACTTACAATTTTTTATAATTTTTAATAAATTTTAACCAATGAAAAAAAGTGTAAAAACTTTATTTTTAATATTTCTCTTGACAAATTATAAAAGATATTAATTTATGTATAATTGGTTATATTTTCCTTTCTTTATAAAAAAATAGTAGAACTTTTTTCCTGAATTTTGGATCACAAAAATTATTTTTTTAAAACAAATAAAAAACTTTCTTTTATTTTGTTCTCTCTATCTCGTCTATTCCTCTTGATCACATAACATAATCTTATCAACCAATATTCTTTTATCTTGAAATTTTTCATTTTGAATTAACTTGAAAATTTTAATAAGAATTTTTCTATCATTAAATTGATTATGTTTCCAATGTTAATCTAATTTTAAATTATCTATAATAATCTACAAGTATATAATATATGTATATATATAATAAATATTGAAATATAAATTTATTATATAACTAAATTATAGAGTATTCTAATTAAAATAATTTATGAATTAAAATATAAATTAATCTCTAACTTTACCAATCAAGATTTTAATTATTAGTTAAAAGTTGGACTTTTATTCATACACCATACATGCAAAGAATGATTCTACTTAAAAATTATACTCTAATTCATATACCATGAAAAAAAAAAAAAACAATCATTGTCAAATCTAAAACCTAAAACCTAGGTGGTATAATTTCATGTTATTCTATTTTTATTCGTTTTGACACTCGATCCTTCAACGTCACGATATTATTTCTTTCTTTTATATTCTTACTGACAATGGTTTCTTTCTTTTATCTACTGACGATAATTTCGAATCACGTTTCTATATTACCATGCAAATAGTTTTCTGAATCGAATCACAGTTCTATATTACCATGCAAAGAGTTTTTGGAACCGAATCAGGATTCTTTGTTACCATGCAAAGAGTTTTCTGAATCGAATCAGGATTCTTTGCTACCATGCAAAGAGTTTTCTGAATTGAATCACAGTCCTTTCTTACCATGCATATAGTTTTCTGAATAGAATTAAAAGAATAAAAAGATTTGAAAAAAAAAATCAATAAGATTTATATCATATTTTTTACTCATCATCATTTACGTGCAGAACCAAAAAACTCACCTGGTGCTTTTCTGATTTTCACAGAGTTTCTGTGAAATTGAGCTTCAACTCTGCAAAGGAAGAAAAAGAAAATTAACCAAAACAAGAGAAAGAAAGAGCAAATATAGAAGTGAAGTAGAGGTTGAATAGTACGAAGAAGAAGCAGCTGGGGAAGAAGAGAAAGTAAGAGAGCAAAATGCAGAATAACTGAGAGAAAGAAGGAATAGTGAAAATAAGAGCTGAAATTACTAAATATAAGCTAAGAGGAGAGAGAGGGGAAAAAAATAGAATTGATTAAGAGAAAATAATAATAATGATAATAATAAATAAGGGTAAATGAGAAGTGACTTATATTGATTTGACTGCTCATATTTATTGGATCAACTACTCACATTTATTGGACTTTTTTTTATAAATAATACTGTTTTCAAAAATATTTACCCAAATAGCACCTCTGCAACTTTATTTAATATTTACCCAAATAACACCTCTGCAACTTTATTTACACAACTATCACTGTTTACTGTTCATTTAATAAAATAATATTATTTCGCGCAACTGTTCACTGTTCACTGTATTAAAATAATATTATTTCGCGTACTGAATTCTCACTCAAGTGAAGAAAACCTTCGCTTGAGCGAGGAAACCTGTAACAAAGGGGTAGTCTGGGGTAAATTCTCGCTCAAGCGAAGGTTTTCTCGCTTGAGCGAAAAGTATGATCGACTATTATCCCATTATAGTCGATCACTTTGACATATATGACTTTAGATAGCGGTTATTTGGTCAATCGCTATCTAAACTACTATATTAGATAGCGGTTATTTGCCCAACCGCTATCTAATATAGTAGTTTAGATAGCGGTTGGCCAAATAACCGCTATCTAAAGTGACTCAAGCGAAAATCACACCGCTTGAGCGAGGACACCTGGAAACAAGGGGGACTCTCGTTATATCCGAAATGGGAGAGCTACGGATAGAAACCGAAGTACATTCCTTTTATTGATGTATGAAAACTGTAATGTTTATATACAGTAGAAATAACAAATAACAGAGTAGAACAGAGAACGTGAACAAAACAGAAAAAAAACTGAAAGAAACCCATGCACGTAATGTATGCCCCATGCACATAATACCCATACACGTAACTACCCATCATGCATTTTGACTTAAATCTCAACATGCCTACTTAAGTCAAAACTGAACAATTCTCGGACACTCTACGAGTTTACAAAATCTAGCGACCTTCAAAGGCTTTGTAAAGATATCTGCACTCCGATCTTACATGTACTGCAGTGTTCTATTTCAAGCTTCTTATCATTAACTCGCTCTCTCAAGAAATGAAACCTCTCTCAAGAAATGAAACCTCATTTCTATATGTTTGCTTTTTCCATGAGCTGATGGGTGTTTAGCTAAGTCTATTGCGGACTTATTATCAACAAACAATGTTGGTGGTTGGACCAATTACGCATTCGGCTCCTTCAACGGCATCCCGAGCCATGCGGCTTGACATGCGGCTCGTGCGGCAGCTATATACTACGCTTGACGGGAGGAGAGAGCTACCACGGGTGCAGTGTTACACGGGTATCTTAGACTTCCAATGATTCTGCGAAACTCGTGTGATCAACATCTTCCTCCTCGGTGCCCCTTTCTAATCTCGGACCCATTTCCGTTGGAGTTCTATGCGACATTGCAATTCTTCATCCCGAACCTGCTAAGAATATCACGTGAGTATTTCATCCGATGCATAATAGTTCCAATGCCTGTATACCTTGTGCTCTTCTCCTTTGACTATGAATCCCAATGAGCCGTGTTACATATATTTCCTCCTCCAAATAGCCATTTAAGAAGGCAGATTTTACGTCTAGTTGGTGGAAAGACCAACCCTCCAACCATGTTTATATCGGTTAAAACATTTTACAAACATTTTCGAGAGTGATTCAATCGATTGATTCGCGTTTTAATCGATTGATTTACTTTAAAACTTTCTTATAAAACTTTTCAAGTTATTTTAATTGATACAAAGAAGTTTTAATCGATTAAAAAGCTGCACAGAATTTTTCTAAGTTGTTTTAATCGGTTGAAACGCGTTTTAATCGATTGAAACTCTGTACAAAGTTTTTCCAAGTTATTTTAATCGATTGAAATGCGTTTTAATCGATTGAAATAGGTCTGATCGGTCATAATTCAATTCTGATCGATCATAATCACCTCTGATCGGTCATAATTTCATTCTGATCGATCATCCTGACTTCCAAAGTGGTTTTGATCGATTAAAAGAAGTTTGTATCGATTAAAATACTGTAAAAACACTTCTTTAAACATTCTAAGTGATTTTAATCGTTTCTTTTAAAACTATATCAGTTAAAAACATTATTAAGAAAGTTCTTTGTCAAAATGCTTTTGTTTTTGATTTGTTTAAAACTATTTTTGAGGCATTTTGCAAAATGATAAAAAAACTTTATGCAGCAGAAAATTTCTGTTAAGACACACTAAATCTTCAGCTCAATTATCTGGGTGACTTGTTGACTGCTGCAGAGTTGACTTTTGACTTTATCTTTGACTTCATCAAATCAATGACATCTTTGCTAGCATCAAATCAATAAACATTACAGTTTTCATACATCAATAAAAGGAATGTACTTCAGTTTCTATCTGTAGCTCTCCCATTTCAGATATAACGAGAGTTCCCCTTGTTTCCAGGTGTCCTCGCTCAAGCGGTGTGATTTTCGCTTGAGTCACTTTAGATAGCGGTTATTTGGCCAACCGCTATCTAAACTACTATATTAGATAGCGGTTGGCAAAATAACCGCTATCTAATGTAGTAGTTTAGATAGCGGTTGGCCAAATAACCGCTATCTAAAGTCATATATGTCAAAGTGATCGACTATAATGGGATAATAGTCGATCATACTTTTCGCTCAAGCGAGAAAACCTTCGCTTGAGCGAGAATTTACCCAGACTACCCCTTTGTTACAGGTTTCCTCGCTCAGCGAAGGTTTTCTTCGCTTGAGCGATAGTTCAATACGCGAAATAATATTATTTTAATACGATAAACAGTGAACGATTACGCAAAATAATATTATTTTATTACGTGAACGATGCATGATCTTAGTTGTGTAAATAAAGTTGCGAGAGATGCTTATTTGGGTAAATATTTTTAAAAACAGTATTATTTATGAAAAAAAGTCCATTTATTGTTCCAAGTAATTAATACGTATTTGTAGGTATCTTTCACCTACAATAAAAAAATAAAGTTTTGAGCGGGAAATTCTAGGAAGAAATCGACGTATGCTACCGCTAAACTTTTTTTTTAATGTATTTTATATTTAATTTTTTAGTTTATGATTATTTTATTATTTAATTTATAGTTAAAATTTGGAACAATCTCATCTATTTTTATAAGTAAATTTAATAAGAGAAAGTACATTAGTCAAATGTAATATGGTTTATCTTTCACTTTCCTTATTTATTTACTCGTTGTCATTCATCTTTCTCTATCTTCTTTTAATATATATATATAATTTTTTTTACTTTTTTTTCCACTCTTTTGTTGATATCTTATTTCATCTTCTTCAATTAAAAATAATAGATTAAAATTTAGTAAAGTAAGTTTTTTATTATTATTAAAAAATAAAAATATTAAAATAATCTAAAAATATTAAAATTTAATATATTATATTTAAAAAAATATATGATAAATTTAAGATGTTACAAATAATTATTATGTTATAATTATTAAGAAAAAAATAAGTAATTATTTTAAAGTGCTTTTTTATAAATATTTTATAAAATTATCTAATCTAACTAATTATTATAACTCAACTTAATTATCATTAGATTAAATTATTTAGTAAAAAATATATTTAACTCATAAATATTTTATGTTTTTTAATTAGATGAGTAATTATTTATTATGATAAAATAATTTTAAAATAATTATTTATGTTATCGTAAATAAAATTATTTATTGTCTAAAAAATTAAATTATTTATTATAATCATAAATTTAAATAATTAGTTAATTTTTTTAATATATTTTTATTAAATTTTAATATAATAGTTTAATTAGAGAATAAATGAAAAATATAGAGAAACAGGAGACTTAATATTAAAAAAAAAGATAAATAACGAGTGAACAAGGAAAGAAAAAACAAAGATTATGAAAATATAAAAAAATTATATATAAACAATAAATAGGCCTTTGATAAATAAATTGATGGGTGTTATATTTGAAGAATTTTTCTTTTGAAATAGGATTAATTCTTTGCCTATATTTTAAAATAAATAATAATTTTCAACTTAACCTAGTTTTATATTGGACCAATGCGCTAACAAACTAGTTTTTATTTGATTGAAAAAAATATATTTCGTATTTATATATCAAAATAATAAATTAAAAATATGTTCAAATAAAAAATAAATTTTAAAAATTCAAATTGTATTAATAAAATTATTTTTTATTTAAAATATAATAATTTAATATATAAATTAAAATAAATTCAATATTAAAATAAGAGTTAAAAACTTACTCTTTCTTATTATTAATAATTTTTTAATAATTTGTTTATCTAAAATAATAAATAATTTTAATATTAAATCTTGAAATAAGTAATTATTAAAAAATTACTTTAATATTTAATTTTAAAATAATTGAATATTTTATCACATTAACTTAATATATATATATATATATATATATATATATATATTATTTAAAAAATTATTATTATTTTATAAAATAAATTAACGAAATAGTCTTATCCTAGGTCATCCAAGATCATCTATACTGTAATATAAATAGATCATATAAAAATAACCTAATTAAATTTATACTACAAAATTTTTATCTCACATATTCTATTTATTAGGCCTACCGAACCGATCACTCAGATAAGTTTTTTTTTTTTAATACCCTTATTTATTTGTATCACATGTTGCTCATATTTGACTTTTTTAAGTTTATTTATTTTAAATTAAAATATTATATAATTATGTAATACATTATCAATATTTTATATAATTTTATTGTTTATTTAGGCCCAACTACATATATCCAAACAAATAATCTTGGATTGATACATTTCCTTTTTGGACATCGCATTAATATGAAACACACCAAAAATTAAAATAAATTTAAAAATAATAATTTAAATTGGGTTTTTATTTGATGGAGTCTGAGAGTTGACTTATGTGGGCTTGTGTATTCGGAGGGATAGGTTCGGCCCTTACAGGAAGGCCCAAAGTCACAAATCCGTATTTTTTTTGTTTTTTTCAATCCTTGTACGCTTGATGTGGTGTGGTCATTGAATTTCATGTTAGAAATTTCATTTTAAGGAAAAATAATTGAAAGGTAGAAGATATAATGAGGTAATAATAAAACCCTAGAATTAGACGCTGTGTTAGTGTATATATATATATATATATATATATATATATATATATATATATATATATATATATATATATATCATATTAACTTGTTGTCATTATTCATTATTCCGAAATTTAATTGCAGCTTCTGCATATCTGCATGAACTATACAATGGACATTGATGACGATTTGGCAATTTGTCAGGTAGCAAGCATGAATGCCGTTTTTCTTTTATGTTGATATAACGCATTGTGTTTGTGATTAGTGTAATTTGATAACATAGCTTGAGTGTATGGGTCAGTGCACCTATTGATCTTGTTAAAAAGAATCTTCAAATGCAATGCAACTAGTGCTATTCGGTATGTTTTTGTGGAAGGATGGTTTATCCAATAATTTCATTTCTATGAAGGAGGCTACAGTTGGTTCTTTGTCTTTCACTGTAACTAACACAGCTTCAAGTCAGGAACTGAATCCACCACAAAATTTGTACCAAATCAGGCTTGCAAGTCACTGCTGGTAAAGAAGAATTTTGTTCAGAAGCCTTACCCGAACACAGTCTCACCTTGCAGATTCTCCTACTGAAATGTTAACTCTGTAATCATTTTCTTTGTTGGTCTGATCTTGAAATTTTTCTTCCAATAGCTCAGAGCTTTGTAAGAAAAGAACACATGATTCATGAAAGAGTTAAGAGCTAGTGGTTTATTGTTTTAGTTGGATTGAAAATTGAAGATTACTTTCACAGAATGTGCTGTGAGCTTTGGATGCAACGTGGTCCCAATGATTTACCCTTGTACTAACATTACCAAAGTTGGTAGACAACGCAATGCCTTGGCGAAATCAATCTGTTTTACATTTTACACAGTAGTCAATGGCGTGATATAGAGGTACTATTGCGATTTCAAGCACGATCTAGTTTGGGAGAAGGGGTTGAGATCGTAGAATCTTGCCATTTCACAATTTAATCAGTGAGCACGACAACATCGGTAGTAATACCTTATATTGAACTCTGTTATTGGACTGAAAGCAAGCAGACCGTGTGTATATGCATTTATAAGAGATTACATGCAATTCTAGATGCTTCTATCATGTAATGTAACTTACAAAAGATGCCATCGGCAGATAGAATTTTTACCTTAATTATTGGTTACCACAATTTTTATTAAACTTATAAATTAGTTCTTTACTTGTTTCTCATTACTTTTTTAAAGAATAAGAGGTGATGCAATGTGTCAATGTTATCTATCTTGTTCCATGTTTGAGAAAGCAGTCAAACAAGAGACTTATCTCTATGAATGAAGTTAGCAACCACCAGAAGGAGGGCCAAATGTGGACTGTGTTAAAAGGTCTTGTTTACAATATATCTCCATATGTGAAGTTTCACCCTGGAGGAACAGCTATCAACTCAATTGCAAGTTTACATGTTGCTTTATTACTGATTTCATCAGAATTAAAAAAAAAAAAACTAAGAAAAATGTTAATATTAACAAAAAAATCACATTGTTACAAAATAAAACCTTTCAGGTGCTGATATATTGAAGAAGGCCGAGGAAAAGATTGCACATCTCGATTCAGTTTCCTTCTTGTGATTCAGTAAGTTTGTGAGCATTCTTTTATTTCTGTCTCTTTAAATTCAATGTTAACATTGGATTAGCTTTCACTTCTTTCACCAGGTATCGATTTTTCTCTGTGAAACAAGTTTTCTGTGTATGCATTTCACTGGATATGCTAGTCAACCTTGATAAATGCTTCTAACTGAAATAGATTACAAAATAGATCCTCTACTGCCATACTTCTACAGCAGAAAAAAATGAGAAGGAAATAGAAAGAGAAAATAAATGAATGAAGAAAGAAGTTAGAGAAATGAACCAACACTAAAGAGAGATAGAGAGTCTGTAGAGAAGCTATATAGAGATCTGCTGCAGAGGATCCATGTATTACTACAGCCTCTGAATGAATTTGTTGGGTTTCTTACATGTTTTCATATATCTTAGCTATGTTCCGTATGAGGAATTGGAGTCATGACCCGAAGTGTATATTATGTAGGTTTGGAGCTCGCATGACTTCTTTCTAGAAATAAATCTACATACTTAGAGGTGCAGATCTTAATTTCCTAAATGCTCAGAATCCCATTTATAAGATATTTGGTGTATTGAGATAGTATAAAAATAAGCCAAGGTTTTTATGCCTTCCATATCATAACAACACTGGGGTCTTAAATGTTTTGCATATATATCACACTCAAGTAAGCTCTAAATAGGTTTCTAAGAACTTTCAAAGGGGACTATATTGGTCATCCTATTTTGTGCTGGATATTCATGTTGGTCTGTTCATGCTCATGCCTACGATTCAAGTTGCTGCGTAGGTGCTTCGGACATGTTCAATTGTCCCCAACATACACAAAGTTTCTGTGTTGTTAGGATTACTTACAGCCTTTTACTTTATTGTTGGATGAGATAAATATCATGCTTGGGCTAACATGGAATTAGAGAAATGCTTTGTGGGTACCTTAGATGAAGGTCAGTTGAAGATGGCCTTGAAGCCAGAAATATGCTTCTTCATGGGCCCTCTCTATTTACTGACCAGGGACCATCAAGCAAGGATGAATAAAAAATATACATATACATGTTTCTGATTAAAGATATCGCTTGGAGTTTGTTCTGCAACTATGAATTAGTCATGTAAACTGTAAATTTGGATTAACAATGTAACATTTATGCACTGCAATATTTTTTGGCGTGATTGCATTGCTAATTTTTAAGATTTAGGAGACTCTGGCATATATCACCATTCATGCCATTAAGTTTCTTTAGGCTATCCTAACAAATTTATAGATTAAACCATACCATACCAAACCAATCTCTCTCTCTGTCTCTCTCTTTCTCAGAGTTACAGTCCATTAAAAATGAAAACAAAAATATGATACTTTGGATCATGAAATGTATGGATTTTTAGATGGGTATTCAAAATTTACTTGTTGAGAAGGTTCAATTTTAGATGTACTTTCAATTTCTTTTATTGTGGTTTTACGTACACAGTCTACTTTATTCGTGCGTTTTAAATCACAACTTGAGCAAGTTGAACTGTTCATTGTACGAAACCGTACAAAAAAAGTAGAGGTGGTCCTTACGAATGTCTACTTAAACTTGGGTAACTTTGGCCTTATAAACACAACAGCAAAATAGGTTGATCGTTGATGGTACTAAGCTAACCATGTTCTGTACAGACAAATTTTAAGATTCTTCAACAGTTGTAGTGTGGAAACACTGTTTGTCTTCCATGCACACCACTGCTATAAATCAATCAAGTCTTTCTCCTTCTCCCCCTTTCCTTTTCCTTTTTCAATAAACTAAAAACATGGTTTTAGAGGTCTAATAAATAATAAGTTCTAATATGGAAATATAAGAAATACCAATGTTTTACTACTTTTATCTGCTATCTATTATTTCATTTATTTGGGCCATTTTTGAAGAAATAAAGTGGAGAGACCATGTCAAGACAAAAGTCCCACCACTGACTTCATATTATAAACGACAAAAAGTTTCATCTTCCAAGCCTTGGCCTCATCAAATAATAGTTCACTGTTTATATATGCATATTTACAGAATTTTCTTAACACTTTGCACCAAAGACATGTTTTCGAACTGTAACTTAATTAGTCTTGATCATTTCCACTTTTTGTCAAGAGTGAAAGCCTAAGGAATATGACTTTACGAGAGAGGAAAATTAAAGCTTATAAGCTCTATTATTTTCTTTTTCTTTAAGCAAGAAGAATACGAAGAAATAGATAAAAAAAAAACGGAAGAATATTAATATAAACTTGTCCCTAAGAAGGGGAATATAATTTTCCATTTTCTGATTTTTCTCTATATTTTATTTCCTCTTGACCTCATCTCTCTTTTTTCTTTTGCCAGACAAAAAGCATCGAGTAGTTTCCTCATAAATTGGTGAAAAAAGTTCGATCGTGTGAATCTGGATTAGGTGAGATAGTCCTTGACCCCACATTCTCCCTTTGGGTTACGTAATCAGAACAAGTAGAAGAAAGATGAAAGATACAAAATCATTTCTTCATTTGAACTTTCATTACTAATATTTTTGGTTTTGGGTACAGTAGTCCCCTATGAAAATATGAAATTAAGTCGAAGATTTTTTGTAGTGTGAAATTAAACCAAATCTAATTGATAAGTATAATTTAACATAAATATGAGTACTTCCGATCTCTAATTCCACCAAAACTAAAATTAATCAGTCCAGGGGTTTTTAAAAATTTTCTTTATGAAGGAATAATGAAGAAGAGTTAGTAGTGGTAGCTAGGTAGGGTAATTAAATATAGGTATGTTTAGGTACAAGTTCAAAATGCTTTTGCGAAATTTCTTTTTTAAAATATAGAATTTCTTTTTTGAGTAAAGTAACTCTCAACAACACTTCTATTTTTATAAATAATTACTTTTTTCCTTTGGCAGAATCTGAAGTTGCTGCTGGTATTGATAAGTCTCTGAGTCGCTGCTATTGAAAAATTTCTTGTTAGTGAGTCATCAGAATGCATAGAAAAATTATGCGAGAGATTGTTTCATCTTTTGGGAAAGGCTTATATAGTTAAGGTACATAAATAATAGCTTAGTGAAACTATGATCATTTGTAGCAAAATCTTCTTCACCTCATGCCACAAAGAGATTCTTCACCACTAATACCACAAGTCTGAGACGTTTTATCAGAAATAACTTATTATGATCAATGAGTTTCATTGAGATTAGAGAAAAAAGAGAGAATGGTGCATATAATAGATTACTTAACTTTTGGAGTACAACTAGCTAGAACAAGAAAAAAAAAATTTATATCACTTGTAGTTTTATGTCAACAAGAAGAACCTCCCTTGTCTACTCTCTTTAGTGGAGAATAATATACAAATTTATAGCAAAAGTAGAATAATATGAACAAAACTTATAAACACTCACTAATCATGGGAGCATAGAAGCATAATGACACATCTTCTGAGTATATAAAACCTTCCTCTACCTTCTTTGAGAAGAGCACCCATGCCTTTGCCCATTAGTCTTCTTTTGGATACTCTAATACTTTCAGTTTCTATCTTCATCTTCTCAGCATGAATGATGAAGGTGTTGGGGCTTTGGTTGTTTTCTCTTTTCTCTTTTTCAAACATGTAGTGTACTTTTATAGGGCATTTATGTGTTCTCTCTTTATGCATTGTGGATCACTTTTTGAGAGGCTTTGGATGTGCAATCCAGTTGCAACATGAGGTGATGATTAAATTGCATGAAAAAGGAGGAAATGGGTGCACTTATATAGGGAAAAAATGAAGCCTTTTGTGGTGGTCCTGTGCTCCTACCTTTCCCTGGTCGCCAATGAAGAAACCAAACGTGGGGTTTGTGGTGGATCATATGAGATGTCCCAACTATATTAGAAATTATTAGACAATCTCACACTAAGTTTTTTTATTACATATTCATAAAATTAATTTAATTAGTTTTTCTTTGACACTAACTAAAGAAAAAAAAAACTATGAGAATAAAGTAATAAATAACCCTTAACTATACATCATATTATAGAAATTGATAAAAGGGAGTATTTGTAGTAACTATGGACCATATGATAATTTTTTGCAGCTATTTCAGCAGAGAGGTATAGTTTGGGCCCCAACACTTCTGGCAAGCTTCAATAATAAAGAAGAAGGAATGTTCAAAACCATACAACACACTCTCTGTCTCTCTCTTTCCTTTTGTTTTGTTATTCCACCTCATACAATAAAATTATGACTTTCCAAAAAGGATGCTTAGGTTAGGGCTTTCAATCTTATCTCCACCAAGTACTTCTGTGCACCAGATTCCTATCATCATGTGGAATGGAGAAAGTCAGAAATCCAATCTTAATATTATTAAATTTGAAAAATATCATCGTTCATTAAAATTTATTAAAAATAATTTAACTTAGTTAAAATTATCACTTATTTGACGACTCTCTATTTTAATTCTATAATTTTTAATAACCTTTTTCCAAAAAGTTTGTCAGAAAAATATGTTCTCAATAGTTGTCTGCATAAATTTATGGCTAAGAATGAAGAATTCACTAAAAGGCAATCAATCAATCAATCACTAAAATAATAATTATTTACAATAATATGCTAGAACACATTTATCTAAAATAAATTGTTGCCTTTTTATACATAAAATATTTATGGAAACCTGTCATAGATATATTATTAGCATGCATGTTACCAGTTTTGGTCATATGATCTTCTGAACAAGAATTGGTATACGGGTAGGTTACTGCTAAATGCTCATCACCTACCCACTTACCCCACTTTTACACGTTATCACTCATATTCATATATATGCTACTCACTTTTGCAGATGCTATAGTAGCATAGTTTTGTTTGATTGAGTAATTTTTAGTTCTTCGTCAATCAATCAACAAAACTAACACGTATATAGTCTAAACAAAAGCCATAATCTACAATATATATTGCTAAATAAGAATATTCGGCTTATTAGATGTTATTTTTCTTCTTCTTTTGAAGACATTACTGTAGTTGTTGTTGGTTGTGTATAAGATTAATAGAGTTTTACACAGAATTTGGGAAAAAACATAAATATTTATTAACAGTGTGTGGTATGTGTCGCATGGTTAAAAATCAAAATGTTAAAGTGAAAGTGATAAAATTATGAATATAATGAGATTGTGAGGGAAGTGATCGTAATCCCTTTAACAGTCTATGAATCGGTTCAAATGGTATGAATAGTTGGCTAAAAGAGCAAACAGTTTCAAGATCTTGAACTTTTGTCATGCACTATTTATTTGTCATTATGATTCACGACTTGTTTTGATGAAATCTTCACGAATGTTAAAGTGTTCTTTCTCATTGAGAACGCAAAGACAACACTTTCAAAAATGGAAAATTATGATATTTGTATGAATTTAAGGACAAGTATTGTTAGTTTAAATTTTTATTTTAAGTCTAGTTAAATATATAACTCAATTTGATTTTAGTCTTTGCAAAATTTGTTATTATTGGTAATCGTGATATTTTTTTACTTCTCATCATTAGTTCTAATTTATTAGTATTGATATGACTAACAAAATAAAAGTATAAAATGATTAAAGTAAAAAAAAAGTTAAAACAATTAAATTATTTTTAGGTGTTTAATTAAAAAAACATTTATTTTAAACATATAAGTTAATTACATATAATATATTTTTAATATATTATTAATAACTTTTTTATTTTTATTTTCAATTTAATAATTTAATTTTAGTATTTTACTTTTGAAAATATAATTAGTTATAAGATAGCTTTAATATGTTACTTTTGATATTAATTTTACATTTCACTTCATCATTTTTTTAATGTTGCAATATAATTTATTTTTAATATATAACAGGCAGTGATTTTGCCTCAGAAATAAAAAAAATATATTTAAAATTTATAAACGTCTAAATTATAATTTCCAATAAAGTGAAAATTTTGATATATGTGACTAGCATTTTGGAAGGGAGATAATAAAAAATAAAATCATACATAGGAGAAATTTTTGAGTGAAATTAAGTTTTCGTATAAATTGTTATATAAGTATTTTACATGGTTAACTACAGTAACATATTACTCGTTGATTCCAAGTTCGAGACGAGGAAGATTGTGTTAAGCTCTCAATAATGAACGTAAACTTGACGTTTTTTACCTATGATTAATTAAACACAGTTTATAAAGAAATAGTTTATATAATTTTTTAAAAATAATGATTATAAAAGCCACTTTTGACAATTTATTATTAGATATATATATATAATAAATAATGGTATAAAAACAACATACAATTAAATGCTATTTAAAAATGAAAATAGAAATAAGAGTATTTTTTAAATCGTATGACTAAGTTCATGTTTGGGTTTTCATCCAGTTAAACTGAACATGATTCAACTATTTACTTTTTTTTTTTTTTAATTTGGGTTTTGAAAAATTAAAAACGTCTGTTTAATGAAGATTTAATAAGTTTTCGAATACATGCTTGTTAAAGTTTTAGATAAATTCTTGAAAATTAAAAAAACAAAAACAAAAACAAAACTTATTTACTTCGTTGGGATGTAAATATAGATCTAATGTCACTTGTATAAGTCATGTAGCTGCATTGACAGCAAAAAGAAAGGACGTCTGTACGAAACCAAAATCAATATTTTTGCTGCACGTGATGTTCACGTGGTAAACAAGGTCACTGTCTCTGATATGGAAGACAGCATTTGTTTGGTGTTCCTCCTCATTTCAATTTGTTGTAAACCACACACTTCTTTCCTTGGCTGAGGGAGCTTCCTGTTGTCTTCCTTCTCTTGGGTTCCAAGCGTTTCTGCTTTGACTTGAAGCAACACTTAATGGCTGGTGGCCTCACATTGTTACAACACGAACTACAGCTTGTTAAAAATATTTTATTTTAATTTCATATTTATTATTATTATTTTAAATAACTATTTTTGTTATAGAAAATTAAGTACATCAATTATGACAATGAATTGTTTCCTACGTGCAACAGCAACGAGCATTCTGAATTATTGTGCAGGTTTAAGCAATACAGATCCCCCAAAGCTTACACATCAAATTCACTTGGAAGTTAAAATAATTGCAGCGTTGTCGTCAGTTCCGTAAACGATGAACATGATTCTCACTCATTTGATGTTGAAAGGGCTAAATAAAAAATTGACAAGTCAATAACCTCTAAAAGGATATAGGCATCGGTCTGCATATAATTAAGTCCTGCATACCTATATTTTGAAGCTAATTATTTTGCTTTTACTGTTTGTAGTTATAAGATCATAAAGGGCATTATAACTAACCAATAAAATTGGAAGGCTGAAATTCAACACTGTAAAACGCGTAATAATAAGTTACAGCCCGAGGAAATTCAGTCCAAAGATAAAAATGAGTAGAGATGTATAGTAAACTTGTTCCTGTTTTAAAAAACTTTGTAATTTGTAGCAAAGGTTGGCCGTTTCACGATTTGATGAATGAGTTCATCCTTTATGTTCAACCTTTCTCAACCTGAAAGCCCCAGTTTGTTTCTTACTGTTATACTGAGGCAGAACCAATGTTCAGAAATATGGGCCCCAAACTGAAGCCGATGGTGACAAAACAATTACATACTATTGCGTAATGTCAATAAGCAAGTTTGTGGAGGCTACGAACCGGACCCCTACTCAAAAAGAGCAACTTAGATGAGCACATTTGTCCTTTTGATAGCTAGAAAATGATATGAGGAACTCTCTTTTCAGGTACGAACGATGTCAAGCACTCCCTGCGGGAAAAGAAAGCATATACAAAGAGGGTACGAATGGAAATATTTCCTTGTCTTAATGTTGCCGTACCAATTCAAAATCTATAAGCTTGTGAAGTCTGTTGTTGACCAACACAGACAGGCTAGTGGCCATAACCCACATGTGAGGCAGCATAATCCTCAGGAGGCAACTGTACCCAAACATGAAAAGCTGCTTCACCGCAAAGAGTTTGTTGCCCTGTAAAGCTCATACTCCGCGAGGGAGATAATTCAACAAGAAAACTGTCTTTCAAGGACCCAGTTGCAGTTCTCTACACCTGCCAACTTCAATGGAGAAACAGCACGTGCTTCAAGTTCTTCAACTCTTGATGTAGTTGCTGCCACTATCTGGCGCCTGCGACTTTTTGACCGTTACTTAGTTTTTGATTCAAATGTGCGCAGTGGTCATTTACTTGCTAGTCGCTGCTCTTCATATATTCCGTATCTAGGTTAAATTTCGAAGTCATATAGGATAATATGAATGAGATATCATGATGCAAGTTAGTAATGAGCCAAAAGGGCTGACATGCTGGCATGGTTTTGTTCTTATCACTTGCCAGAACAAGGAAAGCAGCAAGCTGTCTGTTTAGTTCTTTAATCATCAGCTCTGCTCATCAAATAACTTTCCGAGTTTCATATTTGTTTATCCAAATATCTAAATCTTACTAGAATATCCCTAATGAACAAACCTGACTAAATTGACTTGAAACTCATGTTAATTGCTTGAAGAAAGGAACTTACAGATCACCGTCGCTGGTCCCAATTGCTGAAAGCAGTGTAGTCTTCAAATTATTGATATCCTCAAGCAATTTCTCGTTCTCCCAGTTACTCCTCTGTATCTGAACTTCTAATGCTGCATTAGAGGGCGTGGGGAAGTGAATTGAAAGGTTGCAAAACATCACTGTCCAATAATCAACATCTAATACTTAATCATTTACTTCAATAATTTGTTTTATGTACCAAAATGTGTGCAGATGTATTAACTCCCTGTGTATGTCGTCCTTAGTTTGGCTTAGTATGTCGTCCATGGTTTGGCTTAGTGTGAGAAAATAAATTCCAAGAAGTACAGGACTAGCAAATGATCCTAAACAGCACAAGCAATTCTCACAAATACAGATACAACACCAGCAACAACAAATGTCGCTTACAACTAAGATACACATGTCACAAGAGAAATTTGGAACCCGTTTCCTTATTCAAGTGTGATATTAGTAGTAATATAGAAAATTCATACGACTAAGGTTACGAAAAAAATTACCTGAGTTCGAACTATGAAGATCTTCAAGAATCTCCTCCACAAATGCCAATACTGAATTTTCCAAAACATTATTTTTCTCATCCAAAAGTTGAATCTCATTTTCCAGGGAATCTTTCTCAGACAACAAAGTTCTCATTTCGCAATCTTCTCTCTTGTCAATTTCTTTCTGAAATTCTAGACATAGTGTTATAAACTTTCCCCTGCATAGAAAATAATCACCCAGTCATTAAAATTGAGATGTGAATTTGCAAAAGATAGCGTCACTTCCGAGGAGGAGTAACTTCATTTTAGAATTAGATTCCATGATAAAGCTATAAGTGAGGATTCAAATAGTATTCGAAGTTGAAATAAATATACACACAGACAAATACAAGAAGGCACTAATGCATATGTCTATAATATTAGGCACGCAGTAAACAAAGAAATGAGAAACTAACTTCAAAACTATATTCAGTCAGTAATAGGATCATAGCATTGTTCCTCAAACTAGATCTTATATTATTTGTAGAAATAAAACAGATCCCATACCTCCCATGAATATCCGGGGACAGTTATTGTCATTCTAATTCCTCAAAGTACCCAAAATAAATGCATGGACATATAATCTAGCAACCTTCTAGTTTTACAGCTATTTCAAAACTGATACTTCTTGCACTATAGGATTGATTTTTGAGAGATGTTGCCGCCCATGAAAAATAATTACACCATTTGCTGGCGGAGCTTAAGTTTGACTTACACGGAAAGCCCTGTACAAAATTAGACTTCAATAACTACATATATTAAGTGTTTTTCAATACCGTTTTTCATCCATTTCATTGACGATCTCATCCCGCCTCATTTTAAGACAGCATAACTCCTTCTCCAAGGTACTTACCGAAGCCCTGAAATCAGCTATAAATGAATAGAAAAACATTGCACTAATGTACATATGAGTAAGATCTCCAAACTATGAATTGTTCGAGGAAAATTACCTAACATAGATCCAACAGCTAAAGATTCAAATTCCGATAAATTAATGCTTTTAAAAGTAACTAGGACTGCAAATCTGCAAATCACCAGCAAGTAGAAAAAAAGAACGGAAAACGGTATTTTGAGGAAGGAACATACAGATATAATTTTTTGACGAATAAATCTAATCTCCAAATAAAACTACATAGACTGAAGATTCATGAGTTTAGAAGAAACATATTATTGGACTGCAAGTATGAATAAGAAGTTTCACATATGTTGAGTAATACATACCTCAGGGAAAAGAGCTCATACATATAATATCCGATCTAGAGTCACATTTACTTATGTAGTTCGTTAATGACCTAATTGGCGGCGGATGTGTGAGTAAAATGTTTACTGTGAGTTAAAGATGTGAATGTCAAGCAGCATATTTAAGTGGTTACGACGCATACATCTTAATTATGAGTAAAATGTTCGTTAGAATTCAATAATCATCAGCTTTATATTATTGTTGGATATTTTTTAAGAGACTAATATAAGAAAATTCACGTAAATCAATCAATCATATTAGAAAATAAGACATCATTTTTAAACTACTAATATATTCCTTTTTACTTAAAAGTTATTAACTGTCATTTTTTTCTCAATATAAAACTTAAACTTGAATTCTCAATCGATAATTATTTTGTTATCAATAAAGAAGAAGAACTTGTACCATTGGATCATGATAAATCACAAATTGTATTTGCTGTATCAAAAACAACTTGCCTTTCCTGTAAATATTTACATATTTATTTAATTAATAATTTCGTTACTTTAGTCTAACATAAAAAGCATATAACTAGGTTATGAAATCCCAAACCAGTTGGAAGCAAAGAAGAAACTAATAAAAAAAATAATTGATTAATTACCAATCAGTTGATTTACGACTTTTCATGCATGGTTAACTTATTGAACCGTATATTATTTTTCAAGCAAATCTTTACATTGAAATGCACACCTGTAACTAAACTATTTGATTGCCAAATGAGGTTTTCATGTTGTTCGTTTGTAAAAATTCATGAATTAATTGAGGAGAGCAAACAACTAATACTACAACGCATGTAACTAACTGAATGTATGAAGTGGAACGATGAAGAGCAAATTGAAGTTAGCATAGTCTATAATATACCAGCGACGGTGACGTATCCAACGGTGTCGAACTGCAAGATGGCAGAGGTCTTGATCAAATCGGCTTCTCTAGTTGCCAAATCAGCCTCGATCTCCTCGCATTTAACGATGCTGGATTCAATCTCTCGAGTAATCTCAATATTAGCCTCCATTTCTTCGTTTACCTGCATTCTCCAACATAAATCAACAACGAACCAAGGATGAAATACAGCGGATAAACATAGATGCATACAAACCTGATCCAGCATTTCCTTCAGAGATGAAATATGAGCGAGAATTGCTCCTGAATCTTCCATGCTTTCTCTCTCTCCCTCTGTGTGTTATGCGGTGCAACGAACGAAACAGCGCTAGCACCACTTTCCAAATTCCAACAACTCAATTCCAGATTTCCCGCGCTTCATAGCAAACGTTTTCGTTTTATGGGTTTGTGAGCAAACAAGTCAAATGAGGCCCACAGTTATGAGGGCTTCAAAATATATTGGGCTTTTAGGCCTTTTCTATCCCTCCATGTAGTTAGAACCATAAACTTTCCTTCAATTTTGCAGCTATCGTAGTCTTTGATAGGGAATAGATTCCTACCAGATTAGTTCCTATTTCTTGATTTGCTTCTTTCTACCTTTCTAATGAGTTCAACAAGTGCATGTCTCTTTTAAAAGAGAGAAACACGAAATGTGAGAGTACACAATTGAATCCTATAAAATCGACATAATTAAATGAAGATTGTAATTATATATATATATATATATATATATATATATATATATATATATATATATATATATATATATATATATATATCAATCGTATTTTTCATAAAATAATTAAAAATGCATGATAATAAAGAAATAAAAAAAATTAAAAAAACAGTACTTTAACATTTTATTATTCTTCCTTCCACTGCTTGAGAAAAATTAGCAAACTTTTATCCCACTCCCTATCGTCCATCCTTAGAATATTTTTAAATATTCTCTATAAATGTAGTTAACAATTTTAATTTATTTTCTTTTTTATATATCTAAACACTTAGTGTTAAAAAGAAAGAAATATTTTAAGAGTGGTTATCACTTGGACGATTCATATATATATATAGAGAGAGAGAGAGAGAGAAAGAGGATGTGATAGGTACAACTTATAAATTATATTTAAAACAAACTATTACCAATTTATATTAATTTTAACGACCACCTATATTATTTTTATCAATCACTTATCTACATTAATTCGAACATTTTCCTTCTGAGCATATAAGTTATACGTTCCAAACTTTGAATAATATAATTCAATTTAGGGTCCCCTAAGAATTTGGTTAATACACCTGTAAGTTGATCATTAAAAATAATATACTTTTTATATATCTTTTTTGATAACAATTTCTCCCAAATAAATTTACAGTCAATTTTTATATGTTTAGTTCTCATGAAATACAAAGTTATAAACAATATAGAAAACACAACGAAAGTACAACTTTTAACCTAAAATAACAATAGGAGGTTATGATAAATATAACTCATGAATTCTATTTAAATCCAACTACTACCAATCTATTTTAATTCCACGTGTATTACTTCTATCCGCCACCAATCTACATTAAGTCTAACACTCACATGCTCCCTCGGAGCATATAAATTTTACATTCAAAACTTTGAATACTATAATTCAATTTAGGGTCCCCTGAGGATTTGATTAATATACTTGTAAGTTGATTATTAGAACACAATATACTCTTTATATTAATATTTTTTTACAACAACTTCTCCCAAATAAAATTACAGTCAATTTTTATATGTTTAGTTTTCTCATGAAATACTAAATTATAAACAATGTAGATAACACAACAAAAGGACAAGTTTTAACCTAAAGAGGTTGTGATAGGTACAACTCATGAAGTCTATTTAAATCCAACTACTACCAATCTATATTAATTTTAACAACCACCTGTATTACTTCTATCAGCCACCTATCTACATTAATTCTAACACTCACATCCTCCCTCGGAGCATATAAATTATGCGTTCCAAACTTTGAATAATATAATTCAATTTAGGGTCTCCTAAGTATTTGGTTAATACACTTGTAAGTTGATCATTAGAAACAATATACTTTATATTAATCTGTTTTGACAACAACTTCTCCCACATAAAATTACAGTCAATTTTTATATGTTTAGTTCTCTCATGAAATACTAAATTATAAGCAATGTAGAGAACACAACAAAAAGACAACTTTTAATCTAAAACAACAACAGGAGGTTGTGATAGGTACAACTCATGAAGTCTATTTAAATCCAACTACTACCAATCTATATTAATTTTAACAACCACCTGTATTACTTCTATTAGCCACCTATCTACATTAATTCTAACACTCACATTCTACCTCAGAGCATATAAATTATGTGTTTCAAACTTTGAATAATATAATTCAATTTAGGGTCCCCTAAGGATTTGGTTAATACATCTGTAAATTGATCATTAGAAACAATATACTTTATATTAATCTGTTTTGACAACAACTTCTCCCACATAAAATTACAGTCAATTTTTATATGTTTAGTTCTCTCATGAAATACTAAATTATAAGCAATGTAGAAAACAAAACAAAAAAACAACTTTTAACCTAAAACAACAACAGGAGGTTGTGATAGGTACAACTCATGAAGTCTATTTAAATCCAACTAATACCAATCTATATTAATTTTAACAACCACTTGTATTAGTTCTATCAGCCACCTATCTACATTAATTCTAACACTCACATCCTCCCTCAGAGCATATAAATTATACGTTTCCAAATTTTGAATAATATAATTCAATTTAGGGTCCCCTAAGGATTTGGTTAATACACCTGTAAGTTGATCATTAGAAACAATATACTTTATATTAATATGTTTTGACAACAACTTCTCCCACATAAAATTATAGTCAATTTTTATATGTTTAGTTCTTTCATGAAATACTACATTATAAGCAATGTAGAGAACACAACAAAAAAACAACTTTTAACCTAAAACAACAACAAGAGGTTGTGATAGGTATAACTCATGAAGTCTATTTAAATCCAATTACTACCAATCTATATTAATTTTAACAACTACCTGTATTACTTCTATCAGCCACCTATTTACATTAATTCTAACACTCACATTCTCCCTCGGAGCATATAAATTATTTGTTCCAAACTTTGAATAATATAATTCAATTTAGAGTCCCCTAAGGATTTGGTTAATAACCCGTAAGTTGATCATTAGAAACAATATACTTTATATTAATCTATTTTAACACTAACTTCTCCTACATAAAATTACAGTCAATTTTTATATGTTTAGTTCTTTCATGAAATATTAAATTATAAGCAATGTAGAAAACACAACAAAAAGACAACTTTTAACCTAAAACAGCAACAAGAGGTTGTGATAGGTACAACTCATGAAGTCTATTTAAATCCAACTACTACCAATCTATATTAATTTTAACAACTACCTGTATTACTTCTATCAGCCACCTATCTACATTAATTCTAACACTCACATTCTCCCTCGGAGCATATAAATTATACGTTCCAAACTTTGAATAATATAATTCAATTTAGGGTCTCCTAAGGATTTGGTTAATACATTTGTAAGTTGATCATTAGAAATAATATACTCTTTATATTAATCTTTTTTTACAACAACTTCTCCCAAAATAAAATTACAGTCAATTTTTATATGATTAGTTCTCTCATGAAATACTAAATTATAAGCAATGTAGATAACACAATAAAAGAACAACTTTTAACCTAAAACTACAACAGGAGGTTATGATAGGTACAACTCATGAATTCTATTTAAATCCAACTACTACCAATCTATATTAATTTTAACAACCACTTGTATTACTTTTATCGGTCATCTATCTACGTTAATTCTAACACTCACATTCTCGCTCGGAGCATATAAATTATACGTTCCAAACTTTGAATAATATAATACAATTTAAGGTCCCCTAAGGATTTGGTTAATACACCTCTAAGTTGATCATTAAAAACAATATACTCTTTATATATCTTTTTTACAACAATTTCTCCCAAATAAAATTATAGTCAATTTCTCTATGTTTAGTTCTCTCATGAATATTAAATTATATAGATTAGATAGTAAATCTGCAATGCAGAGAATACAATGAAATGATAACTTTGAACCTAAAACAACAATAGAACAAAAGTTAAGATTTAGCTCTTATACCAACTTAATTTAAAAAAATAAAAAAAATCTCTTAGAAGAGTTAATCACACACTCTCATTATCCCATATATAGATTGAGATAAATAGAACTCATAAATTACATACCAATTTATATTATTTTAAGAACACATATAATATTTCTAACAACCACCTAAGATATTTCTAGCAATTACCTTTCTACAATAATTCTAACATAAACCAACAGGAATTGAATTATGAGTATGATCTTATAAGGATTGTATAATGGTATTTTGATGTTGCATAATTTAAATATAATTTGCAACAAAAAATTCATATATATTCTTTACTTTTTAGATTCGTAGTAAACTTTATAATGATTTAAGTTGATATTACTGAACTATTATTTTATATTTTGAGACTTGGAAATAGAAAAATGTACTTTATTTACCTCTTTTTGTCTTTCTAAAAATTAGAAAAATAAAATAATATAAGTGTGAAAATCACTTTTACCCGTATATGTATGCTCAAAATTAGGAAAAGATAATTTGAATTATTACATTATCTCCGCAAAATTACTGTCTATATTTGACATATATTTAAATTAATTTTAATGATAAGTTTATGAAGAAAGATAGCTTTTCTTTAATAAAATATGGAAACTATTTTTAATAAATAATAGATCTTAATAATATAAATATTTAAACAATGAATCTAGGGATGATAATTAAACCGTATACATGGGACTGATCCGTTCCTGTCTCAAGTTTGACGGGAAAAACCGAGTTAACCGTGGGATGAGTTTAAGTTTTTCCGTTTTAAAAAGTTGAGGACGAGGGCGAAGACGAGGGTGAGGATGGATAATGCAATCCCCACTCCAGGTCATAGTCCGCGCCGACTTTATATTTAAATTCAAAATTTTAAAATATTAATATTTTAAAAGTATTTTTTTTTTCAATTACATATAAGATTATTTATTTATATTTCATCATTTTTACTTTTCTTTTACTCACTTTTAAATTTTTGTTTTTTTTAATCTTTTATATCAATTAATTTATTACATTATTCTCTTTCTCTTACCTCTCAGCTTTTTACATTTCTTAAATCTCTCCAATTATTTTTTTTAATCTTTTCAACCAATCTAATAAATATAATTTTTTTCTTCTTTATCTTTTTCTAAATATTAATAGTAAATTATATTATTTTATTTATAATTTATATTTATTAAGTTTTATTATGTCATATTTTTTAGATTTTATTATTTTTATTTGTCATATATTAAATTTTATCTTAATAAAATATTTTATATTTTAAATGATTAAAAAAATTAATAATTTAAATGTTTATTATTTTAAATTAATTATATTAGAATTAACTTATTAAATATTTTCTTGTATAATTGAATGTAATATTATAATAATAATATTATAAGGATTAAAATGTTTGAGTATAATAATAATAATATTATTATTATTAATATTTTATATATATATATATAAATAAAAAATAAATAAATATTTATTTTACATATATATTTTAATATAAATATAATAAATTAAAAAATATATTTAATTAATAATAATTATAAATTATAAATATTTATTTATGTATAAAAATATATAAAATAGAAAATTAATTTATATAAATATAATTATTTTTTAAAAATAATATATATAGAAAGTAAACATTTAATTTTTAATTTTGACGAGAATGGAACCGTTAAAAAAGGTCGGGATGGAGATCGTACACAAAACCGTTTTCATGCCTAAATGTATCATTCACCATGTGACACACCACGTCACATGTAAAAGAAATTTGGTAATAATTTATTTAAATAATGATTTCATTTATATTAAATGAAAACGTCTTCTCTTCTTCTACTCAACTTGAAAGGTGAAAGCATCTTACCTTGTTTTCACTTGAAATTAAAAGTGAGTCCCATCCCATGGGCATGCAGACGCTGACCCTCTTTCGCTTCCCCCACCCAATTTCTCAAAACGCTGTTGTTCCTCGCCAAGCCATGTCTCGATCCTCCGGAACCTCCTTTCCCACCTTCACCACTACCTCCATCTCTTTCTTTCAACTCCAAGTAATCTCTCTCTTCCTTCTTGTTCCGTGCTTGCGTTTTCCATGTTTTTGTGAGTTTTTAGAGATCAAAATAAACTCTCAAGTGGTTTTCCGCTTTAACATATTACTATCACTCATGTGATATGTGTTTGATCTTCTGTTTTTTCAATGCCTTCTCTGGTTCGGTGATGGCTTTGTCTTTGTTTGTGTGCAGTGCCTTGCACTTGTTTGATTATTGATCCGATTCTTCTTATTTCGTTGCGACAGGATAAGAACGCTGACTTGTCGTTGAAGATTGAAGAAGGCTTTGGACCCAATGGACTGGGGATTCTATCCGTCACTGATGTATGCGCATACTGTTTCACGTGTTTTATTTTTTTTTCAAAGTTTTAATTACTCGGTTAGTTCCTGCAATTAACCCATACATCTAGAAACTAGTCGTTTAATCTTTACACATACATTTTTCAATCCGATTTGGTTTTTTCAATTTTGGTAGGCAAGGACTAAGATGGATTAAAAAGTGTATGTCTTGAGATTAAATGAGAAATTTCTAGTTGTTTTAAAACATGAAGGTTGTGCTGGTATACGAACTAACTGAGTAGTTAAACTTGTTTCAAATATAAACATGTTATATGTGTTTGATCCTGTGTTTTTTTCGGGGGGAGGGAGCATAATTCATTGATTTTTGAAGTTGCTGTTAACAGATTTAAATGTTGATGATATTTGGATATAGAGTTGAAGCAAGATTTTCAATGAAAACAAGAGTCAACTGAAGGCTGTGTCTGCACTACAATTTACCAACTATTTTTTCATTGAACAATATAGTGTCACATACTTATGAAACATATTTTCTGTACAAAGCCCCTCTGCTAGTTTATATAATGGCTTCTTCTGTGATAAATGGGGAAATTGGGTCATGCTATGCCCATTTGTTGTCATAGACTTCATTTTTTCATTCATAGTGATGATTATAGAGATGATGTTTGGAAATTCCATTCTGGCTGCACTGCAATTTGTGCTATCATAATTATTTTATTGGAATTAATTACAGGTCCCAGGATACCCTTCATTGCGCAGAAATCTCTTGCAACTTGCACCAAGGTTTGTACTTTGCTTTGAGATGATATTTCTACGTATGTTCCCGATGCATTAGTTTTAAATCGTTTAAGGAGACCACTAGAAGCTGAAATTGTTTTGATGATAACATATTCCTGTCCTTGGGGCAGATTGGCAAAACTTCCCGAAGAAGCAAAGGAGGATCTTGAAGATCCTAACAGTAGGTAACTTATCTGTATTTAAGACTTCTTAATACTAAATATTCACTTTGCATGGCATATTTCATTCATTTAGTGTTAAGGTTCCAACATAAAACCAATTGGCAATATGTGGAGTAGCCTAACATGTATTTAAACCATACCAAATGACATGAGATAGGTGATGTGGGACTTTCAACACACCCCCTCCAACGAAGTCTGCTGGACCAGGCAAAGGGTACTTTTGACCCAACTAAAGAGCAACTTTTGACCCATGACAATAACCGGAAAGATGTTAGGTTTTGGCTCTGATACCATGTTAAGGTTCCAACATAAAACCAATTGGCAATATGTAGAGTAGCCTAACATGTATTTAAACCATGCAATATGTGGAGTAACCTAACATGTATTTAAACCATACCAAATGACATGAGGTAGGTGACGTGGGACTTTTAACACACTCCCTCCAACGAAGCCCGCCGGACCAGGCAAAGGGTACTTTTTGACCCAACTAAAGGGCAACTTTTGGCCCATGACAATAACTGGAAAGATGTTAGGCTTTGGCTCTGATACCATGTTAAGGTTCCAACATAAAACCAATTGGCAATATGTGGAGTAGCCTTAACATGTATTTAAACCATATCAAATGACATGAGGTAGGCGATGTGAGACTTTCAACACACCCCCTCCAACGAAGCCTGCCGGACCAGGCAAAGGATTTTGACCCAACTAAAGGGCAATTTTTGGCCCATGACAATAACCGGAAAGATGTTAGGCTTTGGCTCTGATACCATGTTAAGGTTCTAACATAAAACCAATTGGAACCTTAACATGGTATCAGAGCCAAAGCCTAACCTCTTTCCGGATATTGTCATGGGCCAAAACATTTACCATACATATTGTTTTCTTCTGCCGTTAGCTCAAGGCCATGTGTTCATAGATTTCTGTGGTGGCAAATAGCTTATGCTGCTTCTATCCACCCTTAATTCATAGGTACAATTTTGGTTGGAGTCATGGGAAAGAGAAACTTGAATCAGGGAAGCCAGGTAACTCTTTTCATATGATAGATATGGTGAATTTTTGGTCGTTGTTCTTTGAAACCTTAAATTGTTTACGGGTTAAATTTTGATTATTGCTTTGTTCTCGGGTGTTTCAACCCATTTCTATTTACTGTGTGTTCTATTTTGTAAATGCATAATTATTTGAAAATCTTGCTGCGTTTATGTTCCATTTTTTTTTTGGTATTTTGATTATTCTGTTTACAAGATGTCTTGTCCTGTCCGTAATTCTGATTTTTTTTTCTGTAACTTTTCAAGTTTAAGATTTAAAACATAGATATGTTCATTATTGCTGTAGTTCATTATCAATCAAATGCTTTGAATAAGAATCTCATACATATTTGTCCAAGTTATTGCTGTAGTTACTGTGTACCCATTGGAGAAATTGTTATATTTTTTTCTGGAATCAGTATGTTGGGATATTAGAATGTTGTTTGATCATTGCCCAAGTAAATTGTGATTTCCATTGGTATGGGTTACAGCATCAAAAGGAAAGGAAGACATGCTCTGGAAGTGACTTTCTGTCAAAAGAAAGTTATGATTTTTGTGTTAAAGTTCTTCATAAAATTAAAATCTGATCTGTAATTCTAGATAGTAACTTAAACTGTATGATATTTATGATATTATTTAAATTTGAATCTGTGAATTTGGGAATTTTAGTACCTAAATGCATTTTGGAAAATCAAAAAGTTATCTACATTATTATGTATGGCTATTTTTGTTATCTACTTCTTTTATTCTGAGTGCAGATATATTAAAGGGATCTTTCTATGCCAATCCCATACTTGATACACCTACAACAGAGGCTTCTTTGATACAGCGGTAATGATAGAAGAAAAAACATCACATAATTTTCAATTATTTATCATATTAGGTAAAACTTCAGTCTCACATTGGCTAGGGATAGTGCCAAAATACAGTGTATAAGGTGGAGAAAGCTTCACATAGCAAGCCAATTTTATAAGAGCTTTAGTTAGATCCTAATCAAAATAGTACACATCCACTTACCAAGCTAATAATAATGATAGACATGAAGAGGTGTATTGGGAAAAATATAAGTCCTACTTTGACTAGAGATAATGCCAAAATACGGTTTATAACTTGGGGGAACCCCTTACTTTACAAGTCAGTTTTGTATGAAGTTAGACTTGAATCTAAATTTTAAGATATCAAAATTCAATTGTTATTTCTTTAGATATATGGCATTCACACAATTTATCACAGTATTGTACTGAGTTATCAGCTCAGTCAACTAGTTCTTTTTACTTATCATACAGATTCAATGTGTAGTTTCTGTTACTTATTACTGTCATTTTTCTTGCTTACTTTTTTAATGGCATTTATATTATGTACTTCTCTCTGAAATTCTGTGTCTTTGATCATATGCATTTTCTTGGATTTTGTGTTTTCTGCAGGTATCCATCATATTGTGGATCAAATATATGGCCTAGGAGTACTTTACCAGAACTTGAAGTGGGTATGCCCTGAAGCCTGAACTGGTTTTGCATTGTGTTTGTTTACCTGATTTATGGGGATATATATTGCTGTTTTAATAGATATTTTTTTCCCTGGTTCTACATGAATGATAGTAAGATAATGATTATAGATGATGAGTTACATCTTTGTAAATGCAGTAATCAACGTACATTATTTGCTTCTGTGTATACCTTTTGTCAGTTTTTTGTCTCTTTTCAAGTTTACTGTTGATACCAAAAATATTACTCGTTTAATTTTAGAGTTATTGAAAGAATATTTCATCTTTGACAGTTTAATTTTTCAATAATTACTAAAAATGAATTCTTGGTAAAAAAGTATTTGGGTCAATAATTGGTTACTTATTTAGCGCCTTGAGCAGCTGGGTGGTTCCTAACTTGAATATATTTTCACCAACAATTTTCTTGTAGTCTTTTCAACCTTTCTGGATAAATGGTTGATGTATTCTTTGTAATTTTCTTGCATTCATTTCAACTTGTAGTCTTTTTTAGCATGATATTCATACTTCTTCCAAACAATGCTAACATTAGAGGATGACAATAAATTGTCTTGGTTTATTTTGTGTAGATAGTAAGTGATTGGTTTCAGTTCATAATTTATTTATTTTCGACATGTAGCTTTCAAAGCACTTGGCATGCTGATATTTGATGTCGGATTGATGTTGGCATATCACTGTGATCAATATGGTAAGGCAACAAGCAATGTTTAATTTGGCTTTAGACAAAGATATCTTGAATGGCCTATGGTATTCTCCTAGCATTTTATTTCATTTGAATTGTTGCCTGTGGGAAGTTATACACTTTTCTGTTTATTTATTCCTTGTAAAGTTAATTTTCTGTCCTATTTTGAAATCAAGTAAAGATTTCTTCACTAGTTGAATTGGCTTTTCTTATTATATAGAAGCTCTCAATGGTTTTACATGGAATAGGAATAATAATCTGATCTAGAGATTCTATCTTGAAAATAACAGGATTTGATTTTCACCTTTAGATATCTCATGGAATTGTTTTAAAGGATATAATACTGCTATTTAGCAACAGCAAACATAAGTTACCTCAAAAAGCATTTTATTCCCTTTTCGCCCACGCTTATTGCTCGTCATCCCTAAATTTGGATGGTTTGGTTGGCAAAATGTCTGATTTTATTTTCATGTCTGTTGGGCAACCCTCACCTCAAAAGTAAGTGTTATGGATTGACTTAGGCGTAAAATCATATTCTAAGAATGTAGAAGAACAAATCATAGATCTAAGAAATGAGTCACGTTTCATATTGTTATCCACACAGCAAGTCCAATAGTGTCAGGTGTGATGGGATGTATTGGGAAAAATCCAAGTCTCACATTGACTAAAGATAAATCCTAAAAAAAAACGTATGTAACTGGAGAGCAACCCTCACCACACAAACTGATTTTGTGGGGTTAACGTAGGTTAAAATTCACATTCTAAGAACATCCTTATCAAGTAAAGCGTTAAGCCTCTAATGAGTGTTGATACACTCATTCTTAGGTGGCATGGCAAGTGCCACTCACTGATGCCTTTTTGTTGATAGCCAAGTTCTTTTTGTACCTGTTGTACTTTTATTTTCACTTCTATTTCTGTCCTAATATATTGTCACACTCAAATAACTTGTCAGTATCCAAAGGAACGAAAACTCAGAAGGATGAAGGTCTGGAAAGGATACTATGTCGCTCCCGCTGTCACAAAGGACGTTTGCTATATTATTTTCCTTCACAACAAGGGTAAATTTGTGATAAATTGTCTCCTAAAGCTTGTTATAAGATTTCTTTGTCATACAAAGATGTTCTCTACATATCTTTTTCCTTTCAAATTTTTGAAATTAAAGTTAAGACAATGATACACCTTTAATTGTGTTAATATTAATATTGTACTTAGAAGATGATTATGATTTCAAAATTATCAGAACTTAAATGATATCAATTAAATTAGGATTATGTTGGTTTTTTCTTTTACGTAACACTATCAATACGGTTTGAATTTATGATCTCATGTAATCTACCGAAACCCCTCATTACTAGTTCAATTATACTGGCTTTTGTATTGGTCCTTTTATCATTATTTAGTTTAAACCATGACTATAGGTGACCTGGTGGAGGGTTGGACCACTAATAAATTATCTCCATGTCGAACTCTTAAAAGACTTTGGGATAATGGAGGTACAAGCTCCGTGCTTTTGTAAACATTTTCTATACTTATAAGTTGTGAAGGAGATTGAATGCGATGCTAGTAGAGGAACACTTGCATTTTGATGGCTGTTTACAAGGCCTAACATTTCTTAATAAGGATATCTTTACTTCTGGACTAGGTTATAGCCTGGAATCGTGAAGTTTTTCAGCTCATTCAAAATGCTGTTTAATGTTTAATATAGCTCTAGTTGTACATTTTCATATGCATGAATAGATATTAACAACTTACAAATGATGTTTAACAGAGCCCCAGATAGTAACTCTTTATCTTCTTGGTGTGGATGGCATACTGACCACGGTTCACTGACAGGTTGTTATTATATGTTCATTTTTTTGGGATGTGTTGTGATCGCATATTTTTTTTTTCATTCAGTGTAATATTAACTTCTTATGCGTAACATTCCTAGTTAAGGTAATTAGAGAAGTCCATGGACATTAAGAAGATAAATTGTTGTCAATAGTAACAATATTATAGTTCTTCAGATGCTATCTTTTGCCTAATTTCCATTTCAATTCAACATGTAGGTCTAACTTGCGGTATGTTTACGAGAGATGGTTTAGAAATGTCTTCCCCTGATAGTGCTGCTGGCCTTTATATTCGAACAAGAAGTGACCAAATCGTCAAAGTATACATTCTTGTTCTAGAATTACAAGTAACATTGGATATATAAATGATTAAAAAATTACATAATTGCAACATTAAAATCGGTTCTTGGTTCATCTTTCTTTTAATGTGAAGAACCCATCCTTTCTCGGCAGGTAAGTGTTGATTAAATGTCTCCTTTCTTTTGACTGTGTTGAGTGATTTGGGAATGTAAATTTTTTGTGAAGTGGATTCAGATGCTTTGTATGAACCTGTTATGGATGTTTCAGTTTTAGATAGGGAAATACCGATAAAACACTCTTTAGTAAGGGGAGTACGAGTGACTCAAATGGTTATGCGAGTCTCACGAATTTCATCCAGTAATGGCAAAGAGTATTCCGGTAGTAATATTTCCTTTGGTGAAGATGTAATTTCATATGACAGTATTGAAGGAACAAGTTTGTAACGCATGAGTTGCTAGAAATATTCCTTGACTTCAAATAATAAAATTACTTCGTTCATCTTTTTATTCTGAAAATGGATGTTGGGTTGCTCCCATTTTTTATGGTTTAAAATTGTAAAATCTGAAATATGCTTGCATTGTTGCGAATATGAAGCTTAGAATTTTTCTGAATTAGTACAATGCATTTACTCATTGTTTATTCTATCTTACAGGTTGTCTTCGGAAAAGATGATATAGCATACCAAATTGGTGAAACCACTGAAATACTTTCTGGAGGTTATCTTTGTGCAACACCTCATTGTGTCCAGGTAATTTAAAATTTCCAATGACACACCTAATTATGTCGTCCCTTTTTACAATGGACTTATAGCAAATTTCATGGTCATCATGTTGAATCAATATATATTCCTTCTTCTGTCTTTATATCATTGATTGATTGTACACATGCTAATTGTTAATTTCATAATTACATCTCTCTAGTGTTTTTTCTTCTACAGTTATTTGCAATTTTCCGAATAATGCTTTATAAAGTTCATTTTAGAAAGGGTTTCTGTTTGTTTTCCCATTTTTACAAAGGTATGGGATGCTTGTAGTTTGAATGTTAGATAACATTCGCATAGTTTGCTTGGAGGTCTACTGAATCTTACCTAGACAGATAGGTGCCTAATACCTATGCTGTGACAAAAACGTAGTACTAAGTTTGATGTCAAATATTTATTGATTAATTCATTAATATTTATAGACAAATTATTAAAGAAATGTTTCGCTCAGTGTTAACCATATATTTGGCATCTAGGCTAGATTCTTGATATGCCCAAATGCAATTTCTTTAACTAAGTGTTTCCTATTTTTTTGTTCAATTCCCACCAGCAGTTTTTCTTAATAATATATGAATGTTATGATACCTTTAGGCTCCCAAGGGAGAGAAGTCTTCTGGTATTGAGCGCTCGACCTTTGCATTATTCATGCAACCGGACTGGTATGTTCTCCAAGTCTAAAGAAAAATGCTAGACTGTTCTGTTGCATATATTATGTTAGGAGCTATGTTCCGTAGAACATTAGGGAAATCTCAGGCCAGTGATGAATCTGAGAGAGTGTCAATAATTACGCTTTTCAGGGATGAAAAACTCAATTTCCCCAAGGAAGTTCACATTCATAAAGAGGTATGTATTCGTCAGGTCGTGATAATTCTTCAGATAGAACATGAAACAACTCAGCATGAGATTATAGTCAATAAAATATGACATTAAAAGAAAGAAAAATAAAAGGGAGAAACGGATTGACTTTTGCAATATCATGCGACATGACATGCCATGCTAGGCAATTACATTTCAGCGTTCCACCCAAAATTTCGGTATAATTTTGGCATGTAGATGATACAGCCTGAACATGCTGCCTCCTTCATATTAAATGAGGTAAGCCTTGTTTCTAATGTCAAGAACGGGCTTATGGGCTTATCATTTTTTCCAGCTTATTCCATCAAATGCCGCCCTTACTTTTGGAGAGTATTCAGAGATGCTGCTAGACAAATATTATCACCAAAAACAGTAATGTTTACATCTTTGCCACTGATGTTGATCAAACTCGATCTATTTTTGTGGTATTTGTTTTAGCTTCGTATGTTATCTGCTTCGTTTTGCTCTGGTTCTCTGAGGTGATTTGATTTCCGGTGCCTTTTTTGCAGGACCTAAGATTGATACTTGTTACTTCTCTGCCAACAGATATGACTGGTTGAAGAGACTTGGCCTATTAATTCATGGGACCAAAATAAAATTGTGTAAATGTGTAGTCGCTATTGGATAATAGCAAAAGAAAAGGTAACTGGTTGAAGTAACAAGTGTGACTAGTTACTTATCTGCCAACAAGTGTAACTAATTGAAACGAATTAGCCTGTTAATTCACGGGACTGAGAAAATTGTGTAAATAAATGTTTAGTCGCCATTGGATTATAGCTAAGAAAGGGAAAATTATAAATTACGTTGAATATCTTACAGTATCTTAATTCATGGGACGGAGCGAAAGTTACTGTAGTATCCAATGATGTTAATTTTCTTTGATCTTTAATGGGAAGTAATGCAATGATATATATCCTATTTGTGATGGGATTTAAACACGTAGTTTAAAGTATAAGGTACACAGGTCAACTTTTTGAGTGTAATCACATCATGAGCCTTGAGCCTGTCAAGCTTAACAGTATTAAAAGGTCAATTACTTTTTAAGATTTGGACATGTTAATAAATTGCATGGATTTCTGTACTATCTTTTTCTTAGAGGAAAAGTTGCTCGACCAAACATACAGGGTATGCAACATGAATCCGCGGGCAAAACACCGCAGATAGATCGAGTTCAACGATCGAAATTATTTAGAAAATTTTGTAACAATTGAAGGTTGCTTTAACCAAAAAGGATAACTATTCTTTAATTCACAAGTTTTTTTCCTTTGCGAAACAGAACAAAATTAGATGTCTCTTTCACCAACTAACACAATCAAAACATACAAGAAAACGGCCACATTATAAGATAGTAAATACTTTGAGCGGTCGGACTAGTGCACAGTCGTCATTGTGGAATTTAATTTGGGTAAGCTCTAGAAGCCTTATCAAATCTATTATTAATAGACAACAGTGGGTTAAATATATAAAGAAAGAAACCATTTACTTTAATTTTTTAATTTCATTATTTATTTCTAATAATCGAGTATATAAAATTTGCTAATTTATATTTTCTTTTTTCTTAGAAATAAGTTTTTTTAAAATATCCAAAAAAATAAATAAAATTAAACTATGTTAATGAAAATTTTGCGAGGCTTCATAAAATTATGACAAAAAAGGTATACATAAACTTAAAATTTTGTGTATCCAAAATTTTATTGAAAATTTGGAAATAATCATTCCTATTAAAAAAAAAAAACTTAACATCACCCTCTAACTTTGAAGACATTAGATTCTTATATATTTATGGTAATCAATTTGATTACTTAGTAAGAGATTTCACATGAACTAACTAAAAAGAAATAAGTTGAACAAAGTTGTCAAAAAGAAAAATTGAGTGAGCACAATTTATTTTGTGAGAACGTTTAATCTCCCATTTCCAAACATCCTAATACATGTAAATAGTAATCCATGTGTTTCAATATTTTTGAGCAAATGTTTTTGAAGGTAAACTAGTAGCCACTATTAATCACTTGGACACGGAAGAATGAATGGATATTAAAGTTGTAGAGGAAATGGTTTAAGAAGAAGTGGGGCAGAAGAGAAGATAGGCATATTCAATAATTCAATCTTATCTGGAATGAACTAGCCGACATATTGTTTTGTGCCGCCAAAGTGAGCAGTGACCACAAACAACACTTGCATCTCATACTTCCTACAGTCAAATCAAACTTCTATTCTTCTTCTTTCATTTTCTGTTGAGAAAAACGTGATTAGATGTGTATATAACGACAATAATGCCACCTGGTTTGGGTGGTGGGGGGTGTATATGGAATGGAAATTTCCTTACACCATCCATTATTCTATTCTATGGAATAATAATCAAATCCTTACACACGCATTCTCCTCATTTGTTCATTTATCCACTCTTTCTAATTGCCTATGGAATCGTCCTCGTCATCCATGCAACTTTTCTCCTCTCTTTTTTGACCACTTTCGATTCTTTTCTTTGTTGTTCCCTCTGACTATACTAGTATGAACTCAAAGCATGTAATAAAAACCATGCAATTTTTTCTTTTACTTCTACCTACTTTTGTTTGTTCAAATACTAATGGGATTAAAAAAGATGCCGGATTTTCCTTTATAATTTTTTTTTATATTACTTTGAATCTAAGATATTGTTAAAAATAATAATTTTCTCATACGCGTAAAGTATAATACTGGCTTAGAAGAGTGTGGTGGTGGTGAGATGACATGAAAATCACGACATAATGCATGGTGAATCGACGTTAACGTGGAAAAGTGGGGCCCGAAACAAGTTGAAGATCAAAAGAGAGAAATTGAGTATTACCGAACAAAGGAGTGGACCCCGACAAGTTCTATAAAACTAACAGAGATGGTTGGGATAAATTGGCCATTACCTGCGAAGACCAAACACCCTTTTAAGGTTTTAGTTTGATTCATTCATCGTACCTCGCCATGGCTCTCGCTCAACCTTGCCGGAAAACAAGCCTTCGAAAACGGTGCTTTATGGTGGCGAAGCAGCAAAAAACGCGCTTCTACATCTTCGGACGCTGCATAGCCATGCTTCTCTGCTGGCACGACCATGCTATCTCCGATTAGATGCTTCAATTTAAGCTGCACAAGCATCGGAATTTCGATTTTGCCCATGTGGGCACCCTCGGCATCATGTTATTGCTTTTGCCACACTTGAGCACAAGAGGGATCACAAGGACGGGTGTGGGAGAAAGTAGAGGGTCACGTTGACAAGAATGAAGATCAATCACCGCAGATGGGGTTGTGTCGTGCACGATTGAGGTTGGGTTCAAGAATTCACCCACATGGTAGAAAAATTGAGTCTTGAAAAAAAGTTGGGTACTTGATTCGCTTCGCTGCCATGTAACAACTGTTGTAATTATCTGACCTTGTTTTAGACAGCAACTTTATCGGGCTGAAACAAGTGTTCTCAAAGTGCTACCTTTCCTTGATAATTAGTTTGATTCACATATTGGTTAAGGTTACCTACTAGTGTGAATTTTGCTATCTGTCCCTCGCCTATTTTTAAATGGATCGTGGGTTAAGACCGAAACTGCAAGTATAATGAAGGATTTTGTACATTTTGTTGACAAATAAGTTGTGATAGTTAACTAGAGTTTTTTATGGAAGATCATTTCCATAGTAGACCTGTTATCAACTGCTATAAGCTTTTGAAATCTTTTTGTATACTAAGTAGCACGTACTGACTAAAATTATTGCCTATCCCAGTCAATATGTAGGTAGAGACAAGTGCAAAGGGTGGTGGTTGGCATCATGAATATGAACATCTTAGATTGTTTCATGAGGTTTTGGAATGCTGGCAGAACACACCTGATAGGTATTCGGTGCTGATCCCAATAGCTATACATTCAGTATACTCTTTTCTTAGGTCGCCACTTAGAGAAGGTATATATTCAAATAGAACGTTAGCCTCTAATCCATGCATTCAAAGCCTAAGTGACTGAACAAATGAAAACCAAACAAGAAAGTTTTGATGAATTGTGGCAATACAAGTTTTACATTTGATTATGAATAAGGCTATGCAACTGATCATAATATGCAAGAATACTCTTGGAGGAAACCCAAACTCCAAAACATTATCTTATTAAGGTTTGTGAGGAACATAGAAATTGATTTCATTCTCTATTTTTCTTTTTTTCATCTTCACATACAATGAAAAGTCTAAATAATTACTAGGTATGGTAGAAACAGTGTTCAGGCAGCAGGGTACACTACAACTTGATCAATAAGAGGGCCACAAAGAGATCCGTAGTCGTGAATTCTTGTGTGGTAGAAAGAGCTATAGAACGTGATTCTGGTTCTGTTTCCAATTGCTCTGAACTTGAAGCTCACAGTCTTGAATTTGCCTTTTCCTTCAGATTTGAAGGCAACTTTGAGGGTGTCTTTTGCTGCAAATGCTTCAACCATCATTGATCCATGACAGCCATTTTTGGCGTCTCCAACTGTGAACTTCATGTTGCATTCTTTGTTGGGAACTGTTCTGAGAATTTGGGCAATGACACTTTCCCTGCCTGCAATAAGCTCTATTGCTCCCTCCAAATGGGACATTAAAATGCTTTGAATCTATGAACTTCACGGCTTTGAGAGATTCAATCATCCAACCAGGTAGTGGAGACACAAGATCTTCTTGTTTGGGAGGAAGCAGAACACCGTTTGTAGAGTTGAAAACAGGGAATGGGCCCTCCTCAAAGCCAGGATTTTTAATCAAATTAGCTGCAGTGCAACACAACTCGCAAATAAAGGCAAAGTGAAAACTGATCGAATATTATCATAAATCCAAAAACTCGATTAAATATCACATTAAGATTAGCTAGGACTATTGACATCTCATAGTCCTAAATCATGCAATAGTTTGCTGTAATCGAGTTTTTCAATTTATGAGAAAAGGTTAAAGAACTCAATTATGTGTTACGTGAAGATTAACTTGAAGGAGGGATTTGAGGAACACTAGAAAAGTGATTGCATCCAAGGGACCAATGAGCATGAAGAGAGTAGCTTCTTATAAGTGATAACAAAGCAATGCAATGAGATCTGACAAAAGGTTGAGATTATGTTGCTATAGATATTCTTAAAAATAAGATAATTTATTTTTTGTTTTAACGGTTTTCTTTCTCTTTTTCATCTATAAAATTCCTGTAACCCATTGACATGTTAGAGTAGATAACGAGAATTTTCAATTTTTAATTCTTGGCGATCCTCTTATCCTTCTCTTTTTCTGTCTTGGGTGTTCAATTTTAAATTGGATTTTAGTTTCTATGTTTTGTTGCATTTTTCTACAGTTCAATTTCACTGTTAATGCTCGATACGTTATCAAAGTATTACTTCTTTGATTTCTTTTCACTTTTAATACTATTTTGTCACTTAATCGACTATTCACTAGGTTGATATTATTACTCGTTCTCTATCACTATTATTTTAATATAATATTAGAGCTCTTCACTCTTATTATCTTTTAGGTTCTTATCATTCTTGTTTTTTTTGGATATCATGGAAAAGCTAATTGATTCACCAAATACAAATTCAATGCCGATTACAAATTCTTCTTCTATTAACAACTTCCTGTATATTCATCAAAAATAAAAATCTTTCGATAAGCTTGGCCTCTCTGATTCTTAGCGCAAAAAAGTATCATTCTTGGAGCAGATTTATGTTCACTACATTAAACGCAAAGAAATGTTAATGGTTCAACACTTGAACATGCAAAGACGATCCTTCTTACATATCCTGGCGACGAAGTAATAACATGGTAGTATCATGGATTGTTCATTCTATTTCTTTGACTACTCGACAAAGTATATTATGGATGGACAAAACTGAAAAGGTATAGAATGATCTAAGGTCTCAATATTTTCAAGGTAAATCTATTACGAATTTTTGATCTTAAATTTGAAGCTTCTTTTATCAAACAAAGTAATCTCTCTATTACTGAGTTTTTCACTAAACTCTGAATAATTTTGGATGAACTTCAAAATTTTCGGCTAATCTCAGCTTTACTTGTCTATCAAAATGATCTTACATTATTCTTCCTATAATTCATCAATGTAAAAGAGAAGATCAAGCTATGCAACCCTTGAGAGGCTTAAATGAATAGTATAACAATGTCAAATCCTACGTTCTTTGTTAGGATATTTGTTATCCACATACAATACAGTGCAATTATTAATTTACTTTTGAATTAAATAAAATACATATTCTTTAGGAATAGAGGTCTCTGATATTTAGTCATGACTTAAACATGAATTAGTTTTTTTGTTTTCTCCTTGTACTGGCTATTTAATGTCATTCATATTAATGAAATAAATAAAACTTAAAATTACGTTTCTACACACAACAATATTAGAAACTAACACTGGTATCAGAGCCACTCACGGACCTGATATTTAGAAACCAAAACACCATGGCTGATAGCAACAGTTTCCTTAGTATTCCTAGGTTTGATGGTGATTATGATCATTGGTACATGCTCATGGAAAATCTTCTGAGATCAAAGGAATATTGGACAGTAGTGGAGCAAGGTTATGAAGAGTCCAAAACGGTGGAAGAACTCACTGGAGCAGAGTGACGTATATTGGAAGAGTAACGACTAAAGGACCTGAGAGCCAAGATTACTTATTCCAGTCTATAGATAAAAATATTATGAAGACAATCACCAATAAAACAACGTCCAAGAGTCTTTAGGATTCACTGAAGTAGAAATACCATGGAAATACACGTGTTCAAAGAGCCCAACTTTAGCGGTTTAGAAGGGAGTTTGAACTCATTGAGATGCAAGGTAGTGAATGCGTTAATGATTACATTTCTAGAGTAATGATTATCATAAATGATATGAGAAGAGTTGGCGAGGCTATGGAGGATGGTCACGTTATTGAAAAGATCCTACGCACACTGTTAGACAAGTCTAATTACATTGTGTGCTCCATTGAAGAGTAAAAAGATATCAATAAGATGACACTTGATGAATTACAAAGCTCATTGCTTATTCATGAACAAAAATTCAAGATGCAAGAGATAACTAACCAAGCATTGAAGGTCACAAAGAATGCCTCTTTTTCACACACTGAGGAACGGGCCAACACCAGAGGCAGATGGCGTGGAAGAGGTAGGGGTCGAGGAAGAGCATTCAACAAATCCACTGTTGAATGTTACTGCTATCACAAACTAGGACATTTCAAATATGAATGTCCCACCTATGCAAACTATACCGAACACACTAATATGAATGTCACCACAGAGGTATTTTATATTCCTGACCTTAAATCTAACTTATTTAGTATTAGTCAACTACAAGAAAGGGAATTGTTCATTCTAATTCAGAATGGATGTTGCAGTATTTATCACAATACGAAAGGTTTGATTATAAGAATCATGATAACTGGCATGTTTATACTTTTAGCATCCATTCCTCCTGACACAGCACCAACCCCATGTTATAATATTGCTTCTGATAATACTACAAGCCTATGACATCAAAGGCTTGGGCATCTTAATATTAAAGGATTGCGCACTTTGGCTTATAGACGAATGGTTCATGGCTTGCCTATATTGAAGAACCAGTCCCAAATGTGCAGCATATGCATGAGTGGAAAGCAACAACTTAATCCCTTCCCAAAGAAAAGTGCATGGAGAGCATCCAAACCTCTCCAACTTATTCATTCAGATATATGCGGTGCAATTTCTCCAGAGTCTCAAAGCCATAAGAGGTACATTCTAACATTTATAAATGATTATAGTAGAAAAATGTGGTCTTATTTTTTACATGCCAAGTCAGAAGCCTTTGACACATTTAAAAGGTTCAAGTCATGTGTGGAGAACGAAATAAGATACCAAATAACGTGCCTACGAACTGACAAAGGAGGAGAATTCTGTTCCTCATAATTTAATGATTACTGTAGTGTTCATGGCATCACCAGACAACTCACTACCACCTATTCCCCACAACAAAATGGAGTGGCTAAAAGGAGAAATCATACACTAATGAATATGATAAGGTGCATGCTTATAGCTCGTGAGGTTCCATAAAAGTACTGGCCAGAAGCAGCAAATCAAGTAACCTATGTTCTCAATAGATTTCTTACCTCAGCTTTGACAAATATGCCACCAGAAGAAGCATGGAAAGAAAGAAAGCCAATAGTGAGTCACCTTAAGGTGTTTGGTTGCATAGGATATTTGCATATTCCTTATGCAACCCGTAAAAAGCTAGATGAGAAGAGTATCAAATGCGTGCACATGGGAGTTAGTGAAAAATCCAAAGCATATCATATGTATGATCCTGAAACAAAGAAAATAATAATCAGTCATGATGTTGTGTTCGATGAAATGGAAACATGGGATGGAGCACATCGGGAGAAAGCCACAACATTAATGATCTAATATGTGATGAACCAGAAGCAACTGATATTAACTCGGGAACCACCAGCAAAACAAATCCTGAAATTGCTGAGAGTTCAAAAATTATAAGAAGCAGCAGAGTCCCAGAACGCAACAGAAAGCCACCAATATGGATGTAGGACTATGAATTTGGAGCTGGAATATCTGAAGAGGAAGAAGTTGATGATGTTGAGCAACTCACCCAGGAAATGCAGCAACTTGCTATGCTTGTGACCAATTAACCTCTCACCTTTGAGGAAGCAGCTAAAAGTCGAGTATGGAGAGATGCTATGAAAAATGAAATTGAAGCAATCGAAAGAAATGACATCTAGGAGCTCATTGATCTACCACCAGGAGCAAAGAAGATTGGTGTCAAGTGAGATGAATGAAAAAGGTGAAATTGACAAGTGTAAGACACGACTTGTGGCTAAAGGATATGCTCAATAAGCTGGCATTGATTACACTGAAGTGTTTGCACCTGTTGGTCGCTAGGACACTATTCGACTGATTTTGTCTATTGCAGCATGTAGGGGATGGCAAGTTCATCAACTTGATGTCAAAAGCACATTCTTACATGGAGAAATAGCAGAAGAAGTATATGTAGAACAACAAAACGGTTATGAGGTAGCTGGTGCTGAAAACAAAGTCTACAAATTCAAAAAGGCTCTCTATGGACTCAGACAAGCCCCTCGAGCTTGGTTCAACAAAATAGATTCATACTTTATCAATGAAGGGTTTGAAAGGAACATGACTGATCTTACTCTCTTTGTTAAAAGGGAAGGCAGTGTTAATGTTTTTATTATTAATTTATATATGGATGATCTTATTTTCACAGGTAAAATAAGAACATGTTTGAAGAATTTAAACATTCAATGAAGAGGAATTTTGAGATGACTGATTTGGGATGCATGCGCTATTTTCTTGGAGTGAAGGTCACACAAACTCCTAGTGACATTTTCATTTGTGAAAGGAAATATGCCAATGAAGTATTGGAAAGATTTGGATTACAAAATTGTTTAGTTGTGAAAAATCCAATTGTTCCAGGATGCAAACTCACAAAGGACATAGGAGGACAAAAGGTTAATGCTACCACATATAAACAAATGGTAGGCAGTCTCATGTACTTAACTGCCACATGACCAAATTTAATGTATGTTGTGAGTTTACTAGCTCGTTTCATG